TTGACTTGATTGGTGCTGTAGAAGAGAAGAGAAAAGCAGCGCTCCAGAGGGGCCACCAAGCTTGAAACAACCCAAGACTACCCTTCTGATCCCCATGCCGTGCACGTGATCGGCTTGAATGCGTAGCGCGCAAGTCGTGAGTCACGTCTCGTGCGAGAGAGCTGCATTTGTGTGGGGAAGATGTGTTTCGGGTGGACCGCGCAGGTCGTGAGTGTCGCCTATGACGCGCTCACCTCACGTACTCCGGACTGTGCTTGTCGTCACTCGTGACTGTGACTGATGGATTACGAATCTGTGAATCTTGACTGGTGACTGATTTTTGGATGCTATTCCTTGACACCTTCACCGACGAGGGTGCTTCTCGCCAATGTCTGCTCACAGAGAGCCTTGGACTCGGATTTGGAGCCATCTCTGCTCTTCGTCCCCCTCACGTACCCCGCTCGCTTCTCAGCTCCCTCTTCGCGCTACGCCGGCCGGACTTGCCCGCGCTGAGGCTCGCCAAGACCTCAGCAGTGTACGAGCATCACTCAATTTGATCGACAGAGCTCTGAACAGCGTGCGCATTCTGCGATACAAAGCATCACGGGACGCTCGAGCGCATGGGCTTAGTTGGACATGGCCGACTCCGACACCGCAGGAGCCGATGCGGGCGCATCGCAGAAGCGAAAGAGGGTCAGCAGAGCGTGCGATCAGTGCTATACGTGAGTCATCATGCGAGATCTCTTAGCGTATAGCAGGCATTGGCGACTGCTCGGGAGCCACCTTGAGGAGCCATATTCCCTCGCGGCTGTCGTCTCGACGCCATTCACCATCGACCACCTCCGCTTCTGACCGGAGCAAGAGTCAGGACAGGATCGCTGACCGCACCGCCTCCATGCCGACCGAACAGTAAAAAGGATAAGTGCGACGGCGCACAGCCGGTCTGCCTGATCTGCAACAAGGTTGGGCGTCCTTGCACGTACGAGCGACCGGAAAAGAAACGTGGACCTTTACAAGGCGTGAGGCAAAGGCTAGAGGAACAAATCGAGGCTCTCGAGTCCATCCTCGGCTTCCTGCTGGATTCATTTCCGAGCCTGACAGTCCAAGCAGTGCAAAAGCTCGCCTTCGATGAAAAAATCGCGCTTTCGGCTTCTGCAGCAGGTCGGCAGTCTAGACCCTCCGACAATGATACCCCAGAGGTGTCCTCGCCCAAGAGTGATCGAGGTGCCTTCTTTCCGCGACAAAGTCGATCGCAGGCAAGGGACGCGTGGAGGCAAAGCGATCTTGCAACATCCGTAGCACCGTTCTTGGGCCTACGCATCCCAGCCACTGGGGAAGCTTCCAATGTTCTCAAAGAGGAGGAGATGAGCGAAGCAGAATTGCGAGACGAGCTGCGGCGTTCTGCAGCCGCAAGGGACTCGATCCTGCGCTCGTCAGCTAGCCAACCTCTCAAAGCACAACAACGCACTCTAGCATCGCCGCATCAGGTCAGACCAAGTGCGATGTCCGCTCAGAAGTCTGGCAGCTTATCATACAATGGGCCCACCCCGAATGCAACCCCTGCAATGTCTACTTCCCGCGAGGGACCGTCTCAGACGCAGCAGTTGCAGTGGTCCCATGCCGCTTCGGGATCTCGAACTGCCTCTCCAAGCTTCTTGCGCGGCAGCGTCTTTCCATTCAGCCAAGCTCGACATGTTGACGAGTCAGCGCAGGGCTCAGTGGGCTCTTGGTCAGCGGAGTCTATCACCACTGCGCGAGATGCCGAACGCTCCACGCGAAGTCGGGCCCGTTCCTCGCAGACATCGGCTAGGCAAGGCTCAACAAGCCAGCTGCCAAGCATCTCTTCGCAACTAGCACCCATTTCCCCGAGTGCTACATGGGCACCTAGCGCGAGTCTGACGACGCCTAGATCAGATGCGCCTCCACTCCTCAACCAGCAAAGTCCCGCTGCCACTGAAGATCTCGCCAACGCACTGGCTCTGCCTGCTGAGCTGGAAGATGAGATGGACAACCTGCTCGACGCGTACTTCACCCACTTTCACCCCTTGTATCCCTTTGTTGACAAGGATTCGCTACTACGGTGGAGCAGCGCGGCGATGAGGCAAGGAGGAAAGCGCTTGTTCATTGGACCAGCGGGACCGTGCGCGGCATTTGGAGGACCTGAAGGATGCCCCCCATCAGGCAGGACTGCGCTTGTGCTGGCGATATGCGCGGTGGCGTGCTATGGGTACGGCAGTACTTCCTCTGGATGGAGCAGCTCTCACGCATCTGGACAATCTCCTAGCGTCACTGTCAGACCAGTCGATTGCGACCAACTGCGTGCTTTGGGAGACGATTGCCACGCGCGAGCGCGATCGCTGTTCTTTGCTACCTCAGCGGACGTTGTATTTGCCGATGATGATTTTCGTGCTACGAGAAGGAACCGTGCAGACGCGCCCCACGATCTGGAAGCCGTTCAGGCTACGATGCTGATCACCATAGCCGACATGCTGCTGGGGCATCACTCCCGCGCGTGGGTCGGTCTGGGCATCGCAACGAGGCTGGCCCAGGACCTACAATTGGAGCGTGCGGGTCCGACTACTACGCAATCAAGCAACGCAAGTCCAAGTTCTAGGGAAAATCTTAGACAGCAACGCGACGGAAATGCAAGATCGCCTACCCAGCGCTCACCTTTGCACCGAAGTGCTCAAACTCAGCGTCAGAGAAGCTTGACCTACCATTCGCTCTTTTGTATAGAGACATTCATGTCCGCAGCGCTTGGACGTCCGCCTCTGCTTCGTGCCATCGATGGCTCGGTACCTCTTCCCGATGTAGATCTGAATGACGAGTGGGCACTCGTCCAGGCCCGAGCCCCGCCTAGAGCTGCTGGGGAAGCTCCACAGACGAAAATGGTCAAAAGCCGGGCCCTCTCAACATTCGTGGCGCAGACCGAGCTTGCTGTGATCGTCAACGACATGTTACTGGGAATCCCCCTTCCGGAGGTTCTGCACGGCGAAGACAAGGACTCGATTGCAGCTGCAGCTCAGTCTGCAGTCGAAGCAAAGATCAACGCTTGGGCCGCACGACTGCATCGTTGGCGGACCATGCTGCCAAGGCATCTCGCGATTATGGTTCAAGCGACGCCAGGCGCTGCATCTCTTGCTGGGCCTGACCGGCCGCTCCAACCTCAGCCCTGCCATATGTGGCATCTTTCGATGCTCTGCCATTACAGCTTTACTCTTATCGAGCGCGCGGCGCTTGCTGCCGCGAACCAAGATTGGTCAGCGGTCCTTGACAAGGCTTCGGCCGGCTGGACGGACGCCGGCACAAGGGCATACAATGCCTCCCCGTCGGGAGACAAGCTTGTCGTCAAGCATATCGCGGTAAGCGGCCTCACCAACTTGTGGAGATTGCCACTGATTCTGTCGTCGGATTCGTCTGTTGATGACATGGACAGGCGACCAAGCGGTCGAGGCGACTGGAAGCGAGTTACTATTCAAAGTCCAACATCGACCGGAGCTCTACCTCGCCTACTGTACCGGTTCTGCGAATGCTTTGGTGATAGTAGACTACCGCCGCTGGCGCCTTTCTTTGCGCTGTCTGCCGCTCATCTCTTGTCACCGTCCAGTGGCAAAGAGTCAGAAGAGTGGGATGCGCTTGAAAAGGTGGCCCGTAGCGGGGCCTCTGTCTGGAATGCGGCTTTCGCCAGCATTGCTAGCATGCTTCCAATTTTGAAAAGAGGCGCAGAAAAGGGCACGACAAGCCCGGTCTTGCAACGCCCACTCGAAGCGGAGATGCGAGTCCCGAGTAACGGAGCAGCCATAGCAGCAAGCACAGACGAACGCGGCACGACGCTTGCAGAATCCGTTCAGTCCGACAGCGTGCCCTTCGACAATCTTGCGTCCATGAACAGCATTCTAGATGGTGCCCATGCGCTTGCCTACGCCTTAGGTCTGACTGAAGCTGGCAACGTCCCAATGCATACGACATTTGCGGACAACAATAATGCGTATCTAGGCACTTTTGGTGGAGCAAGTGCCGCACAAGCATCTACACCGAGCTCGTCCCAATTTGGTCCAGCAGCCCCTTTCGGGGCTCTTGTGGACCATCAACAAATTGCATCGCAGACTCCTCGCAGCGAAGCGGAAAGCTTCACAGACCTTTTCGACGCGGCGGGCAGCAGCGCAGATCAATCCGCTCTACTGTATCACCTGGGTCTAAGAGCGCCGGATGAGCTCCGTCGGCCTTCGATGAGTGGACCGGACATCGCAAGCGGCATCATACCCCTTGACTTTGCAGCGCCGGTCAATTTTGAGAGGCACCCCATCGAAGGTCTACCCTTGACGACCGGCACGAGCTCTGTGCAGGTGCACGCTGCTTTTGATATGCCCCAGCGTCACATTTCCATGCCTCCATCGCCTTTCTCCATGCAGCATCATTCCGGCGTCGCAGCCGATGTGTCCGCTCAATCAAGCATGCAAGCTGCTGCTAGGAACGATCATCAGCCGGCTCTTGCTCCCGCACATGGTCAAGCTTCAGATTCTACTTTAGCCGGGCCAACTGAGATGGAGTTTGGGGACCTGATCGACAAGTGGATGATGCGGGGCACTTCTTCGCATGGGTAAAGAATCATCGTCGTTTTAGTGAGGGCGCAGCTCCGTCTGTTATCCGCAAGAGATGAAGCCCCTGCTCAGATTATTCCACACAATTGTATTAGTAGTAGTGATGGTGTGACGGTAGTGCTACATGCTGAGAACTGATAACGAGGGGCGCAGAAGTGCAATTTCCAGAAACCCTGGCAAGCAGAGCTGTGACACGATCATATTGTACAAGAGCGGCTCAAAGGAAGAATCACAAAATCTAGCGCAGGCGTAGGCGTACCATGTGCGGGCACGGAAGTTGCTGTCAAGGGTTGGCATGACCTCGTTGCACTGGGATCGTGAGGAAGAGGTGGTGCAGCTCGTGACTTGGGTGGTGCAGCTCGTGACTCGAGTGGTGCAGCTCCTGACTTGCGATCCTGTTTGGAAATGTGTTGACAAGCTTCAATCTCGCTGCATTGCAAGCAGCACCGAAGGGAAGACTAAAGGGATGCGCTCATCCATGCTGATACCGCCCACTTCGCAAGCCGCCTTGAACGCAAGGCCCACCACATCTCCGTCTTCGAAGCTTTGTGCCTTGTCGCGACCCTCCTTGGCGATCGTTGTGCTGGGAGGTTGTGGTACAAATGGCGTAGGGTGCACGGACAAGGAGCGCAAGTAGGCTGCGTATGGAGCTGTGTTGCGAAACTGACAGATGCCGAAAAGAGAGGAGATGAGCACGCAGGGCACGCTAAATTTGGTTGCGAGAACGAACCACTCACCCAAGCAGCCAAAGCTCGCGGGGTGATCCACTTCTCCGCTTGCTCCCTAAGTTGCGGGGATGTAGGCTCAGGCGTCGAGGCCCAAGATGGCCAGGCATCCAATCGATCCGCACTCTCGACTTTGTTTGCCGTTGGTAAGGAGCACGAGTTCGCATTCGCTTCCAGCGAGGGGTTGTTCTCGACTCTAGCGGGATCGAGCACCCACCTCCTGAGTGACTCGCTACTCCAACCTGAAGCACGAACACTTTCGTCCCATGGCAGGGGCAATTGGGCATACATGGACCTAGCGCCCCAAAGCGTTCTCGAGCCAAAGAATGGCGAGAGCGAAGGGTGAAGAGGCAAACCATCCAGCGCTTCTCGTAGTGGTTGGGTCGAGCGCGTGGCGCCTTGGGGACTCATCAGAGGGGTGCTAGGAACGCTCCTAATGCCCGCAACATGCTCGTTGGAGTGTGCAGGTATTGATGATGGGCCTTGCAGCGAGCCAGGTACGGCTTTGACACCCATGATCAGAAGCGAGCCACCGGGTCTGAGCAGCTTGTGCCAGATGTTGTAAAGGTGAGCTCCATGGGTCGTGTGCTCGCCATCTGGCGGCTTGCGCTCGTTTGCAGCTTCAACATCCGTCTGAACATTTTCGCCCCAGTCGAGCAAATGTGCGCTCGATCCGAGCATAATCACATCGAGCTTGCCAACAAGCTCCAGCGGCACACGAGGTCGTTCTGCTGTGCCCACGCTGCGACCGTCCAACCAGCAGCATTGAAGGGAACCCAGTAAGAAGAGATGCAGCCTCGCACCTCCGAGGCAGGCTGAGATCACGACAATCCACTCACGAAATGTCCCAATCGAGCATACATCCCTCTTTCTCGCTCCATCCCAGAACCACATTTGCGGTCTCATTATCGCCCTGTCTACGTCCCTTTGCCCGCCTTCCGTTCCCATCGTCGGCATCTTTATAGCATATATTCTGTGTGCTACAAGGAGGAAATCCCAAGAAGCGACGTTGCGCGTCGCTCAATTCTCGAGAAGCTCGCGCTAGGTCTATGGCGGCCGAATCTGGATCTCGAGCAATCAGAGCTCGAACGCTGGGCCAGGAAGACGCGAAGAGGGAGAGCACACCTGCTCCGCAGCCCAAGTCCAACACCTTTGTGGGCGCTCGTGCCTTCTTTCTGGGGGTAGGCGATGAAGTGGGCGATGGGATCGGTGCTGAAGCCGAAAGAGACACGGCAGAGAGATGATTGGCCAGCGATCGGAGCGACTGAGCCGAGGAAGAGTTTCGCACACAAGCACGAGGCGCATCTGTCGAGCTGTGAGAATGACTGGCGTAGGCGTAGGCCAAAGAGATGAGTTGGTAAGGATAGGGACTTAGACTAGCCAGGTGCAGCGTCGCCTCTGTCGTAGCCGACGGAGGTGGAAAGGGCGTAGCGTCCTCAGAGAGCTGCTGCGAAGAGTTGTTTGCCACCGCTGCATGCCCTCTGGTGTCGAGCGATCTTCCTCCTAGTCTATGTGCCTCGATGATTCCTAATCCAGATCTGCTGGAAGAAGCAGGTCTTTGTGGAAAGCCATCGTGATAATACATTCCATCATCATTGAGCTCTTCGAGCGCATCTTCGTCATCTGATCCGAGATGCCACGCAAAGGTTTGACCTTTGGGAAGTGCTGCATTGTTCAGCGTGGCCAGTGCCGATGAGCTGAGCGATGTGGACGAACTTCTACGGGAGACGCTTGGATCGCTGTACGCATCAGAAATCCGGTCGCTCGATGCTTGCTTTTGGCTCAGGCTGGGAGACGACTTGGACTCTGCTGGCAAATTTGCCGTTGAGGATCTTGCTTCGCTGGTTCTGCGACTGTCAAGGGGAGAGCTGTTCAAAGAAGAAGAGCTGGATAGTCTCCTTATCGCGTTCTTTGCAGCGTGCGCAAGCTTAGATCCAGGTCGTCTAGATGCATCCGTATTCGCTGCCGCTGCCACCAATGCGCCTGCTGTTGCATCTCGAGAAGCGTGTTGACTCTCTGCAAGTGATGGTGTGGATGCAGACGCAGATGGAGGTGCCGATCTGAGAGGCCTGGGCGCCTGACCGAAAGGGGCAAGGTAGTGGCGTGCAAATGCGTGTGCATGGGCAAGGTCCGATGCGTGATGATGGGAGTTGCTGCGAGATCGTTGGCGGTCTGTGCGCTCGGAGGAGTGGGTGTTGTGAGTGCCGCTTGCTGTGCGGGAGAACGGGGATCCGTTGCTGCAGCTCAACATCCTCGCAGATCTCTCTCGACGTGGCACGTCACGACGACGCGAGCTGCATTTGCGATCGTTCAAGCTCATTCGAGGATCGTAGCTGGCTGTCACTTTGCAGCCGAGTAGAGATGGCGTTTTCCTTGCTTGGGATGTCTTTGCCTGTCTTTTGGCACACCGCAGAAAGGGAGTGGGTAAGCTGTTCAAGCATGGCGCTCACAGATTCAGGGGGCCGAGGGTGACGAGCAGCCAACAGGGGCTCCGCCAAGGTGCCGGAATCGTTCGTGATGTGGAAGCAATGAGGGGCGGCATGAAGAAGGCAGAGGAGTATAGACGCACAAAGGGTTGCGACACCCAAGCCACCAACGGAGCGTCCTGCTGAACGCTGTGCTGGTATAGCTATTGCTGGTAGAATACCTTTACCGGGACCACTTTGGCCCGCAGAACCATCAGCCGAACGTTGCACGGCAAAGCAGCAGCAACTATGTTGCAGCAGCAGCAGCAGCAGCAGCAGGGCAGCAAGCAGAGTCTGCATTAATTACTTGTTATGCCGGGGTCTCGGTCTCTCTGTACCTACCTCTCAAACGATATGGCGCGCGGCGGTGATGACAGCCTATCGGCCCCATCCAAGACCCGCCAAGCTTTCGGTTCGCGTGATGGATGATGTGGATGGGCCCGGATTGCTTCAAATGCAGTAGATGGGGGGCATCACCCATGCATGCTGTAGCTGAAAGCTGAATCAGCAGCATCAGCAGCAGGCACGCAAGTCAAAATCGCGCAATTAACAACCACCAGCACCGACCCGTGCGGCTACATATCTATATATAGGTGTACGCCTGCATGCCGCCTCGGGTCCTGCACAACCAGAGCTGTATCTGCATTGAACTCGGGAAGGCTCAGTCCCCTATATGGAGATTGAAGTCCAAAGCTGACTCAGAATTAGAATTAGGTGGCGTAGCTCGCAACGATGTGCGCCATGGCTGAAGATTCACGATTGTGCTTCCTTGTGCACAATTTAACAGCCTAGCTGTATAGCAGCCGCCCAAGCCGGTGCAGTCAGATCCGTGCATCAACAAAGGCGAGGCGGTGATCATTCTCGAGCGATCGATCGTGGCGCCCTGCATGATGCAAGGATATATGAGTCACAGTGGGCTGGCTGCACCTGATGTATACGTGTAGCTCTTGAGACATGTTTGATATCAAAGCATCCATCTAGACGTCAGGACCAGGCCTGGGACATATAGCTACATACTCGCGTGAATCACCTATATAGCTGGAGCACGCAGATACGCGAACATGCGAATATTGTGATATGTATTGCGGCATTGGAAACCCACGATTGTAGTCTTGTCGCTTAATTCGGACGCGACATCGGTCTGACAATAAGTCATCACCAAGTTCCAAAAAGAGACGATGATAAAATCAAGAATGAGGCCGGCGCACAGGCATGTGCGACCTCTTGGCTCCAAAAGGTGTGTGTGCTCGAAAGAGGACAGGGAAAAGGGGGTCTGAGAGAAGAAGCGCGCTGGTTGGAAGTTGTGGGGCTGATTGAATGTTGTTACATGATGTTGAACTGAAGAAATACGAAGGTTGCAAAGGCGACTTGGCCAGTGAGAGCTGAGGCTCAATACGGACTCAGCATGCGCGGAGTCTGAGTAGGGCTTGCTCGTCGAGGCGCGAAGATCTTATGGCTCCGCGTTCTCGTCTGATGCTACTCGATTGAGCTTAGATGGCGCGCGGGTAGAGTTGGCCCCGGCTGCCGGGAACAAGGTGGTCGGCTTGCCCCTGTAGCGAATGTCGAGAAAGGATTATCAGTCCCAACCCTTATTGAAGACTCTGCAACGATTATCTCATTCTGCTACTCACTTCATGAAGTGCTTCTTCTTGCTCAGATTCAGTTTGCTGGTGCAGGGAGACACCATGTTGTCGGTGGGAGAGCAGCTGTAGAAATTGGAAGCAGCGGCAGTCCTTGCCGCCAAAGGAGCGGTGGCCTGCAGCGAGTCAAGCCATTCTGCTGTCAGCCCCTCAATGCTATCGACCACCACGCGGTCGCCGATGCTGAGCCACGTCCGACTGGATGCATATGCAGCTGCTCAGCCATGAAAGGTGACTTACCCTGCGATGGCCCTCCTCTTCCGTCATTGAAACAATCTTGCCGTCCTCGGCCCGGCGCTTCAGAACGACCAGATTCCTGATCGCACCAGCTTGCGAAGTCGTGTCTTGAGTAGGCAGCACCACATCCAAGCACATCGTTCCCTCAGGAAGGGACTCGGGCGTCTCCAGCAAGCGCACTTGTGCTGGGCGAGGGTTCTAGATGGGGGGAGAAGGGAGGTGGGACGAGGGTCAGCTCGAACAAGATGATCAACTGGCAGTCCAGCTCTGGTAGTGTTCGCACCCCACCGTTCCCCTAGAGAGACAGCTCTGTGCTGCCTTTTCAACCTTCAAGACGCCGGTGGCGCTGTTCAAATTCCCTTGCACCTTCACTGGACACCCGTCACGCGGTTCATGGCCAAAGCTCACCTCGGAAGCTCGACCAAATCTGGCTTGAAAAGCAGTGAGTCCCACGCATACATCGCCACTTGGCAGTGTAAGAATGACCTCCTGGGCAAAAGGCTCCAACGAATTTGCCGTTGAGCTTGAAGAGTAGAGCTGCGGGAGGAAAGGATCGGATGTGGCGCAGAGCATCAGCGCACAGTCAGTCAGGATCACAGTCTTTCTACAAGCTCACCTGCTCAAGAGCTTGCACGATGATGGCTTCCTCCAAGTTGGGTACACGATCGGGAAGGGTGAGACTGTGCTCAGCCATGAGACCAGCAGCGTTGTTCATCGTGGCTGAAGGTTGAAGGAGAGCGTTGGAAGAAGCGGCAAAAGTCTGAGACATGGTGGTCGAGTTGCAAAAAGCTGAGGCTGTGTGAATGCCAGTAGGCGTTGTTCTTGCTCGTGTATCAGGGGCTGCAAACGTGCGCAGCGGCAGCAGCGGAAGCCTTGGCTGGTCAGATCTGAGTTTCGGAATCAGACGTGGTGGGGAAAGAGGGGCTGCTGTTTCAGTCGACGATGAGACGATGATGGGTTGATAGGTCAAGTGGCATTCATGCGGGCCTTGGGCGAGTGGTTCGCTTATTAGGCTCACCAGCACAATCTCAACCGGTCCTGCTTCGATCGGCCAATTCTGACATGAGACACTGCCATCGTGCCTCTACGAAGACTGCACAAGGCTCCTGCTGCATCTCAATCACCTGATGCCGCCAAGCGGATTGCTCTGCTGTAGTGGCACAGCTATATAGGGTCGAGCGGGCGCCGCGCTCAATTAAGCGCGGTTGGTGCACTTTCCACATTGGTCCATGCACACTTCGAGACCAACACTTGGGGCTCAGCCGCCCGCAAACGGCACCTGAGCAGTCCTGCCGAGCGCGTAAGTATGACTGCACGTTCCGCAATTACATGTAGATGTTGATGTCACGTCGAGAAGTTTGAGCTGCGCGCGCAAGGCTTCCGCGCGCGACGAGCGGATGCCATCGGGTGCCACGCGACACGCGAGCGCCGCAAACTCGTGATTCTGATTCGCAGATTCGGCGTCACCACATCTATCTCTCTAGCGAATCCCACGACATTATTGCGGTATTTACAAGCTTTGCCGGCTAGGAGAGGGGGACGTCACCGCTGCAGTGCTACAGAGAAGCTGGCGAGGACATTGTCGACCTTCGCATCTGTACCATGCATCCAAATCAGAGAAAGCTTGGCTGCGACGCCGAGCCAGTCTCGCACCACAAGCAAGCGCCGAGTCACAGCCTTTGACCTGGTCACACTGCGCGAAACTCGTAGCTAGGCCTACATCGTTGAATCTTTGGATTGTAAAATGATCAAAACCGAACGTGCTTGTCAAACTCGGGCAATGGCGACGAGCACTTGGATGCAAGTTCAAGCGTTGGGGAGCGGGAACATGCGCGTTGCTCGGGAAGAAAGGTATCGCTTGGGGTGCATGAGTCAGAAAGAGAGTGAAGCTTGCTGTGGCTCGTATCAAGGTGGCGAGGCAGGCATGTGCCCACAAGACCAAAGCTGGGGTCGGAATTTACATGACGTATCTGAACAAGGCGAAACAGCGGGTCAGCTCATTCCAGTATGCATCGATGACTGCATCATTTAGACCCACTCAATGACGCTATTTTCGCCTATGACGTTGCGAATCTCGTAGCCTTGGGCTTGCTTGCGCTGCAGAACAGAGTAGTGCACCTTTGGTACATCATCGCGAATCGTGCGGTAGCGACCAAGGTTCATGCCAACCACTGCAAACGTGAAACATCGAAAGAGAGGTGAGTGGGCACCACGTTTTTCGGCGGAACACGTCGCTTTCGACGTACCTTTCTTCCACTTGCCCTGCGGAAGCAAGGAATCAGGAGTCGAATTCAGCAATAAGCGAGAGATCATAAAGCTCACTCGCTCGAGAAGTCGATCGCTCACATCGTGCTGTTGCTCGCGGTGCTTCGTAGGGTAGACTTCAAGAATCCACCAGCCCTTGGCGTCTTTGAGCTGGTCATTGATTGGTGCCAGCGCGTCGAAGTAGTCTTCCCAAGCTTCAGGTAGCTGCGCATCTTCCTCTCGGCCGGTAAGGCCGGCGTAGGAATTGCTACGCAAGTGGAAGCGGTCCTTTCCAACGCGCGGAGTGTCTAGCTGTTGGTGACTGGGCACTGGTGGCGCAAATTCTCCCACACCGTCATTGAAGGTCGCGATGCCATCATTGTTCTCCAAACGAGCGAGGGCGTCCGCACGCGATTTGCGGATCGATTTACGACGCTCGGCCAGGGAAGGGAGCGTGCCGGAGGCATATCGATCGATCGCTGAAGGAGGGGGCCTGAGAGTCACCAGTGGCGGATCAGCTTCTCGGCAACGACTGCCACCCTTTCGGCCTGTGAGCCACTCACCCGCAGAAAGGACGGGGACGCTCAACCAAAGTTGGATACAAAGTATGCACATCCATGCCGTAGTCAGCCAGGACGTCCGCATTGTACAGAATGCCGGTGTCGCATGCGAAAGTTTGGCGGATCATCCAGCGCAGAGGGATATTAGAAAGAGCCTATAACGGGACACGTGTGAGCACTGCGTCCATCACGCTTATAACCACTGAACTTACGTGTCGAGTGTCGTTGCCAACGGCACCACCTGCGAGTAAGAAAATGACGCCCGCCGATCAACTATTTGGAGACACGCCGCTCTGAAGTCCTGGACTCATCATACGCACCTCCAACGTCAGCATGGGCGCCGGCAAACCATACCTCAAGCGCATCTGTCTTGAAGCGCTCTCCGCCAAATTCGCGCTGGTCAAGCTGTCAAAGAAAGAGCTCCTCGTCAGTGATCTGGCTTTCAAGGAAGCAAAATCAATTGAGCATACCTTGGTGAACCGCTGGGCCAGTGCCTCTTGAGTCTGCGCCTTCGTCAATTTCGGTCTCTCTTCGACATCCCCTTGTGGTCCTTGAGAGTTGCGACGGAAGGCCAGAGGCAAGCTCTTGCGACGCGAAGGTGATCCGGGAGTCTTTTTTTCGCTGCCAGACTCGCCCGATCCGTTACTCGTGGGAGTTTTTGTGCCCTCCGCTGGCTCGATCGAGGCAGGCTCCTCCGTAAATTGGATGCTGCTCAAGCGACGAGCAGCGCTGATGGAGCTGTTGCGCTTCATAGCTAGCTCTTGAGCAATAGCGGCTCGCTTTTCTGCAATGCGAGGATCGTTCATCGCACCAGGAGTCAGGGAAGGAGTCTCGTCTAGAGTGACCTTCTGGCTGCTCTGCTTCGGCGTCGCATCATGGGCTCTCTGCTCCCAATGCGAGACCTTGAACTTAGCACGGCGCTCGTCGAGGGCCATCGCATGACGGAAATAACGAACGCAGCTGGTGTTGTTCTTTGCGAAGGGCAACTGGCGAGGAATGAAGCCGACCGATGCGACAGTATCCCAGCATCCCAGGAAGTGCACCTTCACGTCGATGCAGAACGTGGTCTTGAACAACGCGGACTGCTCCCATCCTGTGGGTGTGTCATCCTTGAACTGCTTGTATGCGAATGCAACTTGAGAGGAATTGTTGGCGGGAAGCAGCCCAATCTTGAGCAGCATGCCGGTCAATGCCCTCGCAGTGTACGCTCCGCGACTAAATCCAAAGATACAGATCTTGTCTCCTTCAGTGTAATTGCTCATCAGAAATGCTACAGGCGACAAGGCTGCATGTCAGCGCCAGATCGCACAGCTCAATGTGGTGTACTCACAGTACGCCTCCTTGATGTGGGTGCCAAGACCAGAGCCAACAGCCATGTCGGAAGCAGAGCTGATTCCTGACTGAAGCTTCCCCGAGCCGCTGTAGGTGCCGATGCCTGGCTGATAGTACAGCTTCTGAGAGCTGTCCTTCTTCAAGGCCCCAAAAAGCTTGACCACATTGGAATTGTCGCAATCGAACTGTCATCCGGCGCGACAAGCTTTAGCAAGCACATGAGACTCCTCAGACGCAATGCGAGTTCTCACCTGGTCACCAGTGCCATCGAGAAGAATACACAGGGTCCTAGATGGTCCTCGGGTTGTGAAGTTGCGGTGATTCGGCACTGCCGCAATCGTCGCTGGGATGTCGCCGCTGGCGCTCATTGCTGCTTGAATGCCTTCTGGCGATTGGATCTATTCTGCTTGGAAAGCGCCGCAGCTCCACTATCCGAATCAAGGCTTCAGTGGCAAAGTCCGGCTTGGATGCGATGTATGATGGTGGTTTGGAACATTTGATGTTCCCCTTCCGTGTTTCGAATGCGTCTGCTGTGCTGCTTATACCGATGGAAAGCGGGGTGGGCGCTACGAATTTTGAGATCCTGGCTTGTCTTGTGCTGGTGCAGAGCACGTGCTGTGGCGGCTATACAAGTTTCGAGAGCAATTCAATCATTCGAGCTTGTTGGATAGCGATCATCCTCGGCCCTCCTAACTCACTTATTGGTTCGGGCACATGTGGAGCGGCGCTGAGACTCCGCACTTGGGACTGTGACTCATTGTGACTTTTCGGGATCATTCGCATTCGCACTCATCACGCATGAAGCGCCAGGTCCAAAGTCCGGCCAAGCTTCTGCTAAGCTGGATTCCCGACTACGGGGCCAGCTATACTCGAGACTGTACATGTGTATATGCACATTGCCCAGAAGAATCTCCCTCACACATGCGTCTGTGCCGAAAGACGCACTACTCTCACTCTTGACTTCACTGACTCATTCACGACTGTTGCAGCGGCAAATTGTGGGTCCACGAAGTGAGGCCTCGGGTGAATCGTGAATCATCAGCTTGTGATGATGCTTTTGTTTGCTCCTTCTTGGCCCGTCAGCTTCGACGAGCGCTGTGTGTACGTGCTTCAGTCTTGACTGGTTGCTTGTGGAGGCCGGACCAACCGTGAATCCAGGCGGGGTGAAACAAACGGCATGCAGCGATACACGCACTTCTCGAGTCTGCTCTTGTGGCTCGTGAAGCGCCACGCCTTCTGGAAGACATACAGGGTCACTAGTCATGTGGCGCCGGGCTGGAAGCTCACCAGCGGCGGGTCTGATTGGCTGCGCTGAGTGCGGTTCTGACAGATTCATTCGAGGTTGCGAAATTTGTTTCGTCGGCTCGTAATCGCGCCATTCGTGATTCACGATTCCTATTCGCGTTCTTCGCCTTGGCTGACGAACGCAGACATGCAGCATCTTGGCACCGTCATGCAGCACCACGACAGCCAGCTCCGCTCGATCGCGATGCATGGAATTCATATATGGCATCTGTCAACAATGCGTGCTGATTGCCCTGATTCTCCCTAAATCCACCGTCGCGAGCCGACGCGATGCACAACGCACAAGGTTCACGCTAGCACGTCGGCCCGGATATCAAATGACCTGCCGGCGCATGCAGCAGTCAATAGAGGGGCGCCAGATGGGCCCGGCCCACATACACGATTGTGCATTCAAGATCGTCCTCGCACTCGATCGTGACTCACGACTGAAATGGAAGCAATTTGAATGGCATGCACACTCCAACAGCGTCCGGCAATTCGAGGCAGCTTCGTTGCATATATAGCATCTGCTTGGCGCACGAAACTTGGGTGCAGCGCAGATGCTCACTATATATATACATAGCTGCTGTCTAAGCCCGGCAGCCGGCGAAGCTAGGGTGCATCTGCCATTTTGGCTAACGACTGGCGTGCGTTTGCCCGAGATGTTCAGACTTTCGATGTCTGTAGACTCAGGACCAGATCTGAACACATGAGCGAAGCGATCGAATTTACTTGTACCATATAGTCAGAACAGGAGCAGGCGGGCTGTCTGACTGAAGCTCCCAGAAGGTGCAATGAGAGAGCTCAGGGTGACCACTGACAACAGAGCGACAACTTCGCACGGAGGTTTATCATCAAACTTCAATTTGCGCAACCCCGCTCGTGCAACTTCCCACGAAGTTGCCCGAAAATTCTGAGCTTGTCGCTAGGTGAGACTTGCCCTGAGAGCAAACTTTGAAAAGCGCGAAGGCGAGATTGGGAAGAATCATAATGCCGCATCAGCAGACTCATCTGATGCGCGCGACGAGGCTAGCTGCACAGCAGCAGCGGCAGACGGGCTAACCGGTCACTGCATGTAGGGTTTTCAAGGTGAGAGGGTGCATATGTCGCGTCATGCTGCTGATGCGCCGCATAGCTCTGCACTCACCTGCGTGTCGGAGCTCGAAAAAGTGTTGATGTCGCGCAAAGCTGCATCGTACTCGTCTTCGCAGCCCGTGCACCCTCCGCGGCAGATCACTTGCAGTCACGATCGAGTGACATTCAAGATTGCCATGCATAGTCACGGACAGCGCACTCACGCTCGGGCCCACCAATGATTCACTCAGGCATTCAACACTCTGCACCTAAGCGGATGCAAATGATTGTCTTCCGATTCTAGCTTCAGCATCTTGAAAACTCGCGATTGCCGACTCAGCCGGCCCAAGCCAGATTTGACTTTGACCGCACAGCTGCCCGACAACGTGAATGCACGGGCTTCATCAGCAGCAACGATAGTCTTCGCATCCCATCTGCATCGGGCTTGAGCGATGCCAGCTGTCGTGCCAGCCAGCGCTAGCAGCTGGAACAAGGTGGACTGGGCAAGCAGCCAATCACATGTGGAACACGGGCTGAATCACTCAATTCTTGAATGCATCCAATCGTCAAGAGCCGCTTGTACACGATCGTGATTTCAAATTGACTCGATCTGGTGCGCCGCTGCGAGAAGCCGCATTCAAGACTCGTGAGCGTAGTTCACAATTTCGAGCTACCGAATATCAAAGCTGCAGGAGGCGGCCACCGCTGTTTTGTCAGCAGCAAGAGTCGACATGAGGCAGGTGATCAGCGAGTCCCATCTCCACCGAAACCAAGCCTTGAGACTGATTGTCCAGCGCAGAGAAATGGCAGCCCTGCAATCAGCAAGGACTCTGACGAGCCAGAGTGCGGGGCAGCGGCCGGACAGCTGGAAACTTTATCCAAGAGCGTGGACAGCAAGATCGAGAGGAACGAGTGGACGCGCAGCTCCCTCAATCGTGAATGAGCATGCAGACCGTGGAGATACAGCTGAATCCTTATAACAGAGTACGACCCGTTCGCTGCATCACTCCACGATCTTGCTTCACACCTTCACCTTCCCAGGTGCTATCCAATCTCTGAATATACCACTTTCCGCTCTAGTGCTCGACAAAATGGGTCAAATCAAGAACCTGATCGGCACTATCCGCAAAAAGCCTGCTACGGCAGACGATGGCATGACCGATGAGCAAGCTGGCCACCAGCAAGGCAAGACCTCTGTCATGCACGACATTCGACACCTCGGGGTCAAGAACTCGCTGTTCATGGCAGAGGCCTTGAAGGATTTGAGCTCGGGTGATCCAATCGATGACAGAGAGCTGCTATTGGAGCATGGTGTCGAGATGCTGCAGAGTCTCCCGCTCAACAGCGGTCTCTCCTCAGCGATCTCCAACGGCTTCATCAAGATGCTGTGGCGTGGTGAGTGGTTCGCACCTGCTCGCTTTGCAATCGGTGCTGACACTCTCACAATGCTGTACAGACCTGCCACATCCGCACGGCACAGTCGTAGGCAACACAGCCAAGTACAGAAGCGCAGACGGGTCAGGTGAGCAGGCACTGGCGCGAGCGAGCGAGCGAGCATTGAGATAGGACGAAGTTGCTGACATGCCCGCACCTGCGTCTCAGGCAACAATTTGCACAACCCTGAGATGGGTAAAGCTGGCTCCGTCTATGCGCGATCAGTGCCGCCTATGCGCCCCAAGCCCGCGAATCTTCCTGATCCTGAGCTTGTGAGTCTCCATGCAAGGGCAGATAAATCCGTGCATGCGCGCCTGCTGATTTCAGATCAATATCTCGGGCGTAGGTGTACGATATGCTCTTGCGTCGGCCTGACAACGAGTCGCCTTTCAGAGAGCACCCCGGTGGACTAAGTGCCTTCTTCACATGCTTCGCCACCGTTGTCATTCACGAGTGCTTCCAAACCTCTCGCGAAGATCATACCCGGAATCAAACTAGCAGCTACGTCGACCTGAGCGTCCTGTATGGTGAGTGGCGGTCTGTTCCGCAGTCCCTCGACTGTTGCTAATGGTGCTTCACGCCTCACAGGATTCAATCAGGAGCAGCAGGATGCTGTCAGAAGCCACAAAAATGGAGAGCTGTGGCCCGACACTTTCAGCTCGGAGCGCATTGCGATGATGCCGCCTGGTGTCGTTGCTATCGTCATTCTGTTCTCGCGTCACCACAACCACATCGCAGAGCGTCTGCTGCAAATTAACGAGTCCGGCAAGTACAAGCCCTGGAACGAGCTTGATGAAGCGGGCAAAAAAGCCCAAGATGAAGATATCTTCCAAGTGAGCGCCTATCATGCATTCTTGAGCCAATGAAGGTTAGCGCTGATGGGTCTCTTTCCTTTCGCCCAGCTTTCGCGAAATGTCAATGTCGCCTTCTTCGCTACAGTCGTCCTCAAAGACTACGTCGCCGCCATCCTCAACACGGTGCGCGCAGATTCCGAGTGGTCCCTGAACCTTGGCGCCGAAATTCGAGAGCTTGGCGGCGCTGGCCGAGTCGAGCGCGGTACAGGAGTTGTGAACAGCGCAGAGTTCAACATTTTGTAGTGAGTACCTTCGCGGGCAGAGTCTATCCCAAAGTGGAGCTGACTTGCGCCGCATTCACAGTCGCTGGCACGCTGTCATGTCGCAGAAGGACGCAGCATGGATGGAAGACACCTTGAAGTCAAGCTTGCCGGGTATTGAATCCGTGGAGCAGATCGGTCTCAAGGAGTTCGGAATCGTTGCAGCCAAGCACGCCCAAATGACTAAGACTACTCCCGAGAAGGAATGGCAATTCTCAGGCCTTAAGCGCGATCCTCAGACCGGCAAATTCGACGATGTCGCACTGGGAGAGATGATCAAGAACTCAATTGAGGACCCAGCACACGCTTTTGGTGCTCACGGAACACCAGCCGCCCTCCGCATTGTAGACTGTCTTGGCCAAAGACAGGCGCGGGACGTGTTCAACCTTTGCACTATGAATGAGTTCAGGAGCTACCTGAATCTCAAGCCGTTCGAAACTTTCGAGGACTGGAATCCTGACCCACAGGTTGCCGCTGCAGCGGCCAAATTGTATGGCCACGTCGACAATCTTGAACTTTACCCAGGCCTCCTTGCCGAGGAAGCCAAACCAAGCATGCCAGGGTCTGGCGTCTGCCCTGGACACACCATTGGAAGGGCTATTCTCAACGATGCGGTGCAGCTGATCCGTGCAGACAGATTCCTCACATTCGACCTCAACAGCAGCACCCTGACCTCCTGGGGAGCGCAGCAGATCACTCAAGCTGCTCCTGGCGCTTACGGTGGCATTCTGCCCACAATCCTTTACCGCACCCTGCCTTCGCAATGGCAGAGGTACTCCAGCTATGCTCTGCTGCCTTTCTATACTCCCAAGGCTGTGCGCCACATTCTCAAAGAGAACAAGAAATTGGACAAGTACGACACCTCTAGACCACCCAAGCAGCTCAAGATGCACGGTGCTCACTCGTACGCTGCAGCTAAAGGTATCTTCTTGGATCGTGAGCGCTTCCGTGTGCCGTACGACGAAAACATTGTGCATCTCACAGGCGCTCGGTTCATGATTGGCCACGACGATGCCTCTGGTCACGATCCGAAGTCTTTGCGCATGAAGAACGCATTCTTTGGCTATCCCGACTTTGCAAAGAAGGCTGAGCAATACCACTTAGAGCACGCCAAGGCCATCATCAAAGATCACAGTCTCTCCTATCACAACGGCCAACGCCACGTTGTCGACGTTGTGCGAGACGTCTGCAACGTCGTCCCAATCCGGTGGGCCGCTCAAAAATACGCGATTCCCCTCAAGACCAAAGAGAATCCCCACGGACTCATGTCGACGTTCGAACTAGGCCTGCTCTTGACCACCCTCTTCCTCTACACCAGCTTCGACCAAATTCCTGCAGCAAGCTGGGTACTGCGCGATGCTGCTGAGCAACATGGCCCACAGCTCATGAAGGTGTTCGAGGGCCGCCTGAAGACCAACTCAGGTGTCAAGGAAGCCATTTTGGACCGTTTCGCTAAGGGCACCTCGTTCGAGGTTTCTGAAGAGGCAGACTTCCTCTATCACTCCTTGATCAAGACCGGCGAGCCTATCAAGCAGCTCGTTGCGGACTGCACGGGTACGATCATTCCTATCGCCGGCAATATGACCCAGCAACCGGGCCTTCTCATCGATCTTTTGCTTGAGCCGCACAACAAGTACGCACTCGATCGTGTTGTCGAGCTCGTCAAGCAGGATACTCCAGAAGCTGACAAGGAGCTTGAGGGATGGATTTGGGAAGGTATGCGTCTGCGTCCTGTCGTTCTCGGCCTGCCCCGCATCGCAGCTGTCGATGTAGACCTGGACGACGGCCCTCGCGGAAACATTGAGATCAAGGCGGGCGACAAGGTGATTGTCAATACCGCTCAGGCACATCTCGATCCCAATGTCTTCCCTGACCCCGAGAAGATGGACCCAAGCAGAGATCGCAAGCTCTACATCCACATGGGCGCAGGCCTTCATTACTGCTTTGGCGCTGCGCTCGTCGTGCCAGCCATTCGAGGCATCTTCAAGGCGGTCTTCTCCTTGCCCAACATCCGCAGAGCTGTTAGTGGTGGCCACTTCGTGGCTGCCAAGGAGCACTTGGGCCACAATGCCGATGCTGCCACTGCGACGCTCTTCCTTGACCACACGTCTCGCGAGTCGCCGATTCCTTCCTCCCTCAAGATCGAGTACGACTCTGCTTGAGCTTGGAAAACAGACATGAATCACCCCATCTTGTGCTACCACCCCTCAACCCTGCAAGACTGGTACAAAAAATTGGCAATCAATGAAACATTAGTCGAGCCAAACAGCTCGGCCTGACTTTCTATCGCGGTATTGTCTCAAAAAGGTTCCTGTAGTCATGAGCGTGCCGTCCAGCAGATTTCCCTGTGTTGTGGCTTACCAGCCGGCTGCCCGGAGGGCAACTACGGTCACATCGAGGATGGTGAACACGGTATCTAGAATACGATGGAACGTGAGAATGATGAGTCGGCTTCCTTCGACTGTTCGAACATGTAGCCTTCTCACCGAGCACAGTGATCCTATCGAACCCGTGTCCCACGATCCATCTGCCGCTAGGTTTGGCCCAGAAAAAGTTCAGAGCAGCCTGACTCGCATTCGCAGCGGCCAGCGCGGACAAAGTCACAATGTCCAGAGCGCGAGCAGTGGCTGGATCTCCATCTGCGCTCAGGACGGACAGGCCACCTCTGCGCGCAGAGACTTGTTTGGAAATCGACGAGGACGTAATGAGCGGGAGGAAGCGCAAAGCTGCCAGAACCACAAAGCCGGCGTTGATACCCCCCAAGTAGCGCATCTGGGCACCAAAAGGGTTTGAGTGTGAGCTCTGAAGGCCTTGGGCAATTGAAAAAGCGCGGGTCGAATACCGACCAAATCATGGTGCCAAGCGTCTCCTTCCGGCGTTTCAATCGTGTCCACCTTCTTGACACGCGTAGAAAGCTTGCGCATCATTTTTTGGGGTAAGAAACCAAAGTGTATGAAAGCGCTAGGGCATCACGGCACATATTCAAGCGGCACGTTATCAGCTCAAGGACTTGTCCTTGCACATCGTCCACAGACCTCTCTTCGATCCGACGCACCTGGTGTGCCAAAGTGCATTGCCAGCGTATAGTCCCGCGCGGAAGCCAGGGCTTGCAAAGAAAGCTGCAATGGATGACATCTTCTCTAGGCCGTGGAGTGAAGTCAGCGATCGTGATCCGTGTTGAGCGACACCGCGTTCCGTAGCTGAGGTGGTGGGCGCCGTGAGCAAGTTCAAAGTGGCCTTCACGAATCACGACGAAGCAACATAGGTCGGGCCCGGCTCCACCATGAGAGCCGGCCAGGCACGATTCACGATTTCATGCATGCACCGTCAGCAGAAGGTCCCGCCGCACACGCACACGTCTTACGGCAGGCGGCGCGGCGGCCCGTGCGACTCTACTACGGGTACGTGGCATCCTCACATCCGCATCCCCTCGTCCCTTGCCACCAGTCACACTACTCGTGACTTGTGCGGCGGTACGGAAAATTGTGCGGAGCATTTAGGTTCAGATGGACAGAAGCATTTGCGCCTCGGCCTGTCTACAGCTGCGTCCAAAGTTCATTCGGCGAGGGTTCCGAATGCGCGCAACGATTCGCTAGCTTATCGAGTATCGCTGTCCTCCACTCGTGGACGTTGCTGGGTCGTCAGGAAATTCTACGACCCTGTCTCAAGCGTTAGCAAGAACACTCGCTTGTAAGGTACGCATGCATTCGTGCTGAATTGCTTGCTGGTCAAAGAAGTTCGCACAGCTTCTGCTCCTGGATTCGCAAGCTTGGCAGAAAGCTTCTAGCAGTATGTCTCTGGCCGACTCATCGGGATCAAGGCCGCCCAATCAAGGTTGGCAGCGTCCTGCGTTTTTTGTTCAGAGACACTATGCGTTCAGCAGTGGTCACTCATGGAAAGCAGTGTGCTCCTACTCACCAGTGTAACGAGGGTAAAGCGAAGCTTCCCGAACGGTGTCTGCGGAGTGCGCCGGAGATGTTGAGAAACTCGTCATCTTCGCACCTAGTGACCTCTGGTACATGCTCCTACTCACATCTGTTCGTGAGCCAAGCCAAGAATCTCTCCACGCCCAGTCCATATCCTCCATGCTCGCAAGTACCGTACTTGCGCTGATCGGTGTACCAGTGGTAGGGTTTGGCATCGATACCTTCGTGCTTATACGCGTCCAACAGCTCCTGAGATCCGCTCATACGCATCGATCCTCCCACGATCTCTCCAACGCCGGGCATGAGCACATCGACGCTCTCCGTGAAGCCTTCGTCGCCCGGAATGCGCTTCATGTAGAATGCTTTGATTTCACGAGGGAAGCCTGTAAGGAAGATTGGGACGCCAATGGCATCCGTCATCTTCCGCTCTGCGGCCTCGGCGATGTCGTCTCCGACTTTGTGGTCTTCTCCTTCGTCTGTCTTGATGTCGTGCTCATTGAGCCAGGCGATCGCATCCTTGTAGTCCATCCGCTTGAAGGGTCGGCTAGGAGCTTTGAAGTCTGGGTTGAGCTGCTGGATGAGGGAAGAGGACGTGGGCTGTGCCAGGACACGGTCGATCGTGCCGCAGATCTACGATGCAGAAGAGCTCCTCTATCAGTACAGCGAAGCAAGTCGAAGTGCAGGCCGGGGAAGATGGACTCACCAACTGTTCAAGGTGTGCAAGCAGATCCTCAAACGTGAGAAAGCCAAGTTCAGCTTCCAAGTGCGTGTACTCGCTCAAGTGTCGCCTAGTGTGGCTCTTCTCGGCTCTGAAGCTTTCCTGAACGCAAAATACGTCTCCGAGCGCCGGTAAACAAGTCTCAAGGTAGAGTTGAGAGCTCTGAGTCAAGAAGGCTTCCTGACCATAGTAGTCGAATTTGAACAGAGTTGAGCCGCCTTCCACTTGCGTTTGCACCATGCAGGGCGGTGTGACCTCCAGAATGCCCTGATCCTCAAATTCTGCTCGGAATCCTTGCAGCACGGCGGCTCGGACCTTGAGCACCGCAGAGGCTGTCTCGCCTCGAATGACAAGATGTCTTGAATCAGCCAGAGAGGATAATTCGGCGGTCTGTAGTGGGGGGATCTGGCTTATCAGCAAGCGATCACGGGTCAGACGCGCGCAAATCGCTTGACTGACTTCTGCAACTCTGTTGCTAAATGCTTCATCGCCGCCTGGTGCTTTGCCGACGCAAGTCCACCAGGATACGGCAAGCTCGTGGTTGTCAGGGGCACTCTTGCCTTCGGGCAGCGCCTTGATTGTCCCGACGACTTCGACCGAAGATTCTAAGGTGAGCGTCAATGCGTCGTACGTCTTTGCCTGGAGGTGAACGTTGAGCACACTGAGCGATAGTTTGCGTCAAGATCACCTCGACTCAAACAAGACTCACAGCCTCTCCGCTGAGCACACACTGCAGGTAACCAGTTCCATCTCGCAAGACCAAGAAGATCAAGCCTTTCTGACTTCGCAGACGGTGAACCCAGCCGCAGATGTGGACAAGCTGATCACGGCTTTGCACACCAGCACGAATCTTGATCTGATCGGAAGGGTGTGGTAGGGATCAATCTTGTGATTCGGTCACAGCCAGTGCACGCGCTGACTCACCCTCTTGCCAAGATCTGCAGGCTTGCTCAGGACGACCAGCTTGCTGTCCTCGAGCCTCTTGCTCTCGTCCTCGGCCTTGCTGGTCTCGCCTTTGCTCTTCTCGGCCTCCTTTTGCTGCTTCTTCATGGCAACCTCGTAGCCCTTCTTGGCTCTCTTCAGACCAGCACCAGAGATGGGCTGGTATCCTGCAGCATCAGCGTCGGCAGCGGGCGCCGCTCCTTCGGCTGGCGCTTTCCGTACTAGCACCTGAGCTGTGGGTCCTGCCGAGACGAGCGCGGTAACAGCTGTGAGGAAAGGCTTGTCTGCTGAACCGGTGCCTGTCTCGTCTGATCCGCCAGTCTCGTCAATGTGGACTGCCCGAAGGAAGGGGTTTGATCATTCAGCGGTGACGGCCTTGGCTCCTAGCAGCGCACTTCGAGCCAACGCACCGATAGACCCAGTGTTTTGCTCCTTGTCACCCAGATAGAGCGCCGCAGCAGCCTGCGAAAGAGCATCTTTGACGCCCGACATGATGTTGCGAGTTTGGTGCGTCGTGTCGGTGTACTGCGAGTAGAAATGGCGTCTGTTCGCGGTGTTCTGACGGCTTGGGAGGAAGTGTAGAGGTGTAGACAGACGATAGCGTTGTAGGCGTGTGTTGTGGTCAATTCCGAATCTGCAAGTGTACGCTGTCAATTCCGGCAGTGGACTGAGTCCAATTTCTGGGCGAGAAGATGAGGGCGACTCTGGAAGGACTGCAGTCTTTCTTGGTGACGTATCGGCTAGCGAGGGGCCATGACTCGAGATCCCTGCTGCAAAGCCAAGTCAGGACGCCCGTGCAAGCGCAGGCACTTATCTCGTGCGAGAACCCTCGTGCTTCGCAACTCGATTCAGGCTCATCCGACTCTCATGATCCGCTTCAAGCATGGCTCCATAAGCCTCTCGCACTCTGCAACTGGAGACTCACAACTGGGCTCTCGATTAGCTAGCTGCAGCTACTCATGACCGCTCGCATACCCTTCGACTTGACTGAATTGTGGATGAGAACCTATCAAACAAAACACGAGCCAAGTCCGGGGCCTCTACAGCAGCACGAAGTGTAAAAGCGATCCAGCGTGCCAAGTTCCTCCACATCAGCCTCCCGACCATCACATCTATTAAGCCAGCTGTTCGTAGCTCTTCCAGAACCTCGGCTGCACCGTGAAGGCATTAAATTCTCCCCACGGACCCAGAGCAAGTATGTCTGCGACGTCAGAGAGCTTCGCGGGCGCAGTGGCTGGTCCGAGCAAGCCTCCTCCATACCTGCAACGATCTCTTCACATCCGGTACATCGCCTCTCTTCACACACACACCTCCTCTCTTGCCTATCGGCTCACGACGCACCTGCGTCTGAACGCGATCTACTGGGCCCTGTGCACCTTGCACATTCTCGATGCTCCAGATGCTTTACCCAGGAACGAGCTGGTGCAATTCACTCTGAGCTGCTGGGATGAAGAGAGGGGAGCATTTGGCCCTCATCCGGGACACGACGCGCATATTCTCGCTAGTTTGAGCGCTGTACAGATACTCGCTCTTTGCGATGCCTTGCCTGATCTTGATGCTGAGAAGCGCGACCAGCTGATCAAGTGTGAGTGAGCGATTGAAGCTCTTTGAGCTCGCCTTGACGAGTTGCTCATCCCTAGTTTGCACATCTCTCTTGTGGTGAACAGTCATCACCTCGCTCCAAAATCCAAGCACAGGTGCATTCAGCGGTGATCACACATACCTCGAAGAAGACACGCGATTCCTCTATTGCAGCGTATCGGCCTTGTCGCTCTTGGGAGCTCTGCATCATCTCGACAAGCCTCTCACAATCCGTGCTGTGCTGGCAGTTCGCAACCACGACGGCGGATTTGGCACAGTGCCTGGGGCAGAGTCTCACGCGGGGCAAGCCTTTGTATGCATGGGAGCCTTGGCGATACTGGGGGGATTGGACGAATTAGACAAGAAGGCCAAGGACAAGACGGCCAGTTGGCTGGCCGAGCGGCAGCTAGAGAACGGAGGGCTGAATGGCAGGCCTCAAAAGCTCGAAGATGTGAGTGTTAGGCGGCGCGCACGCAGTTGGGCCCACTATGCTGCAGTCTGACAACGCGATGAGGACGACTCTCACCGCGCAGGTCTGCTACAGTTGGTGGGTCCTCACAGCTCTCTCCATCCTGCACAAGCTGCACTGGATCTCTCCTCCGAAGCTCTGCGATTTCATTCTATCTGCTCAGGTAAGTTGGCACACGACTTCACTCGTCGGGTCACGAAGCTTGACTCGCACTTCCTCACCAATCGCATCCTACTTAGGATCCCGACCACGGTGGGATCGCAGACAGGCCCGACAACGTAGCGGACGTCTTTCACACCTTCTTTGGCGTTGCCGGGCTGTCGCTGCTAGGCTATCGGTTAGACGACAATGCCAAAGATCAAAGTCACGAGTCAGCCGACGGTTTGAAAAATGCAGAGCCGGATGAATGCTCGTTGCTGCAGGAAATCGACCCAGTGTATGCGCTGCCCGCGCGCGTCACGAAGAAGTTAGGTCTGCAACTCGACTATCAAGCCCTTGGCAGATAGCACAAGTTTTATGAGAATAGCACGCATCACTTTCAATTGCTCGCCTGTCGTGTCCATAGCATTGGGACCGATTTGGACTTCGGCGCTCACTTCACGTGTCGAAGTGGTGATAAATCTGGAGCATTGCCTCATTGACGGTAGTCTTGTACACACTGAGTCAGGACCATCGAAAGTGCTCATCGCTTTCGCTGCTGTCCGCCCAGAATAGTGACGAGCCTGACGAAGATGTTGATAGCGTCCAACTCCAATCCGATGCTGTCTCGGAGAGGGTCGGCAGGGATCATTCCTGCTTGAGCCATCTGAGCTTTCCTGACAATCGACTGAGAGTCATAAATGAGGAAGAGTGAGAAGACACCAAGTCCTCCGTAGATCGACAAGGCTTCGGTCACTGCGAGAGCTCGGAAAGCCGTCGCTGGCAGAACGAGAGGCGCGATTGACGAGAGCGCCACGATGGACACACCAATGAGCAATGGCGTGCCGAGCCACAGGTACTGTCCATCCTTTGCGGTCATGCCGACCCAGCAGCACGATCCAACAATACCAGCGGTATAAAGAGCTGCGAAGCGTCGACGTGGATAGGTCAGTGGTTTGAACGTAGTCCGCTGATATGAAATAGTCGACTCACCAGCGCGAGAAAGCACTGCAGGCGCAAAGAAGAAGAGCGGAGAGAGCACGGCAGCTTGCGCAGCGTTGAAGAGCACGTAGCTGGCCATCTTTCCAGGGCTACCAGGTGGCAAAGTCTGAGCCCCGATCATGCCGCCGATGGAGCAAACCAGTCCGGCTCCCATGACCAGCCAAGGATTGGCGGCCATAAGAGATCGACTGGCTCCCATACGATGCAACAGGAAAGCACCGCCACCCGTCATTGCGAGACCTGTAGCTAGCCAGCCGAACGTGGAGTGGACGTAGTTGGAAACGAACTCGCTGAAGGGCGCGTCGCGTGTCTCTCGGTTCATTAGCCAGTGCACTGTGATGGGTGGCAAAAGGCGCTGCTTTATCAGCGTCATCAGGGCAACCATGATCAAGAAGTCATCAGACTTACCTGCTACTGCACCACCCACGATGAGACCGCCAGAGCTCAGAAGTCTAGCCCATGCTCCTGGCTCTCCCATGGATCGCGGACCGCTAGGAGCTTGATGGGGCAGCGAAAACGCTTTGATCTTGTCGCCTGCGCCACCCTGAGGTCTGAAAGGTGAGGTTCGAACACCGCGAATCTGCTGGCCGACGCTATTCGGTGAAGACAGTCTCACGCCTGAGTGCAGTCGCAAAAGTGACTGGGACGCTTGGGCTTTCTGTTGCTGGAACGCGTGCCTGAGGGGCGAGAAGGTAGAGTTCATTCGGACCGGCGCAGTGTACGCGGTCACTCCTTTGCTGGCAGCTGAAGAGCCCAGTGCCAGCGAGGTCTGAAGGGACCGCGCCAAACTCGCGAAGGAAGGTCGCAACATGTTGAGAATGTGATGTCGCGCTTGGATGATGGTGTTAGTAGTCATGAGTGTAAGCAAATATCAAGCCCTTCTGGCGATGTCTTGTACCCTGTCATCCTCATGCAGTGCTGACCCGCGACGCGTGCGCACGACCCATGGCATTTTCTAGAAGTGGAGGCAGAGGGCACGTGACATCATTGCAGTCGTGAGTGAAACAGCTAGGTGTTGAACAAGGCTTATGGGCTCGGCCACAACCCACCAAGAGTCACACAAGTCATGATGAGGTCTTCAAGCGTAAATAGCGTATCATAGTCGTATGCTCACCTCGAGAGGGCGAAGAGACCGGCGACAGGTGGGGAGAACATTCGGATCAAGCGCGCACGAGCAAATGACACTCAAACACAGGTCAAAGGTTGGACGTTTCGGTGTTCATTTGAACTCGTGGGGTCTTCAAATAGTACATGATGGAGAAGAGTCTAGGCGTTTATACGGCAGGCGCTGGAAAGGCAGCATCGGACAATCTTGTGGAAATGGAACATTAGAAATTGAGAGCGGTGATCGCAGGATCGGGTCGGAGTGGTATGCGTAGTCAAGAGCTGCCGACCGCGACGCTGCGTGACCTTTAGAGACCACCAGGAGCGCTGGCGCCAATAGGGATCTTGCGTCTGAGCTCCATGCCAAAGACGCCCACAAAGGCGAAGGCGCCGAGCACACCGACGATGATCCAGACGCGGCCGAGGGCGTGGTTGGCAGCGTCGAGCACTGCCGGTAGAATCTCTGCAGGTGTGGTCTCGCGGAAAGCGGAGATACCGTGGCGTAGGATGGATCCAGGGTCGGCTCCAGGGATCTCGTTGAGGTAAAGCTGGAACTTGTTTTGGAACACTGACTGCGCGACGGACACAAAGATCGTTCCACCAAGAGTCTGGAAGAAGATGACGATACCGCTGCCGAGCGCAATGTCTTGAGGAGCGAGTGCCGCAGAGGCTGCAATGAACGGCAGCATCCAACTCATGCCTGGACCGAAACCAGCCAAGAATTGGAGACCGACGTACTCCGAAAGGCTGGTGTCAACCTCGAAGACGGAAAGGATGCCACCGCCGATGGCCACCAGTGCGGTACCAACGATGAGGAAGGGGATGTAGTGACCGGTCTTGTTGACGACGCCGCCAATGACTGTAACTGCGAAGACGACAGCGACGATGAATGAAAGCATCTGGACACTTGCGCGAATGGCAGATGAGCCGCGAACGGCTTGGAAGTAGATGGGCAAGTAGTAGAGCTCGGTAAAGTATGCACCTGCGACACCAAAGTTGACAATGGTGCCGAAGCCGACCGTTCGCTGCTTGAACAGTCGGAAAGGAATTGTAGCCATCTCGCCCATGAACCACTGATCAACAAGGAAAGCGATGGCAATGACGACGAAGCCGACGATGAGACCGATGATCTTGGAGTCGCCCCATGCGTAGTCGACACCTCCCCATTGAAGCACGAGGAGGAGAGAAATGAGAGAACCGAGGATCAGGAAGCTGCCGAGCCAGTCGATCTCGGTGATGCGCTGAATGACCGTCTTCTCGTGCTTTGCCTTGGGCACCTGGAGGGCCAAGAGGACCGCGGGCCCAATAAGAGCGTAGAGGACCAAGTTGAGGTAGAAGCACCAACTGGGTACGAAAGCAGGAAATGGGAGAACGATGTTAGTTTTTGTCGCTTCATATGCATTCCCGCTCTTATCGCGCTCGCACACTCACCGCCAAGTAGCGTGCGAGGTGAGGGCACCACCGATGAGAGGTCCGATGGTCGCTCCGATGCCGTAGCTGGCGCCCATGAGACTGGTGAGCAAGGGACGTTGCCTCAAGGGAGCAATGATGTTCACGATGATCATACTACCGCTGTAACCACCAGCCAGACCAAGACCAGCAATGGCTCTGCCCACGATGAAAGTCTTGGAGTCCTTCGCAACCGCGCAGATGAGAGAACCAATCTCGAAGATGAAGAGCGCGGCTTGATAGGTGTTCTTGACGTCGAAGCTAGAGTACAATCTTCCGAAGAGAGGCTGGAATGCAGTAGATGTCAACAAATAAGCGGATCCGTACCATCCGACGTCGGTAAAACTTTGGACTGCAAAGTGTGAAACCTCAAGTCAGAAAAGCGCCTTGGTGAGGGGTCGTTCGTGTAAAAGACTCACATTGGTTGGTGATGATGGGCACAGCAGTCGAGACAATGGTTTGATCGAGTGCTACGAGGAAGACAGTCAGATTGACAGCCTAGAAATGACAAAGAGGAGTGGTCAGAGCGCGCTACAAAGGATGAGACAGGCACGCTCGTCACTACTCACGGTCATGATCAAGACAAGCCTGAGACCAGTCACGTAATTCGACTCGTCCTCAAGCGCAGGATCAGCTTTGGCAGCGATGGGGTTCTCTGCCATCTCGACGTCCTTCTCTTTGAGCTCATGGTTGCCGCCGTCACTAGAGTTGGAAGTGTGCGGTGGTCGCTCGGTATCGCTGACGGTGGAGGGCGCACCGCTGGCATTGTGCGCGAGTGTTTGAGACATGGCGAAAGGTGTTGCGGGTGGGATCAATCTTCGCCGAGGTGAGGGGAGGGGGCGTCCGACTTAGGTGGGATGACATGTGGGGGGTTTGGGATATCGGCGCTTAGACGGATCGTTTTAAAGGTTCGTCGACACATTCGTCAATCACACCGAGAGGATGCTGAGCAGCCGCATCGTCCCACACACAGCCAAGCAGATGCGCGGAAGGAAGCTGTATATCCGAGACAAGCGCTCACGGTGTAGCCGAGCAGATTCAACACCATTCTGCTAAGCTCCGGCACTGTCGCCAGCAGGTAGAGCAAGCACGATCCCTTGATTATCATCTTACGCTTTGGCTCCATGCATCAGCATTTTTGCATGATAGCGGCTGCAGACGGAGTCGCAAAGGACGCAAATGACTTTTTAGCCGTCAAGTATATGCCGACGGGAGGGATGACATCCAGCGATTCAGACTCGACTCGACTCGACTGTGACTCGTGAATCACATGTCGAGCACGGTCCGCTTTCTGCTGCTGCAGACTCGCGACTATTCATGCTGATGTTGCATGAAACGCATGCATGCACCGCGCGTATGCCAGAGCGATCCGTCACTCATCTGCTGCAGTCATGTCAGCCTCAAATCAGGATTCCGACGGGTTGAGAGCGCTGGTCTCGGGAACACGACGCGTGTCTCCGGCGTTCATGTTTCTCTTCCTTGGGCATTGATTGCTTTGCCGAAGAGCCGCTACGATTATTCTTGATTACACCTACTCTGTACCGGTACACGATCCAAATGGTCACATGCCCCATCATTCGCATATATGTTCACCATATCCTGCAAGGTCGAGACGTGCGATCACGACGGGAGTCTTCCTGAGCCTCTATTTCGTGCAGAGGCTGCCCTCTCTGGCCCACGGCTGGAGCACAGATGAGGGGTAAGCACCGCTCCTTTGACCGGCATATCACCGAAGCACGACATGTGGTGTACAACAGCATGTAATGACTCGCCACGCGAAGCCTGCATGACAGGCCGTCAGACGCAGAAACAAAACGCAAGGGATACAAGCCCAGTGCCCGCTGCTCGCATGAAAGGGTAGGCTGCTTCCGGTGTGAGCCTCGTCCAGGAGCAGCAGAAATAAGAAGCAAGGAGAGCCTTCCTAGCTTTGTGACCCCAGGGCTTGCTTGCTGCATACTCGTCCACAGCATCAGCTCCGATCGAGCGCACGTACAAGATAAAAGATGCGGACCGAAATCCTGTCAGAATGCAGGCACGCCGCCGCCGCGGCACTTCCATCTCGTCGGCTGTTGCGCGTGGTGTAGCTGAATCCGGCACGCCGCGGCTGTCACAACGAGGCTCATCACGCGTGGCTTACTCGAATGCTGACACCCCTTCGGGCCTAAGCGCGGGCTGACGCGGCAATTTGTGACTGCAACGCGGAGATAGCGCGAAATGCGGCCGAAGTCAAGAGCGACACACAACATCAGACTCACGACTTTTTAGATTCCACTCGCGACTCTCTCACTTGCGCGACTTGTGACTCGACTGTAATTTCCTCGTCTTGAATGGATCCGCAGACGTGGATCCCTGGTCATCACTTCTAAATTCATGGCGGTCGTCCATCAAGGGGCTCGCATCTTGGCGCATACAACAGAAGAAGGATAAGCAGGCGCAACACAGGTCCGGCAGTCCTCTGATGGTGCGCGCAGTGGATAGAAGCCAGCTTCGAGGCTGATGGAAGGGCCATGCTTACAGCGACGAGACTCGCGGTTAGGCCTCATAAGCTGGCATCAGCCTTTCATCAAGACAACGCCAGAGGCTTCGTCGATCCAATGCGGGTGCTCTGTGTAGCGCGCAAGGCTCGTCTAATTGAGCAATCTTGGCATCGCCGAAAACCCGTCGAGGCTTGAGGCAAAAGCTACTTCATTGTCGCCGTCAAGCTTCAAGGCTTACTCGCTGCGCAGTGAGCACGGATGCATGCGCTAGAGTAATCGCGATCGCAGGTGCCAGCTTGGGCGGGAGACACGTTTGGTCTGGCCGGGTGATCAGAGTGGCGAGAGAGTGACGGCTTACGTTTTGCTTTTACAACGGCGAGACGTCGTGCTACGTTAGTGGTCAACTCACCAGGCGCGCCCATTCTGTTTGCGCCAATCGTCGCTCGCATGTAAGCGTTGGCGACTTGGAGATTTGCGTAGGCTACGAGCGCATTTGCCATCTGATACGCAAGCTCGGGATCCATTACCCTTGCTATGCATGCGATGTCTTCGTGGCGTCTTTCTATCGCCACCCTGATGCGACATGGGCTGAAAGTCACGCACAATCATCACTGTTCGGAGCTTTGCTGCCCTTGGAGAGTGGGGATGAAGGATTGGAATCAATGACACGCCCCCCCTCCCCCCCCCCCCCCCCCCCCCCCCCCCCCCCCCCCCCCCCCCCCCCCTGGTGTCTTGGCCCCCCACCACGTGCAACATCGTGCAATCAGAACAGAAGTCCCAATCAAGATCTCGCACGCCAAATTGTGTGCCCTTCTTGCGCTGTTGACCGCGAGCCGCCAGCAAGTGTAAGTCCTGATGAGTATTTCTGGACCTATAGACCCGCCACTTTCGTGACTCGACTGAAATACGCTTCGTGGATGGAGCGGCTTTGTGTTCGTGGTTCAAAATACAAAGCCGACTACCGGCATCACGTGCACGATCGCCTAGCCAAGAAGACCGCGTGTACGGCAAGTACGTCCAGCAAGAGGTGCATATATGATAAGCCATTCACGTTCACGATGATTCAGGTTTATTTCGGTTGGATTCTTGATTCTTGATTCTTGATCGGTGATCGCCCCGTTCATGATTTTGAACAGAAGACAGCTGCGTCCAAACTCTCTTGCCAAGTATCGAGTCACATCTTTCCGACCACAAACTCACGCACACGCCTGCAGCATTCAGCTTGTGTAGCGCAGGCCAATCGCGATGTCGCCGAATCCCTGACTATCCTCGAGGGTGTTGTCGCTTTGCGACCTACACAAAGGCTCAAAAGCAGCACTTCGACCGGAACGATACAGAATCGAAAGCGTATCAAGACCAAGCTCGTCCTTCTCTTGCCTCGCCTGCGTCACCGGACTCTTTTGTGTGTGTCATGTCAGACTCCAGCAACGAAGTACTGGTCAACGTATTTGGCACTTTGGGCGCGGTGAGCAGTGCCAGGCATCACCTCGTCCGTACACTCAACCACTCACAGACATCGCTCGCCATTCTTTCATCACAGGTCCTCTGGTCTGTTCAGCTCCTGCCTCAAATGTGAGCAAGGCGCGCTTGGATGGCGTCTACCGAAATTTGTATGGACTCGTCATCTGATCGCTTGACTGCGAGTTTGCGCAGCTACCTCAATCATCGCCGGCGTCAAGTGCAGGGAGTCCAGCCATCCTTCATGATGCTATGGGCCGTCAGCGGGCTCGCGCTTGGCGTGCACAATGTGCTGGCCAATGTCAACAGTGCGTGTCCGCCGAATATTGGACGGAATGAGTGCTGACCGTGCGAGATCTTCGTACAGTTGCATTACAGGTTCAAGCTCAAATTCTAACCGCACTTTCCCTAAGTGTGTTGGTAGTCGAGACTAGCGCAGATAACAGGCTGCCCACCGCTCATCGCCCGGCTCCCCCATTCTTTGCAGTTACCTGGGCGCAAATCATGTACTTTGAACACGTGAGGCAGTATGTTCTTCTGCGCTTGCAAAGGCCTTCCCCCGAACTGACATATAGATGATGCCGGAACTCACAGCAATGGAGCAAGCTCCGCACATGTCTCATCACCTCCAGTCTTGCATTCGCCTTTGCCGGAGTCGAAGCAGCGCTCATTGCAGGATTGAGGGTCAGTCCCGATCACCCGGATGCAATGCCTCACTCTCACACAAACTTCATTCGCCTTCCGCCTGACAGTATGGCCTGACGCAGGGACCTCCTCGCTGGTTCCTCACCTTTATGGCCATCCTCGCAGCAGTAGGTCTGGCACTCGGCGTCCTGCGAGAATATGTGGACATTCTCCGCACGCAGTCGACCCAAGATCTCAGTCTCATCTTCGTCTACCTAGATGCGGGGGGAGATTTGACGAGCTTGATCAGCGGTGCGTTGGCACGTCGAGAGCATGCGCAGTGTACAAGGCGGCTCATCTCCGCTTGACCGCACAGTTGCGCTAGCATCGCCCTTGTCCATCGAGTCCATTGTGATTTACGCATCGGAGCTTTTGCTGTGGATAGGCATCATGATCTTGGCAGTGTGGTTCGGGCCTATGAAGAGGTGGAGACATCGGAAGGCAACAAAGTCTCACAGCGTGAATATCGGCATCGAACAGCATGTAGAAGATGCAGAGACCACACAAGCAGCAGAATTGACATGAATGAGTGCTGGCCCTATATTCTTGATTACGAGTCGCCGATTATACCGCGGCGACTATGACCATGGCAGAAGTGAACCATTTGCTGCGCCCAGTGATTGATGCGGTCCCGGCCGCTAGGAAATTTGAAACCATGATACATGAGTCACAGCTATTATATAGTGCCAGGCATTTCATCAGCCATCAATGCAGAGCGGCAGTCCGATCCGCACTCGATTTGGGCGCATGCACCAATCATGCCATCAATCCCCCGACCCTGCCGTTCGCTGTATATGAGTCAAGATTGTCTTTGGGGCTGCTTCTCGTCTAACCACACAATCACACAATCCCTTACGCCCAGCTTGTATGGAAGGGATTCGGCATTCGCAGTCCATGAGTAGGCCAATCCGAGGCTCTGCTGCGTGCGCCAACGAATGCCATGATTGTCATCGCATCAGTAGAGTCTGTTGAGTATTGCGATCACGCCCCAACTCTTCGAAGCAGATGAACAGAAGTGCACAGTAGAAGAAGCTTGTGCCTGTGCCACGTCTCAAAGCAACGCGCCCAGTGAATGGCCCGGCCGCTGCGCTACTGTCACTTGTTGGCAAGCTAGCGTTAGTGTTGGTGAGGTAAGGCTTGCCCGGCTAGAAGTAGCGTCATGCGGGCTGTCGCGCCGAGCAAGCATGGTATGAGCTCAAAAGATACGTGTATAGCGCTGTTCCCACGATTGTGCTCTCTTGTCACAAGCATTGCAATTGCTGGGTACGATGCGGAGACAGTCTTCCAAGAGGGGTGAGACCTCAAATAAGCATGATGTTACATGAAGAGGAACTGTAAAGGACGGCGAGGTTCTGGTTTTGAAGCAGCAAGCGAACGCGGCATGATGGAAAGGATTGAAGGTGTATTGTGGACGTGAAACGGTAAATGGGCATAGGGACACCTTCGGAATGAAGCGCAAGATTCAGATGAGCTTGCGCGAGGAGGCTGAGCCTGCTAAGGTGTTCCATTGAGAGATTCAAGGAGCAGCGCAGCGCGAGGTGAGGGCATTTGCTTCAGATTGAGGAGCGTGCTAGATGCTGCCACGGTGTGCCATGAGGTAGGCACCCAAGCCACCTTGGGGTCCAGGACCGACAGGATGGCCATGTTGATGCTGCTGTTGGTGGTGCACTGCTGTCCCAGCGCTGCTGTAGGGTCTTCCGCTCGGATCTAAAGGGGCAGATTGAGCCGCATAAGGTGCACCGCTCACAGCTCCGTTCGAAGGCGGGCTCATGAAAGCACTGCCGGCGTGAGGTGCGCTGTAGCGCGGCTGGTGGCCACTGATGCTGCCCATGGAAGAGCCGCTTGGTGCACCTTGGTAGGTCAAGCCGCTTCCCGACGGGTAGACATGCTGCATAGATCCTGGAGCGCCGGAAAATCCAGCAGAAGGGACTCCTCCGCGCAGTAGATCGTCGCCGTGAGTCGGAACTGCGGCTTGACGACGTGACTCTTCCTCACGCTTCCCTTTTCTCCACGCTTTGCGCATCTCTTTGAACTCTGCGGGCGGGAAAAGATGATGTCGGGATCAAACTTTTGAGATGGCCTCCTTCCTCAACCTGTGACTAGGTACTCACCTCCTGGAGTGCGCTTGGCGCCGTGCTTTTGCATCGCGACATGAGCGTTGAGATGATTTAAGGTTCCGTAGCTCTTGGCACACCCGGGGAAGCTGCAATTGTAAAGACGCTCAATCTCATCATATCTCCTACGGGGGCGCTTCTTGTGATTGCTGCCATGGCCACCTGGACCTCCCGCGCTCTCATCGCCGCCAACCATGTACGAAAAGATTTTCCCGCCGCCGCTCGTGGGCGAGCCTTCGTTCATGGATGAGACGGAGCTGATGGACGCGCGCGGACCGCGGTTGTAGTTGGCTGGAGCCGGAGGTAGAGGAAATCAGCATGCGTTATCGATGCACCTGCGCTGCAAAGGTAGAGTGACTTACAAGGGATCGCCCCAGTCCAACCCTGTGGTCCCAGGCCGAAAGGTCCGCCAAACATGCCGTCGGCGGTATGAGGGCGGGCAGATCCGCTCGCGTTGCCCCACGCGGCCATATCACCCGCGTGCGGCGGTGCGCCCATACTAGAAAAGCTTGCGGATCCGCTGACTGGAGCAGTGGCAGTGGGAGCGGGGTGCGAGTAGTGGTGAGACATGACGGGGCCCGAGATGGATGCCCGGTGGAGCATGTGAGCAGGAGGCTGTTGATAATAGCCGTGAGTAGATCCGCCATGTGAGGATCCAGGAGGCGGAGGGGTCATCACCCCGGCACTCGAGGCAGGGCCAGATTGATATTGGCTCGAGGTGTGATGAACAGCTGAGCCGTGGCCATTGCTATAGTCATGGGAGGCACTGATCGTAGCCGCGCTGCCATCGCTGGGATTCATGATGTGCGAATCAAATGAAGTAGGCTCAGCATCATAGCTGCCACCTGCATGACTTCCATTGCCATGGTAGCGAGCGGTTCCGTCGTGTGCACTGCCGTCGAGCGCTTGTGCTAAAGGAGGCAGATGTTGACCTCGAGATCCATCGTACGAAGTAGAGCCGTAGTAGCCAGCGTGTGAGTTCTCATCGTCTGGCGAGGTGTGTCCGCGCTGAGCCACACTAGCGTCGGAAAAGGAGTGGCCTGGCAGATGGCTGGCGCCATTGCTGCTGTATTCACCCGGAGGAGCTCCATATCCGGGAGCGTTATGCGAGTAGTCCGCTCCGCCGAGGTTGGGGTCGAGCTGGTCATGATCGTAAGGTGCATACCCCGCTGACGCTGGGGGCAGAGGTTCGGCGAAGCCAGAATCCGCTCCTCCCTCGACCTTGCCCATAGGTCTGCGACGAGTGATGCGTGACATGTCGATGAGCTCGACGCGAAATGAACAGTGATTGTTGTGTGGCTGGTGAAGATGACAGCTGCTATGCTGTCTGGTGAGGTATCCGAAGACGCCACGGTCTATCGAGCCGTTGACGCGAAGATGATCCGCTCTGCGCACGCGTCGCGAGAGCGCTAAGTTAGCGGCAAATGACCTGATTAGATGGGCGGCGCTGCTTCTCACGCAGGCGATTCCGCTAAGGATGCCGTCGCGAGAGTCTTGAGTTTGCCTGGTGCTCGTGCGCTTTAAGGAGGCTTGCGTCGAGGGAGATCACCGTGAACGCGAGTGAATGATGCTCGTGTATGCTAGATGCTTGTGTGGTGTGCGCACCGTGGTGATAGGGTTGGATGTAGAGTCTGACGAGATGGGACGATGAAGTGGGCTGAGTGAGGTGTGCCAGTCCAGGCTCTACTTCGCGGTGGATGCGGTCGATTCCGGACAAGCTAGGGCGTCAGTCACACTACTCACACAAGGCACGCTAAATCGACGAGCAAGACGCAGCAGCACGCAGACCGCGCTAATTCCAACTCGCCGCTAGCCCACAGCGTGGCAGGAAGAACGCAGGCAGATCATCTGCGTTGCTTAGCGCGTCTGGTGAGGTGAGGTGATGGGTCGGGCCAGCAGCAGCAGCACGCAGTTACGCAGTGCCCAGGTCTTGAAAGATACCGAACAACGACTGCGGGACGCGAGCATGTGTGTGTCGCGAGGTGAGGCGCGATGCAGATGAGCCCCTCATGCAGCACCCATGACTCGCTTCCATGTACATTTGCAGAGCCGTCGAAGATCTGCAGCTCTGGTCCTGCACTCGCCCTGCTGTGACTCGCACAACTACAGTACTCTTGACTCTGTGATTGCTGCAGGCTTTTGTCCCGGCCAAGGCATCCAGTCAGTTTTACGAACGGCAGCGCAAGACTGACAACATGCAAGCGGGCGGACAGAGTGCAGGCAGATGAAGGTGCATCGCAGCACGTTCATGGCTCAGCTTGCATGCTCCAGGTTTATAGAGCTCGTGGGGGCATCAGACCTGTTCTGACGCTCTTGACTTCAAACCTTGTCAACTTGTGCCTGTCGAATGCTGCCACAGTGCAGCGGCAACTTGGCCGGGGCATATCCCCCCCCCCCCCCCCCCCCCCCCCCCCCTCACGAGCAGTCATGAGCATTCACGATTTGGCCCTTCACATTTCGCAGCGCTCCTTTCCTCCGACGCATTGTGGGCAGCCACGGCGAGAGGACAGTCAGGGTCACAGTGCAGTGTGAACGGCTCTCGTACGTGCTGAAGTTGTGAGTCAGTCATGCATCTGTGCGGGACGCGGGAGGCGGAAGCAGATTATTCTGCGTGCTTGTCCAGAACGGACGCGCCCGGCCTGAGTGCGTGCAGGCTGGGGTTCACGCGGGAGAGAGAGCCTCGTAGCTGTGCCGCGAACACCACGCACGACCTCGCGCGACCTTCTGTCTCAGCGCCTGGCCAAGCCATGTGTCTCATCGCGTCTGCATTTCCATACAGCTGGCGCGTTGCAATCGTTCGCAATTAGTGATTTCACGCTCGTCGGGAGCTGAAATCAGAGAGTTCACATCAATTTCATGCAGCCCTTTGTCTTGTAGGTGAAGATAGCAGAATCAAATACATGCAATCGAAAATCACAAACGCAACATCATGGTCGGGTTATCGAAACGTGTACATGGCTCGTCTCTTTCACCGCTACGACTCGCATCTCGTAACTCTGACTGCCGTGCCGTTGGCGCCAACGACGTCAGCTTCACGACTTTGAATGAGCGTCGGCATGACACACGGGGATCGTTGCGTCAAGTCATGCCACTTGTATGCGCAGAGCGTGCATGGCTTGGCGAACAACGACGAATCTAGGCGAGCGATGCTGAAAGCGGAGATCAAGGCGCAGCCTTCTCCGATGTCTCTTTGTCAACAACACCTTGCGTGCTCTTCCGGTGTGACTCGCGACTTACATCGCCGCAGCATACCTTCAACCCAGGGGTGTGATCTGAAGCGCTCTTGGAGCTAACACGCGCATGAGACTTTCTCACGTCACGAAAGAAGACGCAATCACGAGATCAAAAGTATTATGGTGAGCGTAGACAAATACATGCAGCAAAAGATCCAGATGTATCCGTCGGCGAGAAGCATGGTATCCTAGCTTCAGCGAGGAGTCATGCAGTCGAGCTGGAGTGTGGCACAGGTGCTGCAAAGTAGAAGAGCAGCATACCGACCGGTGACCAGTCATCCTTCGCATCAGATTCGGTACTTGGGCCCGATACCCCTGAACGCGAGGCTACCGAGGAATGCCTGAGGCTCATCGCGCTGGTTGTCTGGCTGCACCGTCGTTGTGAGCTCGTCGAGCGTCAATACCTTTCTATCTTGACCATAGACGGGCCAGGCGAGCTGTCCGTTGTTGAAATTAGGGTTCAAGGTAGAAACGAAAGCGATGAATCTAGACTGAAACTCTTCGGTGAGTCGAGTGTTGACAAATCCATACGTGTAGAGTAGCTCCGAGGCATGGAAGGATCCGATCAGGAAAACATACTGTGAAAAGTTTTTGGAAGACGATCAGTTTGCCACGATCCACAGCCCCCTTGTGCAATACGTCTTCCCACACGTACCTTGAAACCTCTGAAGTTATATGAGAACGTGTTGCGCGGCTGATACTTCTGTACTTCCTTTAGGAGACGCTTGCGAGGGGCTTGAAACGTAGCGTCTGTCATGTCGTTGTGTAGAGGCGCAAAGCTCCCAACGTGAGCGGCGAAACGGCTCTACTGTTTGTTGCCGCGTTGCAAGACTCACCACCAAAGATGCTAGCAACGCGTTTGTTCTGCGAACTCAGAGCACCGTACAGCCCTGTGCCATACGGACTGCCGTCAGCAGGATTATTTGGGTAATATTTGGCAAGTTGCTGGTAATCCGCCTCGGAAACATCGGTGTAGAGGACCTAGAATGAGCGTGTTCGAAGGAGGATCAGCATATGTCGCACGTGCTTCGGCAAGCGGACCAGACTTACTTCTTGAACCCAACGCTTGAATCCCGCGTCGTCCGTCGTGTTTGGGGTGACCGCAGGCGTGGTCAGGATGGTACCCTCATCCTCATTGTCCCCATTGATTATCGCGACATCTTGATTGAACTTTCCTTGTGCGACGAGATTGTCGGGAGTGTCTTGAGCGTAACAGAAATCGTCAACATCGCTTCCGCACGGCGCACCTATCTGATCTGCCCCGCAGCCTCACCAGGAATAAAATCTCCGTCGACAGTCGGTGGCCATGCTAGGGTCACGCCGGACCAGGTCCCCAATCCGGGGACTTGATTCATTGCATTATCTAGCGCGTCTGCGCTGAGGGCCTGCAAGCAAGCAAGCCGTCCTGCGGGAGCGCTGTTGCATCCCGCGGCGCCCGATAGTACTGCGATGGGCCGAGTAACATCCTCTGTCTTGGCGAGACCGTAGGGGCTTCCGCTATTTCAAGACGACGCGTTTCGTTGACGTCAGCATCCGCGCTCAGACAAGGCTGCCTCATGATTTCACTCGCCTCTCCATGATGGCAGCGCGATACAGCCCCTTCGAGCTTGTCTGGCCGCGCGACACGAGATGCAGTCCAGCCGAGATGGCGCCGGCTGACTCGCCCCAGATGGTCACCTTTGACGGATCTCCACCGAAGGCCGCAATGTTGTCGTGAACCCATTCCATCGCAAGGCGCTGATCGCGCAATCCCATGTTGCCCGAACCTGCTGACTTGATCTCTGGCCCGCCAAGAAAGCCGTAAGCTGCGACACGGTAGTTGATCGAAACGTAGATCAATGGTTGTTTCTGGCTGACAGAGCGCTGAATGAGGCTTGTTGGTTCGTAGATGTCAAGCGACCCAAACTGAAAGCCACCGCCGTACATCCAGAAAAGTACTGGCAGCTTTGCGTCTCGCTTAGTGCCCGCTGGACGGTGCACGTTCAGAAATAAGCAGTCCTGGATGTCGCGCGAGGAGGGTGTCGCGGTCAGCAAGCATCATACAATTTGGAGCTTGGCAGCGCACTGACTTCGCTTCCTCTCTGTCCACCGTTGGTTGGTGCATTGAGACGTGCGAATGCTTGGGCGAAGGCGCTGTCGTTCTGCGAGTTGAAGAATTTATTAATGGCATCGGTGTATGGATTTGCGGGTGCTACGTAAAGCGTGACGGAATGCCAGATAAGTGCTAGACTTTGTCATGACAGTTTGCGGGGCGCTCTCACGTTGTATTAGCGGCATCTGGCGACAAGAGGGTGGATTTTGCGTCGCTTGGAGCACTCCGGTGGGTGCATCAGCCTTCACGGGTGGCATGAAGCGAAGCTTTCCCACAGGGGCTTTGCCATATCGCAAAGCTCTGAAAGACTGCAAGAATCGCGAATGTGTTAGTGAAGTCGTTTGGCCAAGAAGCCTGAAGTTGAAGTCGCTTACCTCGATGCCGTTTGCGGACGAGCCGACCACCGTCGCTTGGCCAAGACTGATGCTGGGCGAATTGCTGTTGGGGCCGAGTGACGCAGACAACGCTGGGCACGCGCTCACAACCAGCAACAGACTGAGCGAACGTAGAAGGAGCATGTTGAGGCGGAAATAGAGATTTGAGGATGCGAAGGGGGGCAAGTCAACGGTGGCCGGTGCGAGCAATGATGCTCTGACGGAACGCCAAAGTCCAGCTCAACGGTTCAGGAATACGGAGGAGAGGGGAGTACGATTTATGGAAAGGGAACAGCAACACCAAGGCTAGGTAGAGTATATATACTCGCAGACACGGCGTCACACGTTCACAAGTGCGAGACTTCTGACTCAGCTCCACCTCGCCGTATGTATGGGAAGAAGACGGTCGAGGGGTCCGGGCATCTGGTAGAGGGGTTCAGGGATACAAGACGTCTTTTTCAGGAGCCCGCATGGCGGCACGCGCGGATAAGAGCTGAGGGATGGCGGACCCTGCCGCGGACAACGTTTTCAGACCTCTCTCATTTAAACCGTGAATGGGGCTTTGAGTCCTTCTCGACTTGCTTGCTTGCCGAGCGCGCTACGTAAGCTCTAGGTGCCGATCATGAGCCGATACTTTGACACACTTGGCACTGGTTAGGAACAGCCGCATCCACCATTTACGAAGATGAAGTTGGAAGTTGCGAGGAAGTAGTGCTGCAGATGAAAGTCCATTGCAGCAACAGCGGAGGAGGAGCCTAGCGAAGGAAGGAGTCACAGTGCAATGAGCGTGGAAACGAGGGGCCATGCGGGCATAGGAACGGTCCAAATCGTGAGACTTGAACGGAAACGCGTGAATGCGAAGAGGAAGCCATGTCATGCAGCTTAATTGCCGCCTGCTTGAAGCGTGTTTATGCAGGAAGCCCCCGCACGCGCGACCCGAAGAAGCACAGAACCTACAGTAGGTACTGTGTTTATATGGGACAGGGACAGGTGAGTCAAAAGTCAAATTCAAGACTCACTCATCAATCACGATGGCGGGCTGCTCCACCATGCAGCAATTCATAATTCGTCTCTGCTGTCTGTCCCGGCTGACAGCAAGCTTTCCGCATGTGCCGGAGTAGCGCGTGGTCGCGATTCCAGTATTCGTGATTAGAATCATCAATCAAGAATAAGAGCTTCCTCGCAGGCATCGGTATTTCTCTCGGACGACAGACAAGATGTGAGCCGCTTTTGCCGAAGGCGGCAGCCATTCAACATTCTGATTCAACATTCACCATCCAGCACTGCCACCATGCGTGATTCGAGATCACTCTTTCTCCGTTTGTATGAAGTACACTCACGACTACATACACCTCAGCGAGGCAGGTAGTCGTGACTGCCATGTCAGCCACGAAAGTCTTGGCTTTGTCGTGCACCTGGAAGTACGATCACTCCGTCGATGATCGACTGGATCCAAATGGGTTTCCCAGTCAAATCGCGCACGCCCTGCTGGCAGTATTCGCAATTCTTGTCGCGGAGCATGCTGCTGGATTGCTAGGCAGTGCAACAGGTCTGTTGTGATCGCTCCGCGGCCCCTCCCCTCCACACCACAACGTGCCTCCAAGTGACCGATGCGACCTGTGTGTATATGTATTTTGCAAGACGAATATGACTATCAAGCCACCTATGCCCTCTTTTAGACGACCTCACAAGCTCGAATCAAGAATTATCAAAGTCACAGTGATCTCTTGGATTCAACGATCGTGATTTGCTCTGATGAACGAGTCTCGCACATGCATGAAACTCGAGGACTCTTGACTCGCGTCCCTGCATTTCGAAGATGGCACGTGACCACTCGACTACGCATGTGCGCCCGCTCGTCCGCTCGAGCCCATGGCATGCCGCGTAATTCACGATTGCGCTTCATCAGAAGAGGGACGAGAGACGATGAGCGACAGGACCGAGGGTCAAATGACTAATGGAGGGACCATGCAGGTCAGTCACGTTCCTGCACTACCATTAGCGATTCGCCATTGCAACGCCAGCCACTCACCGCTAGGGACAGTAGGAGAAGGCGCCAGTCAACATTCACGATTGCTCAGTAGTAGCAGCAGCTGCGACCTCATTCGGCTTGGCTCGGGGCTGACGTGATCGAAAACGGGTTGAGCAGAGCAGGGCAACATCTTGTTGGTCCCACCCACACCTCTGCCAGCACCTGACACCTTGCTGCTTATCCAGCAAGACCTCGGCATCAGTCACCATGATTGCTCCTGGCGCATATCTCTTCTCCGGAGGCCTGCCCTCGTTGGCTGCGCTTTTGACCGCTCCGTCAAAGATGCACACGCTCGACCTTCAAAGCTACCCAGGCGCCTCCGACTGGCACTTGGAAGCTTTGCACGCGCTACGGCTTGCGCAACCATCGCTGATCATCCTGCTCGTCTTGGTGTCTTTGGTGAGACCCTATGTCTTGGCTAGAGCGCGGACGCGGGTTGCAGATATCGATACCGAAGCAGATGCTGCGGCTCCATCATCCGGCAGGCTCTCTCCCACCAGCGCAGCGCCCCAGCCCACGCCCGTCATGATCCCAGTCCGCTCGAGGAGGAGAGCGCTGAATCATTTTCTGCTTCTGGCGCTTGCTGCCACGCACGTCGCGTCCGGAGGCCTCATCGCCCTGCGCGCCGCTCTTCCTGACCACGTGTGGACTCCTTCTCTGCCTCGGTGGGTCGGATCGGACATCGCTGCCCTGACTGGCTTGCTCGCCTGGGCACTTGTCGCCGGGGCCTGCGCCATCGAGGCTCGAACTCGGGGTCAATATGGTCGCGGAAAGGTGCTTGGTTCAATACTGATCGGTGCCTTCACTGATGCTGCAATTCTTGGGCTATATGCCTCGAGCGGGGGTTCGGACTTTCCCAAGACCGGAAGGTGGACAGCGGCGCAGTTGGCCATCATTCTCGTCAGATTGGCGGTCCTGTATCCTGCATGTGCCCTCGCCTGCTCCGACTCGACCCGGTTCGTTCGAGCCGCTGATCTGCGTGCGAATGCTGCCGCGCGTGCTAGGGAACAGCAAGCTGCCGGCGCCTCTTCCAGCCGAGCAGCTGCGCCCGCGAATGAAGCATCCTCTCTCCTCACTGGGCCAGCGAATGGGACGAACACGAATTATGGCTCCACAAGTGCGTCCACGCCTGCTCCCACTAGTGGTGCGAACACCCCGGCGACCCAGCAAGCACCTAAACAGGCAGGCGCTCCAGGTCAAGCTTCTGGCGTCATGGGCCTCTCCGTTGGTGCCAATACGCCGGCTCCGACTGTCAAAATCTTTGCCGCAAGGATAGCGTCGCTTTTCCCTTACCTGTGGCCAAAGGATTCCGTCTCTTTGCAGAGTCTTGCACTCCTCTGCGCGCTCATCCTTGTAGCTGGAAGGATCGTCAACTTGTTCGTGCCATTGACACTTGGAAATGTGGTCGATGATCTCACGGAGGGGAAAACACCGTGGGCAGACTTGGTGCTGTATGCTGGACTCAAAGCATTGCAAGGCAATGGTGGGCTGTTAAGCGTCGCGCAGGTGAGTCATTCGAAGGGACAGTGCCGCTGAAAGCTTGACACACAGAGATTTGGAAAGCTCATTTCGCCGAATCTCTCGTATGATCAGAGCTACGCTTGGATCCCGGTCGAGCAATGGTCTGATAGGGCTCTCAGCATCATGGCGTTTGAGAAGCTCTTGGATCTCAGCATGGCGTTTCACACGAAGCGTAAGACTGGTGAAGTGCTGCGCATCTTGGACAGAGGCAGCGTTATCTCCTCCTTCTTTCAGTACCTATTCTTTCAGGTAACTCCCATCTTTGTGGACCTGGCTGTTGCCGTATTCTTCTTGTGGCGCAGATTCGGTTGGGGCACCGGAGTGACATTGGCTGTGGTCATGGTCGTTTACACTTGGGTGTCCGTTGCAATGACTACCTGGCGAACGGCTCTGAGACGTCAAGCCAACAACCTAGACTCCGTGTCCAGGGCTATTCACGCCGACTCGCTCCTCAACTGGGAGACCATCAAGGGCTTCAGCGCCGAGAGTTACGAGGTCGAGCGGTACCGAAAAGCTCTTTTGGCTTACCAAGCGAGCGCCTTTAAAGTCACCGCTTCGCTCTCCCTGCTCAACATGGTGCAGAATCTGATCATCACCTTTGGAACCCTCCTCGCATCTCTTCTTGTTGCGTCGGCAGTCGTTCGAGGCGAGGCAACCTCGAGTGATTTCGTTGTGATGCTCACTTACGTCACTCAAGTAGTCGGTCCCCTCAACTGGCTGGGAACGTTGTATCGAGTCATTCAGCAGAATCTGGTACGTGGTTCGCCTCTTGCATGACACCGTGTTGAGAAGCATTGCTGAGAACCCTTTCTGCATGGCGCTAGGTGGATACCGACAAGCTCGTGGAGCTTCTGGCGCAGGAGAGCGACGTGAAAGACCTCCCTGGCGCGCAGGACCTCGTCGTCACAAACGGAGAAATCGAATTCCGTGACGTGGTTTTCTCGTACGATGGCAAGGTCAATGCCCTGGCTGGTGTCAGCTTCAAGATCAACATGCGCTCCTCGTGCGCTTTGGTGGGAGAATCAGGCGCGGGCAAGAGCTCCATTCTTCGCTTGCTGTACCGCTTCTACGACATTCAATCTGGACAGATTCTCATTGATGGGCAGGACATTTCCAAGGTCACGCAAAAGTCTCTCCGCAACGCTATCGGAATTGTACCCCAGGAGCCATCTCTTTTCAACACGGACATCAAACACAACATTCTCTACGGAGATCACAATGCAAGCGACGAGGGCGTCGAGGCAGCTGCAAGAGCAGCCCAGATCTGGGATCGTATTCAAGGCTTCCCCGACGGCATGAGCACAGTGGTAGGCGAGCGGGGAGTCAGACTGTCGGGTGGGGAGAAGCAGAGAGTCGCCTTGGCACGCACGTTCCTCAAGAACCCAAAGATCTTGCTGCTCGATGAAGCCACATCTGCTTTGGACACATCCACCGAGCAATTGCTCCAGACTGCGCTTTCTACCCTACTTGATGGCCGAAGCAGCTTGACTATCGCCCATCGTCTCAGCACGATCGTCAACTCGGATCGTATTGTCGTGAGTGAAGGCGAGGTCGGCGAATGATGACAGTGGCCTAGATACTTACGGCTTCAATCTGTCGATTCGCAGGTACTTGATGCCGGCAGAGTCGTCGAGAGTGGAAGTCATACGGATCTTGTTGGGCGCAATGGCGTCTATGCGGGCATGTGGCGAGCCCAGATCAACGAAGCCAAGAGTGCCTCGGGTGAAGCTCTTAGCAAAGAAGATGCCAAGCTGCCTGGAGAAGAAGTTGCTTCCGGATCAGCCGGGACTGCCACTCGACCGGCATCGGCTAATCCCGACGAAGGTGCGAGCACTTCCCCATCCGCCCCCAAGAATTTCCTCGGAATTCTTCCAGTGACGAGCCCAGGCGCAGGGGAGCCGCCCGCCTCTCTATCGCCAGTGAAAGAGTCGCCGCGGGCAGAGCAGGCGAGCGCTGCGGAAGAAGCAAACGGAAGGACATTTGCACAAGTTGAGGCAAACCAGAGTGAGGTCAATGCGACACCATCGCCTGCCGTCGCACCATATCAGGTGCCAGATGCTGCAGCTGAAGCGGATGCGGGCCCACAAAGCTCCGCATCGGCAGAAGCGAACGCGGGCGTCTCCAGCAGTGTCACAGCTGCCCCAGCGGCCATGCCGGTACCAGATGCAGACGAGACCAAGGCGTCGGTGAGCTTCCCTGCGACCGTCGCAGAGATGAGCGGATCGCCCGAGCAAAGTCGCGTGGAAAGATCAGAGCCTAGCGAGTCAGACTCTCCCAGCAAATTCAGGCAACGCATCACATCACTCGTCAGAAAGGTCTCCTCGTCCACCGGTGGACCTTTGACATCGGAAGGCGCGGTGCCACCTTCGTCTGGCTCGACCAACTTGCTCACAGGTGTTTCGCGCGGTCATTCACGAGCCGGGTCGAGGAAAGGATCCGACGCAGTTGTTCAAGACGCTGCTACTGCTCGTACGCGCACCGTCTCGCAGGCCGACAGCGTGGCCACAGACGTCGATGCTCACCCCTCCAGTGAAATCAATGCTGAGTCGCAAGGCGGGTCGAAAAAGAAATCGGGCGCTAGCAAACGTCGCAAGAACAAGGGCAAGAAGAATTGATGGCTTACGAAGGCCAAATCGCCACAGTGGATGAACAATCTCTCCCCTCTTCGTTTTGATGTGCCGCTCCGCTTTGCCCCCTGACGCAGACTCCCGCCTTTCCTGGCACATTTTTGAGAATGCTGGGTTTGTGGACATCGTGCAGATTTGATACCTACAGTCATGCTCATGCAGCTCTCCCGTCCTGATTCGAGCATCGTCTCGGCGGAGCCATCGTGACATGAAACCCTCATGACAGAGTGGCTTCAATGAAATTGGGTGCCTTGACGATACCCTTGGCTGTCCGCAGGATTCTGGGTCTGGATTCCTTGTCCTCGCTGTCTGCAGGTCCCACGCCGACCCATGCAGCTGATCTGTCTTGAAGCGTAGTGTAGTCGGGCTGGATTGCTTCGAACACCTGCAGACAAGAGGGCAAAAAAAAATGAGGCGGGCCTTTGTCGGGATTGCTAGGCTGCTGTATCACCGTCACAGCGCAGGCTGATGGGCAGGAGTGCTTACAACTCACCTTCTTTTTGGGGTTCAGCTGCTCGTCCGGATCCCTTCCTTCGTAGCCCTCCACCCACACGCGGTCTCCAGGCGAGCTTCCTTCAGGAGGCGCAACAGGCTCCACTCCCTTTTCCTCTCCCTCGACGCTCTTACTGCTGGCGCAGAGTAGCATAGCGTAGCTTTTGATGCCCCTCATAGCTTGGGGCTTCAGGTTGCAAATTCCGACGACCCAACGACCTTGCATCTCTTCGATGGGCACGAATTTGACAAGACCGCTCAGCACCTGTCTAGGACCCTCTGCCTCTCCAAAGTCGACCTTTTCGAGGTAGAGGGAATCGGCATCGGGGTGCTTCTCGATGGAGACGATCTTGCCTACGCGAAGGTCGATCTGGGAAGGCTGAGGTGAACCGGCTGGTGCGGGTGCGGCTTTTGCTGGCTTTGGGGCCTTTTCCTTCTTCTCCTTTGGTGGCTTCTCCTTCTTGCCTGATCCATCACCAGGTGGTGCGGCTGCGCCAGATGCTGGAGCAGAGGCTCCTCCGTCCTTTGCCCCTGGCCCCGCTGGAGCTGCTGCGCTGGAGCTTGCAGTGGCAGCAGCAGCTGCCTTCTTGGCCTCCTTCTCTGCCGCTTTAGCCTTGGCTTTTTCAGCTGCCAAGTCCACTCTCTGAATCTTTGGCAAGCCATCAAAGTGAGGCTCGAATGGAGGTAGAATCTGTCCACCGGCCAGGTGAGAGACTTGAGACGCCCAGCGAGTTAGGGCCGGATAGGCGTGGTGAATGGCAGCAGAGGAGCTGCCGTCGCTCAGATGAGGGTGTACAAACGACAGCACAGCTAGATCGGCGGCGGTGGGCTTGATAGCGGGCGTCAGGTATGTCCTGCTGGTGAGATGTGCATCAAGCGACTTGAGGGTGCAGCATGACTCAGCTGTGAAGCTTTACCGCACGACACCCGCAGCTTCGCTCGAGCAGAGTGCCTCCGAGCGTGCTGGGCACGATGCCACTCACCGCGACACTCACTTGGAAGTCTGTCACCTTTTCATCGCCCGCCTCTGCGCGCTGTAGCCAATCTAGGCTTTCCTTCGCGGCATCCTTAGCCCCAAGCACTTCTTCACCCTTCGAAGACTTTTCAGCGACCTCCTTCGCGAGAGCGGGCAGTGGGATGGTCGTGTCCGCAGTCAGAAGGGAGACCGATTCCTGAGTGTAGAAAGCGATGCAAGCACTTTGGCTATCAGCAAAGGATGAAGATAGCCACATAGAGTGATGAAATTTGCCGATGCTGCGACCGACTACGACCAGATGATCCAGGGCGACCGTGTGCGATGTTAGTGCCTCTCAGACATGCGGAAAGCAAACTCACCCCGCTCAAGTAGGCAGCATATTGAGCTGCGAACAATCGTAGCGTAGACTGGCGAGCTAGAGCTGCCGATGTGGTAGCTGCAGCGACTACAGACATGCTCCAAGAGTCGTATATTGGATGAGATCGCGAGGCCAAGTGAACAGAGCTTACGATCGAAGGTGGTTCCAGTCCTTCCACGGATTCACTTCCTGTGGCAGAGAGCGTCGAGCTGCGTTCGGATCACGAGAGATCGAAGTCGTAGATGGCTTGCTACTCGACTGGAAGTGAGCGGAAGCTGAGCGTGCGACTTGGATCCAAAATGCAAGGATCCAGCACAAAGTGAGCGAGAAGGAGGAGAAATGAAGGTTTTTGATTGCAAGCTCGTGGACTTTTTGACTCGTGACTTCGACTCATCAATGACTGTGACCCGTGCATTGCGCACGTGACCACAGCGCTTGCTTTTGGTTCACGTGATTGGAAGCAGCGGCGATTCAAGATTCTTGATTCTTGATTTCCTTCAGCCCACCACCAGCAGCTTGGATTCATCAAGATTCATACCAATTTACGATTAGGAAGAGTCGCTGTCGACATTCGTGATACGTGCTGCGGGAATGCGTCCGCGTGTTGCGATCAATCGTGATCCAAGCAGTCTGTCAGCGAATCTGACCCTTACAGTCTCCAGAAGCGGCGCGGATGATGGCTTGTCACAGGGGAGTACAAGCGTCTCGACGCCAAGCAATTGAATGAGTCCGCACCAACATGAATCATGATGGTCTGTCTACACGACCGCATCATCAAGCCGAACTGCATCAGCTGCTGCTAACATGGGCCAGTTGTTGCGCAGCTAAAGAAGACCTTTTCAGATAAACGACGCGCGGCTCGGAGTTGAAAAGGCTCATGTTTCGGAGCATGAGGAAGCGGGGCGACGGCAGTAGTCGCACGTCGGTCTTGAAGTACACATGCTTGATTATAATTTGCCGGCGTGAGCTCGCAAGTCGTGAGTGTGATGAGTGTGATCTTGTGGCGGATGCGCGATCTGACGTAAGCCTAGGCGACACTTCAACGCTTCGGACCGCGCGAGAGGTGGGCTGCTGGGCGTTGCGTCTGTTACAATCTTTCAAGTCGTGATTGTACAGTATGGGAGACATGGCTTGCGTCGCCACGATGCAAACGACCTCTCGGCTAGATTCACATTAGGGACAGACTTGTCGCATTGCGGAATATTCGGTCTGCAAGCTACATCTGATATTCCGCTTTGCGCTACCAGCATACACGGTATGCGTCACCCACACACAGTATCGGGTATAGTAGGAACGCTATTTCGGCTGGGTTGAAAAAGACAAAACCGCTCGATAACCGTGGAGGCCTTCAGATCTGGCATCCTGACCGATCGTCGACTGCGAGTCGAGCTCGCAATCATCGTTCAGTAGTGACGAGTAGTAGTCAAGAGTGTACATTCCACTCACGACCATCCTTACCATTCGTGATTCTCAGCACAACCGAGTCACGGCCGGATGCTGCACGCGAATCGTGCGTTGATTGCGGGGCCGGGATGGTCTTGGTCGAAATTGTCTCAGCGTGCACGGTACCTATAGCTACGACTCTAGTTATATAGTCCGTCACGACTCACGAGTCTTGAGTCTACATCAGCAGCACGTAGTCTCGGCGACGCCACGCCGAGTATATGCATGCGCTCTACATGTATGTAACTTGAAGTCAGCCACAATCACGCGGTCGACTGGCGGATGACTGCATGCGTGCGTGCGTGCGTGCTTGCAGTCTTGAGTCTGAGTGTGCTTCATCGCATCGCAACGGGGCGGAGCGCAGCTAGCTGCATAGCAAAAAATCAAACAGGTCGGAGCAAGATGCCGCGAAGTCTGCGCGCTGTTTCGTTATATCCATGCAGTCCCCTGGTCCTGGCCGCTACCAAAGCAGAACGACTGACGACTGCTGGTGAATCACGAATGCTGCATATTTGTTCCACACTCACGACTCACGACTGCATGATCTCTTGCCCGCCCCGGTATGAAGAAGACGACTGTTCTCGTACACACACGCATCTCGGCCTCCGGTGCCTTCGCTTGTGGCGTTGCATAGCTCCGCCTACAGCAGCTACGCCGGTGCACGCCGCGGGTGCAGAGCAATCACGAATCCATGATGCAGACGCGACCGCGCATAGCCCGCCCGCCCCATGCGTGTTCCAAAGAAGCACGCGTACATGCTGTTGTACCGAGAAGGGCTCCTATACACAGCTTGCGCGTGGAATTTGGAAGGCGTGAGACATTTCTGCATGCTAGCTGATGTCTAGCTCGGCCGGCCACCTCTGCTGTGTCCGCGTGATCGCTTGACGCTCGGTCAAATCGCAAGCAGGCGAAGTAACGCTGCCGCATTGACTCAAAGGCTTGACGAAAGTCGCGCGCGCATACCGTACCACCAAAGGCAAAAAAGTGGCTTACGGTAGCGCGGTCGTCCAAGCTATAGGCGAGCCGCACATCCCGCGCCGCTTCGTGCATCAGACGGCAACAACGAACACAGCAGCAGCAGCAGCAGCAGCTATAGGCATCTGTGAGAGGAAGAGGCAGCAGCAAGCAGCATGTGCATGGTTGGGGATATGCCGAGGCCGCTTTTGGAATTGCCAATTTATCGCCTGGACCGCTAGAGTCACATCTTTGGCAACGTTGCTGCTCATCAGGCGCCTGTACCGGGTAGGTACCTACATGTCTTATTTCAAAATGCCTGGCTCGCTTGGCTATGCTCCAATTCACGACTGACCCCTTTCCCCGTCATCTACACAATCTCAATTGCATGAGCTCTCGCACACTTGTCGTGCGGCCGCGCCGCTCAGTTCACTTCACAAATTGCCAATCGCGCAATTAGGGCACGGTCCTTCAGCGGTCAATTGACCAAACAAGTCACAAAAGGACAAGATATTTTGACTCGCCTTTTCCTCCCATCTGCTCCGCCTGCCCGCACATATTGCCATCGCTCCAAATATCAAGTCACGCCGAGCGGTCGGTTATCTCTTTGCTCATTACCGCTCCCTCAGGGCCCCTCCCGAGCCGCTTCTTCAAAAATTTGTACAGTTTCATCAGTCGGGCAAGCATCATCACATAAGCCAGCATGGTTCAAGTCTCCTTCCTTTATCGTGAGCACCGCTTTGAACCACAGCCAGGACTGTCTTCATGCTCTGTCCCTCGTGCCATCTAGCTGACCGCTCGCACACCCGTCCCTCTTGACATCACAGCTTCTCCGTCGGCCATTCCTTCACGTCTGCTGGCTAATCGGTGGCCTGGCACGAGCAGCTTTGACTCATCGGCAAACACCTCGCAAGAAGTCACGATGGTCTTCTTCTTCGTCGTCTCCTTGGTTGGGGCCTATCATCTCGCTCTTCTCTCCTTCTCCTTCGCACGCTTCATCCTCAGCACCTTTCTCCTTCCCGGCGTCAGTCTGAGAAAGTACAAGGCTGTCGCGGGCAAGGGTAGCCCCGGCGCCGGTGCTGGTGCTGCGGACTCTTCTTGGGCAATCGTAACCGGCGCTTCTGATGGCATTGGTGCGGAATTCGCCAAGCAGCTGGCGAAGAAGGGCTTCAATGTGGTCCTGGCCAGCAGGACGGAGTCCAAGCTGCGCTCATTGGCCAGCGAGATAGGTAAGTGGAGGTCGATCGAAGAGTTCTTGGTACGTGGTCGAGGGAAGGGCAGGGTGGGTGCTGCTACGAGGGAGCCAACACGTTGAACCGATGCGGGAACATTTGGCGCACGTCCCTGAATCATAGAAGATCAAAGGCTGACCAACTATTCCTGCGCGTGCTCTCGTGCAGCTGCATCGTCTCCTTCTGTCGAGACCAAAGTGGTGACCATCGACTTTGCCACTGCTGGCGCAAAGGCTGAGAAGGGATGGGCCGACCTCAAGAGTGCAGCGGAGGGCCTCGACGTTGGTGTGCTTGGTGAGCCTTGACCTACACGCCGGTGCCAATCTCGGTGCTCTGACGTACGTCCATGGACGCTGACGCTGCACCCTTTGTCCCCACCTGTCGCGCTCAGTCAACAACGTTGGCGTATCCCACTCGATGCCGGTGCCATTCGCGGAGACCTCGGATGCCGAGATCGACTCGATTGTCAATGTCAATATCTCGTCTTTGCTCAAGGTCACCAAGCTGGTTCTGCCTGGCATGCAAAAAAGGTGAGCCGACTAGAAAGTGAGCACTCATCTCGCTGGCAGCTGATGCAAGTAGCACCCTCTGCTACACAGACGAAGAGGACTCATTCTCAATCTTGGCAGCTTTGCAGGCCAATACCCTACACCTCTGCTTGCCACCTACTCTGGCTCCAAGTCCTTCCTGATTTCCTGGTCTCAAGCTCTTGGGGCTGAGCAACAAGGATTGCGTACAGGAGTCGATGTCGTCGCTCTCAACACATACTTTGTGGTGAGCGCCATGTCTAAGATCCGCAAGTCTAGCTTCTTGGTCCCCACCCCAAAGCAGTACGTTTCGAGCGTGCTCGGCAAAATCGGAAACAGTGGAGGAGCTGGCGGTCGACCTTTCAGCGCCACACTTTGGCCAGCTCACGCCATGGTCGATTGGGCACTCGCCAACTTGCTCCCCAGTGAAGGCTGGCTCCTAGACTACTCTTTTGGCCAGTCCCTGTCCACTCGAAAAAGAGCGCTGCGCAAAGCTGAACGCGAGAGCAAGGCTCAGTAGATCCCGCAGCAGATGTTACAGGAGCTTCACAGCGCTCGATGGTTCCGGGGCTAAGCTTCGGCCGCGATCGCATTGACTCGCGCATGATGATGCAGCGACCTTCAGATGGAGCCTATCCCTCGGAGCACCGCATCCCCGCCACTCGCATTACCTTTTTCACCCCGTAATTTTGCCAAGCAGCCCCAAATGTCACCGTCAGTCTCCTTCGCTTCCGAGCATTCGCCCATCCGTGAAATACAAAGCGATTGCTACCGGTCAAATTGCGCAACTTCGCGCCTCGCTTGATTTGTGTGGGAAAGTTTCAAGCTCGAGATGCTGAAGTGTGGCGGATGAGCGATTGCCGAGACGATGAGCACTACGTTGACCTTGCGACCACGCACAATATCTAGCGGGTGAGATGCGATCCGCACGCCACCACAACGGCCCTGCCTTTTCGCGCACACCTTCAGCGATACTTTTGGATGGTAGTGCCAGCGTGCACCGCAGCGCGTCGTTGCAAGGCAAAGCATCGCCTTTGAACAGTTCGGCCCACAAGCGAGGCTGAATGAATGGGCACGTAATGGCATTTGCAACGTGGTGCGTGACCGGGCCCCTTTGCTCCTGGCTTTTTGCACCGCGGTGCGAGTCTGCTCTAAACGATCTGCGCAGCTTTGTTCTAGGCTGATAGGGATGCGATGAACTCCTGCGAGATGGATCGAAGACAAAGAAGGGGGCCGAAGATGGGTGGGTTTAGCGAGTGCAGTCGCTGCAGCGGGCAGTGCCTTTTCCATCATGATCGACGTGAAAGCTGGCCCCTGACCCGACTGTCCCACCGAGGCTCTCCTTCTGGCTCCTCTTGAAGGGCTGCTCGTCACAAGCGCTTCTGAAAGCTCACCTTTTCTGCTTTGGCCACCGCTCGCTTGAACGCAGATGCTTCGTCAGCGCATTCCAATGATGTCGACTGATGTTCTCTGTAGATGAATGCCAACCTCGAGCCTGTCAGTAGAGCAGCAGCGCGCATAGCTCGTGGAGTGCACTTTGCCTTGGCACCGTTGCATCGCTAGCGCAGATCACATCTCTCGAAGTTGACCAACTCACTTGAGGCACTGCAACACCTTATTCCTAGCCTGTTGCACGCTCTTATCCTGATCCACCTTTTCCCTCCTGATCCTATGTCTATCAATTTTTGTTCTAATTTCTTCCAGCTCCTGCTTCAAAGTGATGCTATCCTTCGTCCTCGCATCCCTCTTTTCTTGCGTTCCGGATTCCCTCTCCAGAGCAGCCTCGATCTCTGATCTGACGCTAGCTTCGCTCTTCTTCAATGCGGCTAGCTCGCTTGAGATTTTGTGTTGGATAGAGGCGTCTAGGTGTTGTTGACGCGCTGCAGAGATGGGAGAGGGAGAAGCTGGCAGAGCGACTGAACCTGGTTTGGCTGAGGCCACCTTTTCGTCCAAGGCGTTCAAGGACGCTGTGGACGCCTGGCCGTGCGCGCATTGTTTCGAACGAAGGCTTAGCGGTCAGCCATTCGTCGCTCTCGCTCTTCCCGCCATCCCCCTTGCCAGCCGGACGAGATGGGTGCACATGCACTCACAGAGAGGTCTGGGCTCCGAGATGATTTCGAAGAAGCCGCGCCCATCTTGGCCCAAAATTCGAGAAGCGGTGCAGGCTAGTGCTAGGCTACCACTTGCTGTGTGGTATCAGGAGCAACAGCAGTACAGTACGTTCACACTGCACGTAGGACGTACGAGCACGGGATCGCACCGATGCTGCTGCCTGGTGTGCGGAAGGTGCAAGCGAGGTGACGCCTGATCGTTCGCTTTATTACCGATGCGCGTCTGCTTGATCTTTTGAAGATGCTATATCGAGCGCTATCGCTCCTCTGCGCGCTACGTATGAATGCTGCTTCGAAGGTCCGCAAGCAGAAATGGCAGTTACGAGAGAGTTGATGGACGATTGCACGCTCGTGAATTCCAAGTCAATGATGAAAGTGCAACTTCTCCACGCATGGCCCGTCTGTGACAGTCAGGCATCGGCGCCGAGCGGAAGCGGAGGGCAGGGGACGTTGCGCACCCTTGGATCAATCTTCCAGGAATGTCACCCACGTGGCCTCGATCTATGCACGCGCTGCTACGCATCGCGCGTGTCTTGGCTGCTCAACGAGTCCGCTCGATCGCGCTCACGTATCCGCCTGCATGAGCAGATAAACGCTCAACGGTCGACCCGCATTCACATTCCTCGAGTCAGTTTTGGGAGGCCGTATGGCGTGGCTGGAGTTCGGAGCAAGGATTCGACAGGACAACATCCTTTACCGCGGCGGCTAAGCTAGCAACGAGGATTGCCAAGACACTACTGTACTAGCAGCAGCAGCTTGGGCAAGCGTCACGGCATGGCCCGTTGGGTCGAACAAGCGAAAAGACGCCGATACATGAACATTGCAACTCGTCCTCCCAATGACGCACCAAGTTTGAGGTGTGAGAGCTAGCCCGTAGCAGTTGCTCGATGTCTGCTACTGAGCTCGGAGCGGTTTGGGATGAGTGAGGGCCAGCAAAAGTCCCTTCCTCGATCTCCCCGCGGTTGCGTTCCATCTTCGGAAGCAATCGAGCGCCACCGTTCCTGGCAAGGCTTTCTGGTCAATTCGGACAGAGCGAGCGTCCGAAGGACGTCAGAGAGGAGGGTCCTCCGCTTCGCAAGGGCAACCGGCTCAGCTAAGAGGCGAGGCGAGGCGAGGCGAGGCGGTGCTTGGCCATCCCGCTGATGGTGCGCGGCGACGAGCTAGGGAGCGCGATCAGCTAGGAATGGCTGCCGCGCGCTAGACGGCTCCGTTTGCGCCGCCCGGGTGAATCACGGATGGATTCGTGAGATCTTCGCTGTGCGATGACGGGCTGAGTGTGTGCGTGCGTGCGTGGCTTGGGCGCCGCGATGGTGTCCAAATCTCGAATACAAAGCAAGTCTGTGCAGCTCATGTTCTACACAAGCTGCATATATGCAGCACCCACCCGCACATCCTCGCAAGGGGCTCAACGGTCCCGTCAGCCGCAAGAACACCGAAACATTCACGGTTCGCCAGCAGCAGCTATAGCAGCACGGCTTGATTGCTTCCCCGGCCGCGGCCGCGGTTGCGGTTCCGTGTGCGCCTTCGCACTTGAGCAGAGCAGCAGCATGATGCACAGTAGGGACGTGATATGTGTACATTGGATCAGCTTTGCTGAAAATCATGGTCGACGCAATCAAGTCGCCGTACCGCACAGCTTGATCGGAGCAGTCACATCACGAGTCAAGTTCCAAGCAAGTCAGGGGCCATGCATCGCTCGCTCGGCTCACATGTGGGACAATCGGACGACCGTTGAGCAGCAAAGCTCGCGGCCGCCACGCCTTCGTTCATCATCCACCCACGGCATTCCGTCGGCACACAACACTCACGCAAGTCGCACCTCTCCAAGGCTGCTGCTCGTCATGGGCATTCCTGATTGGCAGCACGAACCCGCTGTTGGATGCGCCAGGAATGACCACTGATGGCGCCTTTGCTCGAGGAGGTCGTTGCATGGCAGAAACTCGCACGGCTTCAGTGTTGGCTCTCCACCCTTTGGCTCTGTTAGCGTGACCACTCGGAGCTCCGCGCAACAAAAGGGTACATAAGGAGATCTCTTTCACTTTTCATTCACGACTTCTTTTCGCTTCTACCATCACAACCACACTCTCCTCCACTCTCTCTCGACCACGTTCTCGTCCACCCTCTCTCGTCCGCCCTTTCTCTCAACCACTTCCTCCCCTTCTGTCCCGCTCCGAGCCTGCTCTCACGTCGGCAACGCTCATCTCTTCCAAGACGTCATCGTCGTCGCTTCTTGACCCAACTGAAAGCCTCAGCTGCTGAAGCTCGGTCCATTTCATCTGCTGGTCAACTTGCTTGCCACCATCATCATGATCGCTTCTCCAGCTGGTCTCGTTCTTGTGGGCTTCATCTTCGTCTCGACTGCCATCGTGTGCACCGAGGCCACGAAGAGTCGTCCCGGCATCAAGCCCTTCGGACCTAAAGCGTGCGCTTCTACTCGCTACAATGCCAACGTGAGTGTTCGTCTCTGGCTCTCCAGCGCTGTCCCGGCCCGTCAAGTCTCTCTGATAGGCTGCTCGAGCTCACACCCTTGCAATTCTGCTTCCCGCCATCTGCACAGTTCGATGACCGTGATTGGCTCCCTGGTCAATACGTCGCCAACACCATCGGCACGTACGAAGAGCTTGCCTGGCAGGGCTTCGCTGGATTCAATGCCAACACGACTACGGCCACTTCCACATCTCTCGCCCCGCTGGTCCTGGAGTCTTATCCCAACGCTGTCGGCACTGGTTTTGAGCTCACTTTGCTGAGCCCTCAGATTCCTCAATTCAGCACCATCTATTCCAACTCTCCAGCAGTCGGTGGCTTCAACCTTCACTCCTTCTACTTTAGCTGTGTCGAGAACCTCGGAACTGAATTCACTGCTTACGCCACTCCGTGCGAATTCACCGTGCAAGCTTTCAAGGACGGCAAACAGGTGTCGCAGAAGAAGTTGACCTACAAGCCCAAGATGTTGATTCGCTCTCCCATGGCGCTCGCCACCTTTGCTAGTCCGGACTTTTGCAACATCGACACCGTCAAGTTTCTGGTGCCCAAGCAGCTGACCAAGGCTATCCTCATCGACAACGTTGATGTGAGTTGCGCATTCGTTCTCCATGCCTCATCCTTTCGCGCGGCACCTCGACTCACATCCTATCGCGCTCACGACTCCAGTACACCACGCACACGTGCAAGAAGGCCGGCAGCAAGAGGAGCCTCATGAGCCCCAAACCGCTCGACCAAGACGAGGAGCTGCTCCCTCGCCGCGTGGTCATCTAAAGTCCTTCGCGAGACCGTCGGCCCAATGGAATCTAGGATCTGCTTGACCGCCCCGACGACGCTGTAGTGGCCCAGCGGCCTCCCTTTCATCCAGCGCGTTGCTCGCCATTACGAAATCCTCTCCTTTGTCGCAGTGTCTGAAAGCGCGACAAATGTTGCAATCTCTCCCTGCACACACTTCCCCCGTCTGTTCCTCCTTCCCCATCATCGCAGCTCTCACCGCCACCACTTCTCATCGGACCGAGCACCGCCAATCACCTAGATGCAGTCCCCCGCTCAAACGTAATCGAAGTCCATTCTTGTGTAGACGATTCATGCATTCGCTTTACGATGGAGAAGCAGCTTGATGGGCCTCGCAGAGGCAACGTGAAGCCATCCTTCGCGTCGCTGAGATACGAACAGCGATGTTTGAATTGACGCTTCACCTCTCAGCTTTCGAGCTGCTGGCGCGCTTTCGCGACTCCAAAGCCGCCCCCGTCCGCCTATCGACTCCATATCTACTCCTGTCCGCATCCCTCCGGGCAGACCGTGAAGGTAAAGCACGATTCTTGGTTTCTGCTGCGCGCTTTTGCTTGATGTTTTCAAAGTGCCGAGCGTAGAGCACCGTCTCTGCCACTGCCACGATGATAGCCAGCAAGAGCGATGTCATCGTTTTCTGCAGTGAATTTGCACACTCGTTTGAGCAATAGCACAAGGTTGTGTGAGGCACACGAAGCGCTGTTCTTGGAACTCACCGCGAAGACGCTTCCGTTGCCGAGAGCTTTCCAAGCAGCGAGAGCGACAGCTGCGGCGCTAGCGACGACATTCACAACAGCGCTCAGACCTCTTTTGACTTCTTGCCACTCCATTGCTTCTTCTGCTCTGCTCAGCTTCGGGGCGCCCGTGACGTTGGATGATCTCTTGAATGTTCGCCCAGTGTCGTCGTTGGTGGAGCTTGGACCGCTAATCATGCGTGCGTACTCTGCCTCATCCGCAGCTTGTTTGATGCGCGCCAGCGTTGCTTCTAGTTCGGGCGACTAGGGCGAAGGGAAATAGGAGATGAATGATGTTTGCGAGTCAACTCTCATGGCGTATGTGCTGCGCACAAATTCGAGGGCGGGCACAGAAGAGAAGCAGAAGCATCGAAAAGACAATGTTGCTGAACCAGAGCGCTCATTCATCCAGCACTCACTCGAACGAAGGGCCTTTTCTGCGGCAGTGCCAAGCTTGCGCCTTTGAGGAGTACGTGCAGTCGCAATGGATGCTCCACACTGAGCGCCTCACCCGAGAGCATCGCACGCTTCTTGGCCCACCGAGCAATGGAAATGAGAGCAGCAGCAGGTATGGATTCCTCAGGTACGACGTACTCAGGACTCGTCGCCTGCCCAGCCTTCAACCCTGATTTTTGAGCGGAGCTCTTGTCCAGCTTCTTGCTGCCATGCTCTGCGCGGTCATACTCTTCCATCGCGTGCCATAGCTCTTCGAACAGGTCAGAGGGCAATTCGTGGCCCTTTTCGTCCAGTAGCGCTCGGAGCGTCGAGGCGGTCCTTGAACTTGGATGTAGCCTGATGCGGGCTTGAAGCGGGACTGCAGCTGGAGGCGGCGCTGCCAGCTTTGAGCTTGAAGCGGGACTGCTATGGGTCGTGTGTAAAGTCATCGTGGCAGGTTGACTTTCATCTTCTTTGACACTGCAGGCTGATTGCTTGCACACACAACAAGGATGGGTCGGCCTGCTGCTGATTTGCGGAGACTACAAATGCAGGATTGCTCGGTCTGCTCGGGCTTCGCGCGATGGTCTTTTGATGTTGACTTTGATCACTGCATAGCCATCTGTCACCGCCTTGCGCTCCTTTGCGCGATGTGCGTTCCATGGGTTGGTTGTGGTTGTGGAAGGACGAACCTGCACACGGACGACGATCCGCGTCGACTCGAGGGCGCGTGGCTCATGGCGTACGTGTCATGCAGCACGGACGCGGAGGCTTACGCCAGAGAAATGCCGCGCACCGAGCTCCGTTCCGAAGCGGAGGTGAATCGCAAGACGTAAGTGGCCGCATCACTCGGCATCATTCATGATTGCTGATGATCGAAGTGCGGAGAGCGGAGTCTTGATTGAAATAGAGGAGAAGTCATTAGTCTGGGTCACGCACGAAGTAGCATCAGGGCAGCTGCGTCGACACAACTCAGACGAGGCCATCACAGTCAGTCACCAATGCCTGACGAAAATCAGCGAAAGCTGGAGTAAGTGTGCAAAAAGAAGTCTCCATCTATTTGTGCACAGGAACGTTGCGCAGAGGGTATACGTGGCTTCGCCGCGCCCGTGAGTGGAAGTTGAAAAGGCACAGAAGAGTGGGTTCGAAGTTATAGGCTTTAAAGGCAAGCAAGCGGAGCATGAAGCAGAAGGCGAAAGACGTCGATGACTTGGCGTGGAGACCTACTGAATTTGGATATTTGTGCTAGGAAGGAATTTGGGGCAGCCGCAAGTGCAAAGGCTGAGGCTTTCACACGCCGACAGCGGCAATGAAGATGACCTAGATTTTTGCATGAAGCTCGTCAGCATCACCCTCGAGATAGAGCTGGATCTGCCGGGCGACTTACGGGTCGGTGATCGGAGCGGCCTTCAAGCTGACGCATTTCGCTGAAGAAAAGTAAGAAAGGTTCAGTAAGAAAGGTTCCTCAGCATTGACGATCGAGCGCGCATGCCAGCAAGTTCTCGATGACGCCAACTTACCGGTCATCTAGTGATTTGTAGAGCAAGCACTGCACTTCGCCCTTCTTGGGTCCCACGAGGACTTGAGTAGGCTCGGCAGGTTCTTGGCTGCGTGCGAGCGCAGCCGAAAGCGAGAAGGGCATAAGTGCTCCAGTGGCACTGCGTAGCGAGGGAAGATGCACACCGATGCGCTCTGCCCACCACGATGTGCGGCGAGGCGGTTCGGCAGGCGAGACAGTGAGCGCAGCGTTGGTCGGCACAGGCGGCGCGGCCAGGCCTCGTGCCAGCTCTGTGTCAACAGAGGTAGGAGCATTGCTGCCTGGAGAAGCCTGTTCCAGCGGTTCTCGTCGGAGTCCAGGAGATCCACGCAGCGATGGGCTCGAAGGGCGTGCCGCTGACATGCGAGAGCTAACGAAATTGAACGGCGAACTTCGAGCTGAGGAAATTGGTGGTGTTCCTTTGCCTTCTGCGCCGTCAGGCGTTGACGAGCCTTGCGCAGCAGGCATCACCGCTGATGACGGCGCTGTCCGAGTGCTGGAGCTTCGCCGTGGAAAAAGTCTGGTGCTTTGCGGGGATCCTGGGGGGCGACTAGAGGAAGCTGTGCTATTTTGGCGGCGCAAATGTGAGGGAAGATTTACAGCGCTGTTTGCGCGGCCATTGCTGGCGCTCATCTCCTTCAATGTGCTCAGACCAGCACGGTCCGAGGTCTCCGCGTCTAGTGTCTGAGAGCGTTTCAGCTTGTGGCGCCGACCAAACCATCGACGGCGTACAGCCTGGTCGTGCGCCGCTCCGCCGTTGGGTCTGGCCAGCTTCTCGCTGGAACCCTCAGGTGCAGGCGCTTGCGTCGTGGTTGGCGAGTCTTGGAGTGGCTTTGGACTGGCTATTGAAGTTCCCCTTACGGGCACCTTTGGAGGCGGTGCGAACGTTACGCTTGGGCCATCTGTGCGATCGGTATTGCGTCGGAAAGTAGCTGAACGCAGTTGTGCTCCGGCCTTTGACAGCGCTGTAGTCACGCGGGACGCTCTTGTGTCACCTGCGCCATCCTCCGTGTGCCCCTCCTCGGCCTCGATCTTCACGTTGCTTCGCCACAACACACGATCGCACCAGGATGGCACTCGCTGCTTCGTCGACGTGTCGTACCGTTGCACATCGACGTCAGCTATGTTACCGCTCGCCGCCATTGCCGAGAGCGTGGCACCATCCAGGCTCGAGACGAACTCGCCAGCATCGTCTGCGCTAGAGCGTCGACGATGATCGACTCCAAATTCGTTGGGCAATTGCACTGACACGCGTCGACCTTTTGACGCTGGCGACGGGCTGCCTCGGGCTGACACCGAACCGTTCATAGCCCAATCTTCCAAAGAGGATGATGTACGAAGGCTGTGAGGTGCACTAGGATCTTGTGGCGACGAGCCAATTGGCTTGTCGGCAAGGGCGCGATCCGAGGAATGCGCTGCAAGGGCTTTTTCGGACGCCCCTACTTTTTGAGCGGGCCAAGCAGCATTGTGTGAGGATTCCGACAATCCTTGGCCTTGCCTTGATGGCACAAGTGGGCTGTTGAGAGGAGAGATGCTGTGCGCGGGCCGTGACTCGGCTTGTGACCGGTGGCCTTTGACGGCCTGCACGACCTTCATCAGCTGCCCTTTGACTCTGATTGCCTTGCCGCGCGAGATCAAAGGGGTCTCCGCCGCCGCGGCAGTATTGCTGGCGAGCGCTTCTCTATCAGCGATGCTTCCGCTCGCAGAGCGAGTTGTCTGAAGTCCCAAGATGGAAGCTGTCTCGAGGGTCGTTGCGATTGAGCTCGAGTCATCCTCAGTATCAGTGCTTTGGCCGAGCGCAGCTGCAATCCTATCGCTCAGGTTCTGCCTTCGGCGACTTGCACCACTGCGCTGCGAATGATGAGGCGAGCTACTCAAGTCACCATTCCTGCTTCCTAAAGTCTCTTCCGGGGCCCCCTTTCCCTCGCTGGTAGCTGCAGCAATGCCTGCGCCAGCCGGCGAGATTCCGAGATCGGGCAAAGATCCTTCGTGTCGATGCAGCAGTCGTTTGCGCACGCTGACATGGCGCTTGAGGTCCTTCTCATTTTTTGACTTTAGGGTCTTGAGCACGTCGTACTTGAAGGTAGGCATGAAGGATATCGCTGCCTCGGTGAACCCGTGAAAAGTAGAAGTCTCACGCATTACCTTGCGAAGCTGATCAAATTCTAGCGCCTGGTCGTAGCGCTTTTGCATCAGCAGCCAGTCTGCATGCTTTCTCGTAATATCAACACGGACTATTTGGAAGTAAATCCGAATCAATGTCAGCTGCCTTCTCGAGGTTGATCGCCCTGACTCACAATTGAGATCACCCATCCAGAAGCAGTGATCGAATCTAGCTGTGATATCCTCATCCTGGGATTCTGTCTCTGGTAGGAACGTGTCCACCTTCAACTCCCTTTTAATCTTCTCCACATTTGCAATGCGCTCTGCGACTTTGCCCTCGTGAGCTGCAAGATGCGCATTGACAAACAAGAGACGGGTTATGCCGAGCTTAAGACTGATACCAACTCCGCCCTTGTTGCCAACACGCCCCGCCAGCAGTCCAGATTTAACATGGCCTCGCGACACTCCACGCACGCGGTCTAAAGCACCGCGGAAGACGTACACCGCCATGTACATCATGTAGCATCGCTCTTTCATCACAAGCTCATATGGGCCTAGCGTGCGCGGCGTTCCGTCATGATGCTGACCGAAGCGTGATATGAGGTGTCGATGGTGCGAAGAGCTTTGCTCCTGCGTTTGTAAGGTGGGAGGTTCCTGCTCTTCGATCTTTGTCTTTTGCTCTGGCGGCGACGGCTCTCTGATGAGACCAAATTCGCTTGGGGAGAGCAAGCCAGGCGACGGAAGATCTGCAACACTCTCAAATGAGGTAGGCGCCAGCCGGCTGGAGCTGTTGTTGCGAGAAATGCTGTGCGGGACTGCCAGCGCGTGTGACGTCGCGAGGCCAGCTGCTGCAGCGAGAGCAGATTTCTTGGCTGGAGAACCGTCTGCAGCTCCTAGGGCTGGGCCGTTCAGCGGCGTGCTTGGGCTCAGAGCCTGTTTATGCTTCCTGTCGTCAGGCGCAGATTTGCCACCACCAACGCTAAGAGCATCTGTTCGGAGCTTCAGCTTTGGTACATCGTGTTTGGTGCTGGAGTTCGGGATAGGCGTGTCTGTACGCGATGCCGCCACAGAAGGCTCGATTTCCGTACTCGTCTCCCACATAGCATGAGGAGTGCTCGAGCCATTTGCCAGCTGCGCCAGAGAAGCCGGCGTGCCCTTGATTGCGTTTAATTGAGCAACAGGACCATGGCAAAGCCAAGCTTCACACATTTCTGACCAACCTTTGACTCCACCACCACCAAGCCCCAAAAATGGAAAGGGACCGGCCGCGGAAGGAGTCATAGGAACCCCGCTCTGCGGCGGACTGAATGCCGGACTTTCAAAATACCCATCGACTGCTGATGTAGCAGGCATCGGAGAAGGTGGAATTGAGGGGGCCATCGCTGCAAAGTCTTGGACCCGTATCTCGCCAAGAGATGCCGAGTGCGGCACGCCACCGTCTCGAGTGGTTGGTCCAGTATCTTCTCCGTCCGCAATTCTGCCTGCGTGGGACCCGGCTTGCTTGTCCTCTGGCAAAGCGAGCTCCTTGCCGTTGGCTTTTGCAGCGTCCTTCTCTCGCTTCAATCTTTCTTTCTCCTCGCGCTTTTCCCTCTCCTTTTCCTCCCTGCGCTCCTTCTTCTCCCTCTCCTTCTCCTCCTTCTCTCTATCTTTCTCTTTGGGCACAGCTCTACTCTTGCTTCGGGCCAAGTCGCTCAGCTCGCCAGCCAAGGCCACGCCGGCTGCTAAGCGCTTGCCATCGCCCCAAGGACACTCTTGACCTGCTATCACGATAACATGGTAGGGATGCGCATCGTCTGCCACGAGGGGTGGGATGCGATCCTTTCTGGGAACCGACTCTTGTCCAGCTACACCCTTGCCCTTCGATTTGGGCGCCTTTATCTCCGCCACTTGCTCATCCTTGGCGCCGGCTTCTGATTGCACATTTTCCGTCTCATCCTCGTCTCCGCTCTCATCCCAGCCGGGCTCGGGTGGCACGTACTCTCCTACACGACCAAGGAGCACCTCCAGATCTCCCTTTGGCACGCTGTTGCCGTGGTTCCAAGTGATGCAACGAATTTTGATCTGCGGGCGCTGTAGCCTCAGCGTATGGGCTCGGGCACCATTTGGAGCTACCTCTTCACTGCCAGCTTCGATATCGACTGGATCGGCGAGCGGAGAAGTGAGCGGCTGTGATTCGTTTGGAGCTCGGAGAGCAATGGGCGCAGCTGGGTGGAAAGAGGGAACGACGGGCTCTGCTCCCGGTAGAGACACCCTTCGCTCTTCAAGTACCTGGCCAGGTGCAGGGATGAATGTACCGCTGCGTACGGGTCTTCCGATTCCAACGTGATGTCGAGACCTGCTTCCAGCGAGCACTCTGAACGGATGAGGAGATCGCGGATTGAAACCATTTGTCCCGATGTTCGCCTCGTGTGAGGAGGAGCCGCCTTTTTCCGTGCTTGTGGCGATCCTATGGATCAGCCTGCGTGGGGTCCGGCCGGAGGAGATGCCAGATGTTGCGCTTGTGGCCTCTTCTGCTCTAGAGCTCGATGACTCGGCGCTGTTCACCGCATGAAGCATTGCAGCTTGCTTATTCTGTGCCTTTGGCGAGCCAGCCATAGGAGTCGGAGAGTCTCGGCTGTCGGGAGCTGGCGAGAAGGTGATGCCTGGGTCTGGGAGGTTGAAAGTTTGAAGTTGCAACCCTGCCGCAGACGGACGACGCGAGGCCAACCCTGACGTCGACGCGTTCGCACTTGCCAAGATGGATGGTGGAGGGGAACCAGCGTCCAGCATAGCATCCTCGGCAAGATCTCCATCACGTCTTCCCTGAGCAAAGTCGATTGATTTCGACTGCAACGGGTCGGCGGATGACGCGGCCCGGGCCGCCCGCGAGATCTCAGCTTGAGCAGGGGCACCCTCGGGCAGCGCAGTGACCGATGTTGTCAGAGCACCGCCCGCACCATTCTCATACACGCATGCTGACGGTGCATTTGCAGAACGAGATGAAGCCGGGGTCGAAGCGCTGATCGTTGGCTCTGGCTCAGCGGCAGATGTTCTAGCTGGTGTCTTTGAGTTGCTGATGGATCGCCTATTGAACAGTCTTCGCATTCCCGTCTTTGGCGACGAGCTTGATGCAGGCGCCGAGCTCGGCTCGCCCGAGCGACTTGCGCTCTTTTTATGTTCCATGCCCTCGTCCGTGACTGGTATCGTGTATGCAGTCTTTTAGAACTTCGATGGCGCAAAGCGACCAACGTCGAGCAAGCAGAGAGTCAAAGCTTGGATGGGGTCATCATGAAACCAAGTGGAAGCAGATAGCAATGAAGAGGAGGGGGCAGAAGGTGGACGAGGTCGAGCAGGCGCCTGGTTGATGGTCACGAGTCTGAGGAGGCTCGAGCTTCTACTCACGGTTCACGAGTCTTGAGTTCTAGGAGGCTATCCGAGACGTTGCGCGCACGTGTGCACAGGGGAACTGGAGCACCCATTCACACAATTGAAGCCGGCCGTTGAACCCTACAGTCATGTCGCAGCGAGCACGGGCTCTGCTGCAGGTGCGACAAGACCCTCGTACGAGCTATATAGCGAGCAGCATGCAACCATGCATCAAGAGCGGCATGCAGCAGCACGGCAAGATTTTATACAGTCAGTGAGTACAACTGTGATTCGTGCAGCAGGACGCCGTGGCAAAGGCGCTAGAGCGAACGGCACATCGTCGATCCCTGCAGCTGCTGCGCGATTGCGTGCAGCCTGCATAGCATGTTCACGATGCCACGGAAATCAAGAATGGCCCCTTCTTCGGGATGGAGGGCCAGCCTTGCTCACCCAGAAAGCCATTTGTGATTTCACCATCATTGCACAACATTCGCAGCCTGATGGGTCACATGATGAGAATAATGCATGAGCATGTAACACCAGAACCAGCTTCATACATAGAGTGAGACGCCGTGCGCAGTGCTCAAGACGCGAACGACGTCCGCGTCGATGATCGGGATGCGCAAGAGCTTAGGCCATACCTTCGTCGATCTTGTTCAAGATGTGCTGTTCCAGGTCCATCCATCCGCCTCCTACGCGCGCAAGGATTTTCCTGACCTTTGTGCCGCTTCGAGCCCCGGCCGAGCTCTGGGGACGATGCTACATAGTCGCGAAAGAGCAGCGATCATCAGCAAACGAGCGAGCACCACAAGCAACGCAGCGCAGTGCTGCGGACTCACAAGTTCGAGCAGCTTGCACATGACCGCTTTGCCCCCACCGATCGAATACTGGGCTTGGATCTCCTGTCCAGGTCTCGGTTCCGATCTGACGCCCCTCGGTAGTGGATCCGTGACGCGCTCGAGATACACGCCCAGACTATTTGCAACATGAGCCACCTCGACATCCAACGCATCGTTTTGATTTGGTCGATAATGCTCGAGCTGGGCCCGAGCGCCACCGCCTCCTAGTGCACTGAAGGCCCCAACGCTGCTGGCACCTTCTGAAAAGGTCGGCGTAGCTCTGCCAGAGTGCGACTGGTTGGCCGAATTACCCAGGGCGGCTGTTCCGCCTGCACGAGCTGCCCTGTAGTTCGCGACGGACGATCCAGAGATGGAGCGAGGTCCCGGCGGACCCGCATCCGGTAGCTTTGCCAAAGCAGCAGCGCTCAGAGGCGTCGTCCTTCCAGACTTGTTGATGTTCAGCGGGGAGGTTACGTGCGCATTATAGCGAGCTGGCGGAGGCCGACTGGATCGCCTGGCAGCCGGTGATCCTGTGGCATCGTACACGCCACCCATTGCGGAAGTAGCAGGCGTGCCCCTGGACGGTCTTGCAAACATGCTGAGGCGCTGAACTCGCGCTGCCAGGACTGGCTCAGGTGTCTGCATCGTCGAGCGATTTCCGCCCTGGTAGGTACGTGCTGGCGAAGCGCCTGCAGCCGCATACGCGGCTGTTGATGCGTGTGACAGAGCAGAACCCGGCCTGCTGTGAGGACTGTCACCGTTATGGTCACTCGACGCGGGAAAAGAGAGGCGTGGAATCATGCTGTGGCGCTTGCTTCCGCGCTCCCCGGTAGCGGTGCTGGCAGACGAAGGTGGCCGATAGTAGATGCCAGCAGCGCTTCCTGGTCTGCCGCTGTCATTCGACCCTATCGAATCCACGGACCTGTCGCCAAGATCTTGCTCAGCTTTCATCCTATCTAGCGGCGACCCGCCATGGAAGATGCTAGAGTTCCTCCGATTGCCATAGTTACGCGAAGGAGGTCTATCAGGAGGAGGCTCTGAAGAGCCTCGCGACCACGTTGGGGTCGGCTGCGGAGTCTTGGATCGGTTATTGTTGTTCAGGGCTGCGCTGAGCCCGCTCGGTGTTCGATAAGACGTGGGGGGTCCAGCCACATCAAGTGGGCGTGTGCGCCTCATTGGACTCAAGAATGTACCTCCTGGGGTGGTGCGGCCAGATTGGGGAATGCCGAACCGCTCTACAGGATCAATGGCGGAAGAGTCGGTCGACGTGGAGAAGGAAGACGCATGTCCTGGTCTCGTATACCCGCGCTCGCCGGCAGTGTGACTCGGCACCGGATTGGTCGAGGCACTTCGACCATGAGCCCGAGGTGAAGGCGCGTTTGGCGAAGCGTGCGAGACAGCGCCAGGCTTGTAAACACCTTGAGCGTAGACTGAACTGATAGGCCGCGACCTTGATGCGGAAGGACTCGAGGTTTGAGGCGGCGCGTCGATCATGCTTTGCCTGCGCGAACTCTTGGGAGGTTTAGGAGGTGGTGACGTAGCAGCCGAAGCCAGGCTGCTAGAGCTAGGGGTACGATGCGCTGTGGGTCGAAGCTCCCTGGAGCTGCTCTTGGGACCCGGCCGAGGTCGCAAGCTTGATGCAGGACTGCCGACGCTGAGCTCTGCAGCGCTCGAGGCAGGACTGGAGGCGCTATGCGCTGCATCAGACGGGATTCGTTCCCTCGACCGAGGAGAGAGAGCGACCTCCGCTCTGCGGAGCTCCTTATCGATGCGAGACATTGCGTCTCGTTGAGATTTCCATCTTTGCTTGAGCTCTCTGTACCGCCTGAGCATGCTGCCATGCGCTGTAGCTCTCTCCTTGAGGCCTCGCTCGAGGACCCCGAACACCCGCTCGCACGCAGGTCCGTAGTGCTGCCGCTTTACTTCGAACGCGCTTCGCCGACTTTTCAAGTCTTCTAGTTTCTTGCGTGTCTCCTCTTCTTCGTCTAGCTCTTCTTCGCGTGAGTGAGGTTGCGCTGGAGATGAGGCGAGCTTTTGTTGCACGCTGGAGATGAAGTCTGCGCAGATCATAATGGCCTTGTCGAGCGAGTCCATCATTCCAGTCGCCTGGGAGCTGAGGCCTCGGAAAACTGTGAGGTACCGATCTTCGCTCAGCTCTTGTTTGACGCGTTCCGCTTCGCCTTGAGCAGAAGCCCAATGCTCTGTCAGCTGTTGAAAATGTCTGACAATACTCTCAAAGCTTGGCGTTGCGTCTGAGATGTCTGCTGCGGCTTCATCAAAGGAGGCAAAGCTGTCCAGACTTCCAGCACTTCCTCGCCTGCGCCTCGCGCCCGCAAGTACGCCTGACCATGAATCCTGTCCCGGTGCGTCCTCGAGACCCGCCAAAGCAGAGACAGCCTTCTCTATTATCCGCATCGACCCGCTCACCTCCTCCAGGAGCGAATTGAGCTCCATGAATGCCTCGTCTACATTGCTTGTGCCACTGTTACCAGCTGATGAGCTACCACCACCTGCATCCGTGCTGGATAGCGCTTTGGCATGTCGAACCTCTTCGATACGGAAGATGGCCCGATTAATGTCTGCCACTCTTTCGGAAGTTGCCTGCAGCAATCTTTCCGTCTCGACCGGGCAGGGTATCTGTGGGCTGCCCGATTCGTGCGTCCCGATGCCTGGCGCGACTTTCTCTTCATCCATCTGATCGTCCAAATGAAGTGCCGATATGGATTGGGCTAGCGCTGATGGGCTGCGCGGTAAGCTGCTTTGGCTCGTCGGCATGGTGCCTTGAGCAGCCCTTGAGGATGAGCGTGGGGGAAAGGCAACATCCAGCCTTGAGGGACCAGCACCTACAGGGGAGACTCTCGAAGGCGAAGGGGAGCGCGAGCTTGTTCTGGATGGAACAAGTTCGGATAGAGTTGGAGGTCGCGGACTGACATTCAGCATGGCTTGAAGCGCCTGCCTCGGCTGCAATTCCACTGGGAATGCACTGGGATGTAAGAGCAATTGCAGCTGCACCGACGTATGTCTTGCGTCTGGATCCAACTTCAATGGGCGACCGTGGTCAGGGAGCCTGGAAGCAAGTCTAGATGCGGCGTCCAGAAAATGCAGGAGGGAAGCGGGAAGACAATCGTGCCTACTCAAACGATCAGCCGCATGGGTGTGTGGTGGTTGATCATGCGTGCAATCACACTCGTGCCCCACCGCTCTTGACTCCACCTCATCACAACGGATGAAGCCATCATCATCATCGTCATCCACCGTGCACTCGCGCCGCGACTACTCCACTCACGACGTGTCTCCCCACTTGACTGCTCGTCCGTCTGCCACTCTCCACTCACGACTCACGACTGGCAGACATACACTCATCAGGCGCACATCACTCGTGACTCTTGGTTCACGACTCTCTCACGCGCGCGATGCAATCAAAATGCTACCGTGTCCCGTGCATGATCCACCTCACAGCAGCATTCAGTCATCATAGTGATTGCTCGCCGACTCTTCACCACGTCGACGCGCAACCCGCCGCAAGCCAACGCGTTCGTTCGATATAAACACGCGCGCTAGGTGCCTAGTCACGCCACGCGCCAGTACATGGAAACTGCGCAAGCGTCGACGGCTTCACCTTTCCCCCAGCAGTGACTGCGCCCCAAGGTGTGCCTGATGTGATGCGTATGCTAGCTGCTGATACGCGCGGTGGAGGACGATTCGCGCGGTTGCTGTAGGTACATCTCTACGCACCGTAACATCCTCCTTCCAGCCGCCCGGAATGGCACCTGCAAAGACCTTCATTCACGATGATCGGTCTAAAAATTGTCACGATCAAGAATCTGGCGGTAGCATTCGCATCTCGTTCTCACCCAAGCTTTCATCTGCTTCGCTCAGGACCTCTCTCCTGTGCGCGCCCCCCAAGTTTGTGCGGTCCGAATCAGTCACGTGACTCGATACTGCATAGAGCGTCGAGCCCCGCGCCAGAACTTCGCCAAGCATATGCGCGTGTGAAGGGTTGGTTGCACGGGCCCCGCTCGCACATCATGCTTGGTATAGCTTCCCGCCAACATATTACTATGTGTGAGCTGCATGGCTCGTCGCACCGTCTTTATTACCACCTCGCTTGGCGCAGTGTCTTCAAACATACCCTTCTGGACAACTTAGTTGCGCGCGGGAGAATGTCGGACAACATGAGCTCCGCTGGCGGCCGCGTTGGCTCTCTGCGACGCTCCATGGTCGTGCTCCAGCTTCTGTTTGCGCTATTCGTCTTCCTGCTTCTGGCGTCGCCGAGCTCAGCAGTCAGGGAGCACGACTTCAAGAAGTGCGCCGACTCCTCCTTTTGCCGGCGCATCCGGCGCCTCTCCTCATTGCCCGAACACGCCAGCCCTTATGCCCTTTCCTCGCAGCCGCTTTACCATCCCGAAGACAGCACGGTCACTGCGAGGGTCTTCAATGCGCTGCACACCAACATCAGCTTCGACCTGCAGCTCGACATTCTCGAAGATGGAAGCACGAGAGTGAGACTCGACGAGGTGGGACAGACGTACAATGATTTAAGGAGATACGACCAAGCACATCAGTATGCTATCGAGAACAAACCAAGACCAGCTGCTGCAGACAGCGTTTCCTTTGAGCAGACGGACATGCACACACGAATCAAGTATGGCCCGGAGACAGAGTACCTGATCGATCTGACTCACGTGCCTCTCAAACTGAGCTTCTTTAGGCACGGAGTGGAGCAGGTGGTGCTGAACGGGCGCGGTCTTTTGCACATGGAGCACTTCAGGGCCAAACCTGATCCTTTCCCAACTCCCCAGGTGGAAGCTGCCAAAGAAGGAGCGGAAACCAGCGAGGAAGAGCAGGCAGCAGAAACTGAGCCCGAGAGCCAGCTCATTCTGCAGCGAAAGCGCGATCTGATCCAGGCTGGACATTCGCAGACGAACGCGGATGTTTGGAGCGGCTTGGAACAAGAGGACTCGGGAGAGTGGGAAGAATCTTGGCAGGGCAAGCCAGACTCGAAGCCAAGAGGTCCTGAAGCTCTCTCCTTGGACATTGCCTTTCCCAAGAAGCCTTTTGCGTTCGGCTTGCCAGAGCATGCCAGCCCTTTGAACCTCAAAAACACGAGAGGAGAGGCGGACGAAGACTTTACCGATCCGTACCGGCTCATGAACACCGATGTATTCGAGTATGATTACGACTCGCCCATGAGTCTGTACGGAAGCGTGCCAGTGCTTCACGCTCAGGGAAATGAGCAGCAAGGTGCCGCATCGGTCTTCTGGCTCAATGGCGCAGAGACGTGGATCGACATTTCTCGCAGCGGCAAAGCCGGCCCGGAACAAACGCTGGACACGCACTTCTTTTCCGAGTCTGGAGTGCTCGACCTTTTCGTTTATCTTCATCAGGACCCGGCAGACAACATCAAGGCCTTCTCGAAACTGGTAGGGCGGACCGCATTGCCGCAGTACTTTGCGATGGGATATCACCAGAGTAGGTGGAATTATCTCACTACTCAAGACGTTCTTGACGTTTCGAAAGAGTTCAGCGATCAAGATGTGAGTTGATAGGTGGCTGCACATGATCCAATCTGGCTCACGCACGCCAGCGGCAATCCTTGCAGATTCCCATGGATGTCATGTGGCTTGACATTGAGTACAGCAAAGACCACATGTACATGATCTGGGACGACCTCAACTTCCCAGACCCAGAGCGAATGATCTCGGGTCTCGATGCAGAAGGGCGAAAGGTGAGTGGAGGTGCAAGATTTCCCCACGCACGGGGTTTTACCCTCTCACCACATTGTGACCGTGTTTGCGCCAGCTCGTGATCATCGTGGATCCGCATTTCAAGCGCACGAATGACTACTACGTCTATAAGGAGTCAAAGGCACTCGACATCCTGGTCAAGACGCCCGACGGCAAAGGAGAGTATGAGGGCTGGTGCTGGTCTGGTTCAGCTTCGTGGATCGATGCCTTTAACCCCAAGTCCTGGGACTGGTGGAGCGGTCTTTTCCGCCTGAAGCTCAAGAAGCTGAGGGCGAATGCTCGGAACGTACACATTTGGAACGACATGCAAGAGCCGGCAATCTTCAATGGACCTGAAATCACATCACCTAAGGATGTGATCCACCACGGAGGTTGGGAGCACAGGCATTTGCACAACATCAACGGAGTGCTTTTCCAGAACATCACGGCCAAGGCTTTGATCGAGAGGGAGGATCCACCTAGAAGACCTTTTGTGTTGGCAAGGAGCTGGTGGGTGGGCACTCAAAAGTATGGCGCGACCTGGACTGGAGACAATCTCGGTACTTGGGAGCATCTGGCCGTTAGCGTGCCTATGATCCTCGCGAACAATGTGGGCGGCATGAGCTTCACTGGAGGTGAGCATTTTGCGTGGTGAGGAGCACACACCAAACAACCTCGTCTAACTTATGGCGTACCTTTGCAGCCGATATCGGAGGCTTCTTTGGGAACCCCGAAGCGGACATGTTGGTGCGGTGGTACCAAGCTGGCATCTTTGAGCCCTTCTTCCGAGCGCACGCGCACATCGATACGAAGCGCAGGGAGCCTTTCTTGCTGGCGGAGCCTGAGAGGTCGCACGTCAGGGATCTGATCAAGCTGAGGTACAAGATGCTGCCCATTTGGTACACTGCTTTCAAGGAGAACAAAGCTACCGGACTTCCTTTGCTGAGACCGCAATTCTTGATGTTCCCTCAAGATGTCAATGGTGCGGGTATTGGAGACCAGTATTATCTTGCGGACAGCGGCCTCCTCGTCAAGCCGGCCGTCACCAAGGATGCGACCAGTGTGGACGTCTATCTCGGCGAAGACGAGGTCAGTGGGCATTGATGCATGGGTGCACAGCTGCAATGGCTGACAAAGTCTTTTTTGCAATGTTGACTGCAGGTATACTACAACTACTTTACCCGCGATGTTTATCACGGCTCGGCGAGCGGTAAGACGGCCAGCGTACCCGCACCCCTCAACGAGCAACTGCCCCTTCTTCAACGAGGCGGATCGATCTTGCCTCTTCGGGAACGAGTCAGACGCTCAGCTGAGCTGGGCTGGAGAGATCCATTAACGCTCGTCGTTGCGCTCAACAACGGCAAAGCGTCCAAAGACAAACTCCGGGCAACCGGCAACCTGTACTTGGACGATGGACAGACTTACGACCATGAGCAAGGATCTTTCGTCTGGCGCCGATTCAGCGCCATGAAGAACACGGAACGAGCTGGATTTGTTCTGAGGAGTGTGGATGAAGCGGCTCTAAGAGCCTCCACCGCATCTTCGACCGACACGTTGCAAATCCCAGCAAATTACTCGCCTAGCGAAAACGCCTTCGCCAAGTCGATTGAGGATGTGAGGGTGGAGAAGATCATTGTGATTGGCCTGGAAAAGAAACCGAGCAAGATTTTGAAGCAGAATGGCAGCGAGGTCCGATTCGTTTGGAACGCTGGAACTGCCGCTACCGCTTCGGCATCTAAATTGCCAGGCGTCGCCCCGGGCAAAGCAAGCGAGCTGATCATCAAGGACCCGGCCCTTCTTATTATCACAGACTGGCAGCTCGAGATCGTGGCGTAGATGTCGGGGAGGGAGGGACAGCCGACCATGGCGCTGCTGAAGGACACTGATGAATCGCAAACTTCGCTGCACGAAGGGAATGTCATACTTTGAACCTGGGCGCCCCTTCCGGTCCGTTTCCTCTTCTTGTCTGTACAGATGCTGGATGCACTGTGAAAGTCTGGGCACTCGGCCTCGCCCTCTCCTCTGGCGTCGACCTAGCAGATTGAAGGAAGCGTCCTGTCCTCACTCGGTCAGCTGACCACATCCTTTGATTCTTAGGTGTTTGCCTCAGTCACGATCGTACGATTCTTCGGCTCATGATTCAAATCCTGATGATGAATTCAACGGTTTGACGCTTCTTCTGACTTGGCGCCTGGTCTTGCTTCTATGGCTCACGTGACCGCGTTGCTGGCTTGCGCCTCCGCTGTTTGCGTCGCACGGACGTGTACAGCCATCGACGCTTCACCTCGCTTCGCCTTCATCAACCACAGTCACAACTCACCATTCGTATTCACATTCACATTCACATACACGGCTTGGTGTCGATTTCTCATCACGTCGCTCGCATCCACTACCACTCTTGGCTCCTCGCAAGAATACACAAGCCTGAGCGAGCAACAGCTGTCGCTGCGATAGATTGCTCTTGTTGCAATTCTTACACCCCTACGAATCGTGGCAGACTACCCGTTACGCACAGACCTGTAATCAAGATGGTGAGTGATTCTCAGACTCTGAAAGTCGCGCTGCACATTCACGAGCTCACAGGCTTGCATCTGGTCTCTCTGCTCTCGCTTACAAGTCGAACACTCTGAGGCCATACCTTTCCTGCGTCCGCTCAACCTTGACCGCAGCCATGACGCTGGAGAACTTCGGGTCTCAAGTGGTAGAGCGACACAACAAGCCTGAAGTCGAAGCCAGATCATCAAAGGAAGTGCTTCTGACTCCTCTGACAATAGCTAGGAATGAGAGCGAAAAGGTTCTCATCGAACCTAGCGTCAACTCGATCAGATTGAGCATCAAGATCAAACAGGCTGATGAGATCGAGAGGGTGATCTGCCACAAGCTGGCTAGATTCCTGATGCAGAGAGCGGAGAGCTTCGTCATTCTTAGGAGGAAACCTATTCCCGTGAGTAGCAGGGCTCTGATCATCCACAGAGCTGCCTCGCACGCTTTCACGCGCTCGGACTGCTGACTCGACTCGACTTGTTCTCGTCAACATCGACGCAGGGCTATGACATCAGCTTTCTCATCACAAACTTCCACACCGAAGCTTTGCAGAAGCACAAGCTTGTAGACTTTGTCATACAGTTCATGGAGGATGTTGACAAGGTGAGCGTTTACGGAGCTTGGAACAGTTGTCGCGCCTCAGGATGCTCGAGGCAGACATGACTGCGCCGCAGGTTGTGCTCGCTTTTGATACGCCACCTTTGTGCGCGTGTCTCGAGCTGAATCGCTGACATCTTACTGCTTCGCCTCCCGTCCCCAAGGAAATCTCGGAGCTCAAGCTTTCCATCAACGCCAGGGCTCGTATCGTGGCCGAGAGGTGAGTAGCACCTGTGCAAACCGCGACATCTTGTGTTCTGACTGCAATTCTCGCTTCTCATACGTCCTAACCTCGCTCAGCTATCTTGGAGTGGTGAGTCACGAGTATTGCGCGCGAGCTCCAACGGACGCGTACACTGGACCACCAAGACCGTATCATCTGACATGTATTGACTCTCTTTCGCCAGTTCACTTGATTGTTCGCGCCATACATGCGGCGTGGATGGGAATGTCATTACTTTCAGGTCTATCATGTTCTGCGCGAGCTGTGACTTAATTGGAACAGCATGTTTTGGTTTGCACTGCAGGCATGGGGATGTGCAAGCACAAAATCGGGAGCAAAGGCAAGCCTTCAAGCACGTAGATCGGCGCGCGACCCTGCCCCTCACGTCGAGCTGCAACTGTGTTCGTTGCGCTTTGAAGAGGGTCAGCCCTGCCCAAGAACCCGTTGCTAGTGCATCCCGAGCCAGAATACCTGCTGACACGCCGCAGAGCGACTCCAGTTGTGCGACGACCCCAACGACGCAGCTCAAAGTGGAGCACCAAAGCGGGCCTGGACAGCGCGCCAAATGCCCTTTTCAGCTGGCCTGATGGGGCCTCTCCGCGTAGATGCAGTCTCTGCCAGCACCAGTCGCCCGACGCTATCTGGTGCGTCACAGATGCGCTTGACAGCGAGTCACATCAAGTTGTTCAGGATTGCTTCTTGTGCTGGTGCTTTGAACCAATTGCCGCGATTGGCGCTGGGCGTCCTGCCTTGTGTCGTCGTCGCTTTCGCAAATGTGACAGACCCAAGTGGCATCGGATGCCAGCACAGCTCGCTTGGCGAGGATGCAGCCCGAGACGCAATGGTTGTGCAGGCTGCTTGATCTACCTAATCGTCCGTCCTTCGGCAGGCCCATGAAAGCAAGACTTTGAGCCTGGATGGACACAAAGCAGAACGCAGGTCAGCGTGATTACTCGCGTCTACGCACGACAGTCCGAATGACCCACGTCAGAAGGACATGCCGAAGAGCTCTAGTCCACGTCTCCTCGCTTCCAAAGTGAAGTCTGATCGAAGCTTCTCCAATCCTGTCTTTGCTTATGCTGATCGATTGCCAAATGGTTTGGTCAGCACAGTGAGCGTGTTGAGAACCGCGGTGCACGGAACTCACGCGTGAGGCAGCCTGAGCTCGGGGTCACTTGCGCAGGCTGCTGCTGCTAGTTGGCGCAGTAACTCTAGGAATGCTACCATAGCGTGGTCGAACCTTCGTGATTGGGGCGCCAGTAATCGACCTATTTGCCAATCGCCCGTGCCGTATCTATCCAACAGGCGGATGATTGTGGAAGTCAGACGTATTAGCAAGATGGTCGCGCAAGCTTTCAGCCCCAAACTTCACACCACTCACAGTTCATAAACAGCTTCATCGCCGCTCGCTTTCTTCACAGTGCTGAAGCTGCCCTTGGGGACCAGATGGTAGCTCAAGACCCAAATGTGATAGCTATTCAGCGCGGCCGCACGTCGCGCGGGGTCCTAGGCCGTTTGGCCCCTCAAAAATCCTTAACTCACTCTGTGAACTGCACGCCGACCTTTCTAGCGAGCACATCGAGTAGGAGAGCAGTCTGACCCCATGCAGCATTGATCTCTTTCCAATCCACGTGAGCATTGGGCAGCTTGCCCAACCTCAGTCCGTTGATGGTAGCAAAGCCACCCGAGTGACCGATAGAGAAGGCGTCATTGTAGGGATTCGTCTGTTGCAGACGTGACAGCTGAGCTGCATCGAGAGAGATGGATGTGCGAAGGGAGTCCCTTTGCGCTGAGACGGCAGACAGCTCCAACAGAAGGTTAGAATGCTGCGCCCAGAAGCTGAGAGTCGCATGTGCGGGTCCAGAACGAGGACGAAGTTGCAGAGCGTCAGCTCATGCGGCCTTCAACGACAGCAAAGTGCGCCCGGAAAGCGGCTGTCATGTAGCATCGGGCTACGCCGCAAGAATAACTGACGCTTCTTCTTCAGCCTCGAGCTCTGCCTCTTCTCTATCCAAAGCGGCGATTTCCTCTTCCACCTGGACCCTTTCCGCATCCGCAGCCCTGAGCTCGTCAGTGGCCAATTTTGACTGGCGTTCGAGCTTTTGAGACGCATGAGATTGAGACAGTAGGTCAACTTGCGGAGCAGGCTGGCCTATGTCAGTTTTGGTTGCGGAAAAGCTCACCTCCTCGATCGACTGCCCAGCATACATCTCATCTTCTTCCTCGTCCCCTTCCTTCCTGTCTTGATGTTCCGACATCTCCTTGACAAACCTATTGAGCGCATCGCGTTCGCTTCGAATCTCTTCCGTCTCCTCCTTCATGATTCTAACCAGAAGATCAGTGCATTCCTTGCAGAGCGGATGGTTGAGCCTTGGCGCCGCGAGTATGTCTTTGAGCGCTGACTGAAGTAGCAGCTTGTGAGTCAAGGGTGCGCTGAGATTTGGGTGGGAGCTGCTCGCGGCGTCGTCGCTGTCTCCGGCGGCAAGCGCGTGCAGCTGTCGGTCGGCAGAGGAGATGATGCCCCAGGCTGAGGCTGCCAAACCTCCCGAGGCGGACGTCGTCGATGCGGGCAAGGCCACATTTTGATGACACTTTTGACAAGAGACCGACGGCATCCTCACTGCGAGCACAAGAGCTGGACTCGTGACTGCTGTCTCGACGTTGTGGAGTCGTTATCGACCGAGGAGCAGGTCTAGACAAAAGAGCCCGATCGTGAAATCTTGAATGCATGGATCAAGATCAAGAGTCCGCGTCTCTCGAATCGCCGCCTTCTCGTACGAGATTCTCTCCCGCCGACTCAGGGCGCCGAGAAGCGACCGCGCGGGCGTGGGAAGACGCAATTACTCACAAAGGCGACCCGCAAACGCGTGCGGGCAAAAATTGCGGTGCCCCACATCAAAGCGTGCTTCGCTTGTAGCAGTCACAAGTCACACTTGCGGTCAAATAGCCACGCATACGCGAGCACGTCGGACCATGTGCCTGCTCCTGGTGAGTGTGTGTGCTCATCACTTTGCGAAACGCTCTGAGTAGCAACAATCACGAAAATGTGTAGGAGGCGAAGGCGTCACACAGTCGTAATGAGCCTGAGCGAGTGTTTGAGTTGGGGTGTGTGATGAGTCGTGAGTGGTGAGTGTAGTCGTTGATTGAGGTAGCGTCATCATCGCACTGCTGGCACGCTCGCATGCTCTTAGACTGCGTGCGCTTAAGATAAAGTTCTGAGCGATATAGAGTGCGTGCTTGCTCGCCGGAAATCATCGACAGAGTGCTCGGGCGCCGTGAATTGGAGCCACGCCAGCAGCTCGCGCGGTCAACGCGAGCACGGCTGAGCGCATCATGCACAGCCGTGAGCATCCATCCGCGCACGCTGCAGAAGATGGGATGAGCCATGCATATGATAAACCGCCCGCGAGCACAGGCCACCCAACATGCATGCAGGCGCGGGCGAGGCGAGGCAGGCAGCCGTATCAGGCAGGCAGGCGCAGAAGCGTGAGCCCGCCGCTTGCTCGTTTGGGCGGTGCTGGTCTCTGCATGCATCTCGATCGTGAATTTGGGTGTGAATTCGAATGTGCGCCGTATACCGTCCGTGCACTCTCGACTCTCCACTCTCCACTCTCGACTCTCCAAAACTTCGAGCTGTGAGTTTGCAACACCTCACTGCTTGTGACTTGCCCCTTGGAAAGTCTGCGCAGAAAGGTGACCCATGCTCACGAACATCGCGATTCTGGAACTACACTTCTCACTTTCTCCCATCTAGCCCTTCGTGTAGCGGGTGAGGGAGGCAACGCACGTCAACTCTCTCCACTACCTCACGCCAGTAACGCTCGAAAGCGTCATCATTGTCCGGACAAAGACCTGAGGAAATCTGATTGTCGACAAAAGCTCCACAGGGCTAAGCAAGCGTCACCTCACCTCGTCGTAGGACCCATCTTCAATTCGCGATGTCTTCAACTGGTCAAGCCAATGGGACAGCGGTGTCTGCCCCCACCGATTATAGCAAAGCTACGGATGGCACCGGCGTGATTGGCCTGGATCCGTGGCTGGAGCCCTTTGCGCCTGCACTTCGAGACCGCTACTCCTTGTTCAAATCATGGGTCGACAAGATCCGACAGACAGAAGGGGGTCTGGCTCAATTTTCCAAGGGCTACGAGAAGTTTGGTTTCAATGTGGATGATGGAACGGGTGATGTGTTGTACAGGGAATGGGCACCTGGCGCGACCTCCGCCGCGCTCATTGGCGACTTTAATCAATGGAGCAGAGAAGCCACGCCGCTGAAGAAGAACGAGTTTGGTGTGTGGGAAGTGGTGCTGAAAGGTCAAAATGGGCAGGCTGTGATCCCGCACGGAAGCAAGGTCAAGATCTCCATGACCACATCTAGCGGCGAGCGGATCGAGCGGTTGCCCGCTTGGATCAAGTGAGTGGACTGCTTGACAAGCAGATCCTCTCTTGGCTCCTTGTCCATGCGACCACACAGAATCGGAGGCCAGCCGGTCCCGGGTAAGGAGCTCAACACATACACGCCCATCCTCCTTCCACTCTCGCAGACGAGTCACGCAGGACCTATCCGTCTCGCCTGTTTATGACGCCATCTTTTGGAATCCCCCGGCAAGCGAGAGATACCAGATGAAGCATCCCAGACCTCCTAAGCCAGACAACATCAAGGTGTACGAAGCGCATGTAGGCATTGCGACACCAGAGCCACGCGTGGGAAGTTACCCAGAGTTCAGTGAGTCGGTCTGGCGCATCTGGCGTTGGATGCGCACAAATGATGCTGACGGGGCGCATCCTGTCAATGCAGCCAAGAACGTGCTGCCGCGTATCAAGGACCTGGGATACAACACGATTCAGCTCATGGCTGTTCAAGAGCATGCTTACTACGCGAGCTTCGGCTATCAAGTCACGAATTTCTTCGCAGCCAGTAGCAGATACGGTGAATCCCAGCACTGGCCTGCCCACGCGCGTGCACATTAGTTCAAGCGCTGATCACCAAAATCTTGTCATTTGATGCGCAGGCACTCCCGAGCAGCTAAACGAGCTGATCGACGTGGCCCACTCGCTGGGCATCACGGTACTGCTGGACATCGTCCACTCGCATGCTTGCAAGAACGTTTTGGATGGGCTCAACATGTTCGATGGCACGGACCATCTTTACTTCCACGAGGGCGCACGTGGTCGACACGAGCTTTGGGACTCCCGACTCTTCAACTATGGCAGTCACGAGGTGTTGAGATTCTTGCTGAGCAATTGCAGATACTGGCTAGAACAGGGCTTCGATGGGTTTAGATTTGACGGAGTGACGAGCATTCTCTACCAGTGAGCACGACTCTCTCGATGCATCGCCGCGTAGTGTGGTGATGTGGCTGACTCCGCAAGCTTCGCAGTCATCACGGTATTGGCACTGGGTTCTCCGGGGGCTACCACGAGTACTTTGGACCCTCTGTCGATGTGGAAGGCGTCGTCTATCTCATGTTGGCCAATCAAATGATCAAGGAGGTCTTGCCCTCAGCGACTACAATCGCGGAAGATGTCTCGGGCATGCCAGCGCTCTGCCGACCAACGTCAGAAGGTGGCGTCGGATTCGATTACAGGCTTAGCATGGCCGTGCCGGACATGTGGATCAAGTTGCTAAAAGAGACTAGAGATGAGGATTGGGACTTTGCAAACATCTGCTTCACCCTGACAAATCGTCGGCATCTTGAAAAGAGCATCGCGTACGCTGAAAGCCACGATCAGGCGCTGGTCGGCGACAAGGTGAGCAGCGTTTTGGTGTAAACATGTGCGCTCGGCCTAGCTGATGTGTGCTGGTATTTTTCTCGTCAGACCATCGCGTTCTGGCTGATGGATAAAGAGATGTATACGAAGTGGGTGCACTTCGTTCGGCTTTGCATCTGCTTTACCATCGCCTAATCATTCCCTCGCACTCTCTGCCCATCCAGCATGTCTGATCTGACAGAGAGAACGCCGATCATCGATCGAGGCTTGGCGATGCATAAGATGATTCGGTACGTCACCCACGCATTGGGCGGGGAAGGATGGCTGAGCTTCATCGGCAACGAGCACGGCGAGCCCGAATGGTTGGACTTTCCCCGCGAAGGTAAGGATACTGCAAATGGAGAGCCGTTTGTTTGGCTGATCTCGCTGACCCTTCTCGGCGGCCCCTCATCCCAGGCAATGGCAACAGCTTTGCGCACGCTCTTCGGCGTTTCGATTTGGCAGATGATGAGCTTCTGCGCTACAAGTACCTCAAGGCGTGGGACAAGGGCATGAATCATCTGGAAGAACAATACAAGTGGCTAGCCGCTCCCCAAGCTTACGTGAGCCTGAAGCACGAGAGCGACAGGGTAGTCGCGTTCGAGAGGGCTGGTCTGGTCTTTGTGTTCAACTTTCACGCTACCAACAGCTACACTGGTGAGTGATGAGCGCGGCAAATTGCACTCTCCTACTCCTCCACGCGCTGAGCCTGTCATTTTGATTTTGGGGACCACTTTAGACTACCGCATCGGAGTAGATGTACCTGGCGAGTACGTCATTGCTCTGGACAGCGACGAAAAGGCTTTCGGAGGACACGGCAGAATCGACCATGCGCAAAGTCGCTTCTTCACCACTCCTTTGGAGTGGAATGGACGTCGCAACTTTGTCCAGGTCTACCTGCCCAGCAGGACCGTCATCACGCTCAAAAAGGTAGCGTAGGTATCTATCGATTGTGCGGCGAACGCACGTGTCCAACAGGACCGAATCGTACGTCTCTAACGAAATCGACGAGGAATGGCAGAGTGAGGCCTTGAAGCTTGCCTTGATTCGTCTGAGGATGGTTCAAGCTCACTGGGCTCATCCGCGAGCGAGCTCGTACGGGAGTGCAAGGTCTCAGCAATGACATTTCAGCAGCTACTCATAGACAACATGTCGAGGGACGAGGGATTGTGAGAGGAGGCTTTTGACATTGCAAGATGCAGCGTGGTGTGTGACCGTGGGAGACAAGATTTGGAAACGAAAGGGTTTGCAAGGCATTGCAGGAGCAGCGTGTAGCGCAGAGCACAGCAAAAGACCAAAAGCAGCAGCAGCAGCGGAGGTTTTCTGTCGGTGGTGGGCAGAAACCTCCGTATGATGCAAGAAACGAGGAGCACAGGGCACATGTTCACGGAGCAGATTGTGTAATCGAGCCTAGCAGAGAGAGCTGCGGAGCAGAGGTTTGAGGAAAAGTGGACTTTGGCAAGAGTATTTGCTGTTCTTACTGCAAGTACGTCCACTTGTTGTGGATGATGGCAGCCGCTGCTTCCGCAATGCCGTACACCGTTGCTTGAATGTGCGCCGAGACGTGGACAGGAATCACGCTGGCATCCGCCACTCTAACATTCTGGGTGCCGTACACCTTGAGGGAAGAGTCGACCACTCCTCCTTGGGATTTCGGCCCCAGGCTTGCAGAGCCGATGGGGTGGTACTCTGTGACGACGTTTTGCTTGCTGTAGTTGGTCAGGTCGACGCCCTGTCCCGGCAGAACCTCGTTCTCGACGAAGCCGTTAGCCTTGTAGATCTTCGTGTTGGCAACGTTGCGCAGGTAAGAGGTACCAGCGGTGAGGACGTCGAGGTCCCAATCAGCAGTGAAGTACTTGGGGTCGATGATGGGAGCTTTGGACGCATCGCTGCTTTGCACGTGAATGCTACCGCGAGACAAGCTGTGCTGTTGAGCAGCGAGGAAAGTGATGTAGTTGACTCCTGCTTGGGGAGCACCGGGGGCAAAGAAGCCATCGATGCCGATGACTTCCATTTGAGCGACGCTGTCCAATCTCTTGGTCAGGTGCTCGAGCTGCTTCCAGAGGCTGGCCTTGTAGGGAACATTGGCAGATGCGACGTACGCAGCAGCTTTGGCAACGAGCTTCAACGCCTTGGCCTTGCCGACCAATTGGGGCAAGGTGAGGTAGGCAATGGCAGGGACGGTCTCTTGGAGGATGGACACCTGGTTGTTGGCATACAAAGCTTGCTGGTCAGCCGCAAAGGCGGGGTCGTTGCGCAAAGAGTCGAGCGTGACCGAGCCGTTCTTGAGCTTCCATACTGCAGCAGTGTACACGTGGTCCTGAACGTTCTCCCCCACACCTGGAAGATCGACGATCTGCTTGATACCCGCGCTTTGCAGCACTTTCTTCTGTCCGATACCGCTCAGCTCGAGAATTTGAGGGGTGTTGACGGTACCGCCGCTGACGATGACCTCACCACCGCTGACGAGCGCAGCGGTGAACTTTTGACCGCTGTGCGTGTAATCGACACCAGTGGCAACAACATTGCCTGAAGTAGACCTGGCGGAGGAAAAGACGATCCGTTGAACGGTGGCGCCCGGCAAGACGGAGAGGTTGGGTCTGGAGCTAGCAGGAGCAAAGTATGCGGTGGCAGAGTAGCTCCTGGTAGAGTTGCTGGGCAGGATATCGCTGGGCTGAACAGATGCCCCTTTGTTGTCGCCTGCCAATGGGTTGTCGTTGTGCTGGATTTTGAGTTCCTCCAGGGCGGGGATCCAACGCTTGACTTGCTCCGAGATGTAGCGCGGGAAAGATACCTGGATGGCGCCCGCATTGCCGTAATCGGCCGAGTTGGTCTTGATGTTGAGCGCAGCTTGGTCCTCTGCGGAAGGCGCAGTGAACTTTTCCGACTTTTTCATGTACTAGATGGCCAAGCGACGAGAGGAACGCGCATGAGATCAGTGCCGACCATTGACCAAAACGTCGCTCAAGGCATGCATGAGCGCTCACCTTGTACAAGTTGTTCCAGTTCCAGCCCTTTGCTCCGAGCTCCTCCCAAGCGTTGTACTCTGCCTTGCTGGCTCTGTCCCAGACCAAGAAGTTGAGGGCAGAGCTGCCACCAAGGACTTTGCCTCGCGGCCACGCGACAGCAGGAGCGACGTCCGCCTTGGATGTGTAGTTGTAGTTGAGATTGGTGCCGAGGTTTGCGCCAAACAGTCCAGGAGTGTTTGTGTCGGCACGGTCGAGGGCGATGGGACCAGCCTCGAGCAGACCAACGCGCTTGGCAGGATCTTCTGAGAGCTTGACAGCCAGCGCAGTGCCTGATGAGGGATGATTGGGGCCGCGGCGCGACAGGTCAGCGCGGTGTGATCGCGGGTTTCACATCCGTCCGAGACAAGTTTCGGCCGTGGCGCCCTATAGCAGCTGTTATTGCATGCTGCTGCACGCCTAGCTCGCGCTGCAAACACGCGGCAGCAACAGCAGCAACATCATGCGCCTACACAGTACTCCCGAACAAACAAAGCAAGCTGCTGTAGCTGGACTCGTGACTGTGACTGCAGCAGCAGCTGCGTTCTGATCTGCTTTGCAAGAGCGGCACCACACGTAACCCGGCGCACTTCTCCCATCATGCCCACCATCATACCACCTAGCTGCAACGCACCACATCCATCCCTCCCTCTCCCATCGAATCGCACTCACCTGCAGTGCCACCGCCAACAACGATGTGGGTGTACTTTGCAGAGGAAAAGTCATCACCGGAGCGCTTCATGGCCGGAGCGGCTGCCAATTGTTCGTACATGGCCCTCGAGGAGAGCGGGTCGGTGACGTCGTGGAGCCATGGCGCACCCGCTGCAAGAGCTGGCACTAGGGCCAAAAGGGCGGTGAGAGCGAGCTTCATGTTGAGATCCACGTGATGGAGGGGATGAGATCGCTAGGGTAAAGGTGTCCAGTAGATCGCCACCAAAGTGAGGAGGGGCTTGCAGAATGCTGAACGGAACGAGTCCTTTGCGAACAAGGTATTAAATAAGTCAATGCTTTCGCGAGGCGGTGCAGGAACGTCCAGTTGCGTTGGCTCAATCTTGAATGGCGGTTCGTTGATTTGCGCAGCGTACAAGTCTTGACTTGCTCAATTTCCGACCGCTGGTGGGGCTGATAGAAATGGAGGTGGACAAACGTGGGTAAGCTTGATGCCGAACGAGCGGCATCGCTGAATCGACGCTCTCTCCTCCGCGAGGTACCCACTTTGAGTAGATGGCGCAGACGAATGAGCGCCGTGCCGTTTCTACAGGCTTGGCGAAGGCGAATTGAGTGGGGAAACAAAGAGCAGCTCGAGTGTGGCTGCTGCGCGAGGTGTCACGCGCGATCGGGATGGAGGGAGCAATGTAAAGCTTTGCCGAAGACGAAAGAGGGGGGTTAGAGTCAGGTTTCAGGAGGATCAACCATTGATGAAGGACATGGTCCCCTCCCTATATATGTGCTCGGACAGGTCTCCTTAGAGTCAGCACCAGGCATGACCCCGCTGTACTCACATCACTACTGTGCAGCTATAGTGGACGGATCGCCGGCAGGATATGCCGAGATGAGACGGCAATCGCGCCAATAGCGCTTGTTATGCGCTTTTGGCGCATCGGAGGGATAGAGGCAGCAGCAGTCAATGTCCGGTCTCAGCCCCAGCTCCACGAAGGTGCATCCCACATCGCTTTGGCCGCTCCAGCTAGGGATGGGCATACTGTACCAGCAGCATGACACTACTCACTCACTCTGTGGCTGCCTTGCAGCAAAGCAATCGCAACTCACGACTGTGTGTGGCTCGGGGACGGCTGTATGACGCAGCGGCAAATGAAGGGAGCCGAGCACGCCCATGCGGCCTGTGCACTCGTGACTGTGTGACTGCAAGATACGAGCATGAACAGATCAAAGAGCATCTGCTCTGTGTTGCGACCCCCCAAACCAACCAACCAACCCCCTTCTGTGGATGCCTAGATGCCATTACCCGAGCCATTGCATGACCCCTACTCGCTGAAGGCGTGCGCGCTTCTCTCGCTGATCTTCCTTGCAGCACGATCCGCCGCCATTCACGCTTCTCGTGTTGTGAACGTGGGTGCGTGGCGCGGTGGTACGGTGGCACGATCAGAGAAGTCCTAAAGTTGTGAGTTGCGAGTTGCGAGTGTTGGACCGGGAACGCGCAGGCGCGGAATGAAAGTTTCCCATGCGCGGTACGCTACTGTACGCGTACTCTATGCGCTGCTGCTGCTGGAGGCTGTGCGGTACAAATCAGCAGCACTTCGCGCTCCAATCGGCGGGCTAAAGATGTCGCTAGCTCTTTCGCGCGTGCTGCAGCTAGCGCATTTGCAACTCATCAGCAGCAGCTCCTCCAGCTGTTCTCTCTAGGAGAGAGCCCCGCTGCCCATCATCGTTGGACCAAACGGGCTTCAGAGCGGCAGTAGTGCAGTCGTGCGAGTTCGGTTGTGGAGTTGCGCCGAGGGCGTGCGCCCGTGTGAGCCTAGAATAAAGCTTTCGTGACCTCGTCCAAACGCGCGCGACATAAGTTTAACTGAGCATGAATCTGAATCGTGATGTGCTTCAACTCACTTCCCAAGCGCCTTACTTGCAGAGGGAAAATGTCGCCACGGCGTTGCGAAGAGCCGCAAGGCGTACGAGCCAAGCATAGCAAGACGGAGTGAGCGAGCGAGCGAGCGAGCGAGCGAGGTGGCGAGGTGGCGCTGCGGTCGCAAGCAAGTCGGCTGGCTAGACGACCATCACCTGTAAGGCTCGTGCGTTTGCTCTTCTGCTGCTGATCGCACAATTTCCTCACCTCTTGGTCGATCGGGATCCTCTGCCGCTTCCGGTCTTTTGAGGTACGGCCGCAAGGGCCTCGCCGATCTTTGGGCATCAGCGTGTGCCCGCCCGCTGGAGCCTCGACAGCACAATGACTGGTCACCGCTCTTTCTCCACCTTTGCACGTTACAAGCGCTTCCGCCTGTCGCCGGCACAAATGGTAACCAGGCGCCTGCGTCGGTGGCACGCACGGCTCTCCCTTCACTGGCTGCAAGGCCATCTACCTCGATCGATTACGAAGGATGATAGGTCATTTTCCTCAGTCGACCATCGATGTGAATGAATGGCTCGGATGGCGTTACGGCTGCATCTGTGGCTTCCAGAGACCTCGACACCATTTCCAGCTCCTAGGGTGCTCTTGGCCGGCGTGGAGTGCGTCTACGTGGTCTCTCCTCCACGACAGAACATGTCAAGTGGCAGTCGCTCCGCCACAAGCGCCCCCCTACAGCCCCGCCAGCAGAAGAGGCTTTTTTAAGATTGAGAGTCCGTCTGCACTTCCTTCTGCAGCTTCTTCTGGCGTGCGTGCGTGCGTGTGCGAACAGCAGCAGACGCGAAAAGCTCAGCAGGCGCGAGCACGCGTTTGGTGCGCTTTTTTTTGGCCACCATCACAAGCCATGCGCTTTCTGCAACCTGCACCTCGTGCATGCTTCAGTCGTGGGAAGGACGGATGAAGTGGTTGACCTACCAGCCGTGCAAGCACCCGGATGAGACGGGCCGATTTGCCCTTCTCGCGATCAAGCATTCACCGAATGCTCATGACAGCGGGGGAGGGGAGAAGAGGAAAAGGTCAAGGTCTCACGAATCTTTACGACTTCTCAACCACCTTACAAACGCCTCGAGGGGTGTTGGGGGCAAGGATCAGAGGCGGCTCGGCCAGGTACGCCAAGTTCATGTGAAGGCTGAGACTTGCAGCGGGCCTCTGTGGATCGTCGTTGCTGACGACTGAGCAACCTCTTGCTTGAGCAAAGTCTGACGTCTACAGCACGCAGGGTCGTCCCGAGGATGAGAGCCTGAAGGTGAGCAAGGCGCGAGCGCATCGTCGGCAAAGACGGACGGACAGACAGACATCGTCCACCCAGCACCCCACGTTTGCGTTTGATCGAGCCCCTCATCAGAACCCCTCCATCGATTTTGGATGGAGCTGCGGAAGTCGGCGGTGAGAGCTCGGAAGCTTCATGCTGCTGCTGCATGCGGTGGGGCTTTCCGCATGTGTATGCGCATGGCCGCCAGATCGGTCCAGCAGGCCAGACAGACACTCATCAGGCCGATGAGGAACGCGACCTTCATGCCAATTCGTGACGAGCTTCGATCACCTAGATCATCAGTAGCAGCAGCATTCAGATCGAATGTGAACGCGGTGCGTGCACATACGCGAGACGAAGCGCATGCTTCGTGCTTTCTGAGTGAGCGTGCTAAGCATGGGCTCGGGGTTGCCTGGAGGAGGGATGGGCAGCCCGCTTCTGCCGTGCCCGCTAACCCCCTGCATGCTGTGGGATGCGAGGGGTCAAAATTCGCCGTAAAGTGCCTAGACTCGAAACGAATTCGTTCTTCCTTCGTCGATGCTCTGACGCGGGTCAGTATCAGACCTCGAGTACTCACGACTTGTGGATAGACGAGTGCGTTCGCATTGCTTACGGCGACTTGCGTGAGTGCTGAGCAAGCAGAGCAACGACGAAGCGAAGGCAATTTATTTGCAAGTCTGCATGCATGCACGCATCACAGGCGTGTGTCAGCTGGCTTTTCGCAGGTCCGACTGTTGCATGGTATAGCGCATTGTGCAGTGTGCAGTACACATATAGGGAGCGGGGCCCGCTGCGTGAAAAGGCGGCTGCTGCGCGCGACCACGCGGTCCGTGCAGACGCGGCATCGAGCTGACTCGATTCGACTCGATTGGCGTGCAGCTGAGCCTATAGAAAGCCTCAGCTGTCAGGTAAGAGAGCTCTAACTAAATGTTTAGGCTTTTAGACTCGAGATGTCCGCATTTCTCAACGGTTAGAGCCTGGTCGCGAGTGCGTTTCCGTCATTTCATCTGAAAGAAATCAGCTCGTAGCTACCATGGCCTTTCGAGGCCCGCGACCCGCAAAGGTTCTTCATCTTTTTGATCCCTTTTTTTTTTTTAATCGCGGGGACCGCCTCACGTCGATCCGACTTGAGCTGCTATTCTAGTGCTCAAAGGAACAATCCCCCGACCCCGAAAAAGTCCATAGAGGATACTGATGGCAAAGCAGGCACGACACACTTTGCCCGGTCCGGCTCTCGTGTGGAGATCGCGTCATTCGTGGTTCGTGATTGATTGTGTACCCGTTCCTGCAGAGGTAGCGATCGGACGTTGGGTATGCTCTTTCGCCATGCACGCGACGCGACGCGTTTCGCGTGATGAGCCGGCACGACGCGGAATCGTGTTGGTTGATCGCGATTGAGCTTGTGCTGCGTGCATGCGGCGGTGCACCCGGCAGCCGCCAGCCGCCAGCCACCTCGATACTTGTTGCAGCTGCCTACTCCCACTCTACAACAGCTCCATGCACTCAGACTCCCGACTGCCCTGGTCGTCTGGCCCTAACCAACACTCGTGTCATCGGCAGTCGCTGTAATTGCAAGATTGCAAATCACCGCGTGACCTCGACCTGAGCAGGACATCTCACGTGAGGTGCACAATCCACTGCCACCCTTCTCATCCCCTCGACATCACCCCATCTGAGGCGAAATGACCTCGGTCGCACCCTCACAAGCGCCCAGCTCCTCACCTTTTGCCGATGCAGCCGCATCTGTAAGTAGGCTGAGCTCGTCAGCCGGCCCCTCTTCCGGTCCATCTGCCAGCCTCGAAGGGCTGCGAATGAAGCGTGAGCACTTGCTCGGCGATCTAAAGCCAAATTCCGCGCATGATTGACACCTTCGCCTCTGCCAAAAATCTGCAGTGGCCTCGTTGAAAGCACAGAGAGCTTCTTTGAGGTTGGAATTGGAATCCGTCAAATCTGCGCCCATTCCTACTTCTTCACTTGGCAAAAAGGACTCGCCGGAAGAACAGTCTTTGGCAGAACAGCTTGCTCAGGCTGAAGAGAGTCTGGTGCTTTGCAGAACGCTTGGTTGGACTTGCTTTTTGGTCGACCTCTCGCCTGGAAGGAGGGCCAAGTCGCTGACGGGAGGTGGACACGTCGGCATCGGAGCGAGAATGGAAGCATTTGTGAATGGTGAGTCTTTGACGACTGATCAGTAAGCAATCCGCAATGGTCCACGTGCCCGTGAAACCGTCGATGCCGAAGAGGCGTGGTGCAAGCTTCAGTGATATCGCAGACGAAAGCTGACCTTGGCCAACCTGGCGCTTTCAAGGTCGCTTTCACAGCCCACACTATCTCTTGTTTGGTCGAACACCTCCCCCAGTCGAAGCGAGAATAACATCATCCACGATAGAGAGCTCTTCACGAAGCTCTGGCGCTCAAGTCAGCTCAGCAGCAGGACCGTTCAGATTGTTGAGGCACACTCTGCCGAGCTGCATACCTCTCGCTCAGCTGGTCGACGAGTTTCTGCCGACATCTTCCGCACCGCCGCAAGATGAAGACGAGCTGATGCAGGGATGGAATTTGGTCGGGTCTCTGAATGCGATCGGCGGAGGAATAGATGTGAGCATGGGATTGGCAGGAGTGTGCGAGAGAGAAGACGGAATTCTGCGCTGATCGCTATCACTTGGTCCTGTTGCAGACTTTCTTAAGTGCCGTGCATGCGTACTTGCAAGCATTCGTGTCACGAAGGCAGGCATTCGCGTCTGTATCGGCACAGGAAGATCTGGATGGGGACTACTACCCCCCCGAAGGATACGCATCGGCCTCGTATACTTCTCTGCGGCTTGAAGCAGTGATAGATGAGAAGGATGCGGATGCACTGGCAGTCGAGAGCGCGCTCGGTGTAGCAGGCGAGCAAGAATCCGCAAAGAGGTCGAGACCCACCGCTCCGTCTAGACATGTCAGAGTGGACATTCGCCTGACGCCACTCTCGGACAGATTGGAAAAGCAGCAAGATCATCCACCCAAGCATGCTGGGGACACTGCCGAGGCTACGCTGCGGGACGCTTCGCATGGAGTCGGCGGTAGCATCAGCGTGTTCATCGTCGATCCCACCGCTTCTCGCAGCCTCCGAGCGCAGAGACGTGCAGACCTCGAGGCTTTGTTCTTCAAGAGGGAGGATGATGAAGACGCGGATACAGGCTCTCGCGACGCGCCAGGTTTCGATCAAGCCTTTCATCAAGTCTTGCGAACCATCAGAGCTGAGATCAATTGAAAATGCAATACTGTGCTGATGGGACGCCGAAGGGTCTTCATCTTCATGAACCCTGCGGTGGTGTCACCTCTTCGCTATCTGCGTCCCTCTCTAAATTCGGTGTCTGTCTGTCTGCTATGACATCTATCTGGTTCTGACCTTTGAACCCCGCTTATGCCGAGCAAGCGCGTGAATGCAAGGGCTGTTGCCCGCGAAGAGGACAAGGTCGCCAAGACCGAGATCGTCGCATCCGAGTGGAATGTCCGACTTCTGACGAGCTATTCACAGTAAGAGGCACAGCAGTGATGATGATGCTCATCCATGCTCTCGAATGCTGTTGATGATTGTGGAGTTGCAACAGACTTTGGACGCTCAGGTAGCTCGAGCCTAGGAGCTTACCGCATGGGAGTCTTCAACGAAGCACAGGCATACGCATTGACTGGCAACAAGATGGGGAAAAAATCATCAATGTCAAACCGAAAGGATGCAATGGTGGTGGAGCGGCGAGAGCGAATGGGATAGTACTGTATGTAGAAATGATCAAACCTGCATGCGAGTGCAAACAGAAACCGTGGCCTGGAGAAGGACAAGTGGATTTGAACAAGCTAGTTGTTTTCAAGAAGCGAAGGAAAAGAGAGAAAAGGCGAGCCTCAAGGGTACCGAGAGTGCCTATGATGAGATAGACTGTACAGTTGCGTGTCGACCGACGGGTAGCAGATAGATTGGAAATCTTCAGCCATCTCCCCGGTCGCGGAGAGCTGCTGCTAAAAAGTAGCGATACCGAGTCGAAAGAGTGTGGTGCGGCGAGCCTCGTGTACAAATGCTGGTGAGAATCCGCAGAGATCGGTCGTTGAAAACGAGTGTTGTTGTACAGCTCCATGGGCGGATGAGAGATAGATCGGCGTGCGAGCGCGCTGAGAGTAAAGCGATGGCAAGACCCAATGTTGAGTGTCGCTCAGTCTTGATTCATCACGAACCAAAGCCTAGTGACCAGGGTCATTGAGAAGCGTCGCGAAGCTGTGGCGCATCGCACCCGTGCTAGATTCTCTTCTGCTCGGAAGGGTGCGATCTGATGGAGCAGGTGAGGCTGCTGTCTCGGTCTCGCCGTCAGAGACGGCCTCGGGCGACAGAGCCTGGAGAGTTGTTTGTTGCATTTGCGCAGCTTGTGGACGCGAAGAGATCCTTGCAGGAAAGAAGGCAGGCGCTGCCGACGAGTCGGGATTGGGATGGTCACGGCGGCCCGGGGGCAACGGAGCCGAAAAGGATGGCGTGGGCTTGGCAGAATGCGCCAAAGGCTCGCCCAAAGGACGATATCGCTGACGATCGTAGTCCTCGTCGCCTTCGCCCGAAGATCCTGATAGATTGCGCTCGCGGCTAGACACCTGCCGTCCATAGCCCGTCGCGCCAGGCCAGTGCTGTGCGGCAAGTGACGCGCGGGAACCCTGCTCGTATGCGGAGCGACTCAGAGGTGGATGCGCTCGATGGGTCGCGAGAGCGAAGGGCGGTTGCTCGACACTGGTCTGGGCCCGGTGAGCCCCATCTGGCCTAGCCATGTATACGCCTTGCTGTTGTGCAGCGAAAGGAGGCGCGTGCTGCGAGGCGGAAGGTCTTTGTGAAGCGCCAGCCTTACCGTCGCCATTTGTCTCGCCGGCAGCATGGTGAGCTTTCTGGTGCCGACGCAGATTGGAGTGCACGCTGAAGCATCTTCCACATCCAACTTCCTTGCACACAAACGGCTTCTCGCCAGTATGGCTGCGCGCAGAAAAAGAAAGTGGCATTGGTCAGTCTGTAAGGTCTGCCTCTTGTTGTGCACTCTAACTCACGAGTGCTCATGGATGCGTAGGCTAGAGGGACGGCTGAAGCGCTTGAAGCACCACACGCACATGTACTTCAAAGTGCCGGGCGCGATAGTACCGCCGGGAGCCGCGGGCATTCGTCCTGCAGATGAGCTCGAGGACAAGCCTCCGGACGAGTCCGGGCGACGGACCGCGACGGCGCCGGGCCCAGAGTGTGACTGCATCTGAGCAGTGTGCCGGAGGTCTTGTGAGTAGCTTCTATGCATGCCTCGAGGGATGGTGCGTGGGTGGTCCACATCCATGGAGAAGGGAGGATCGGCGGATGAGTGGTGAGGTGAGTACTCATGTTCTTGTGGCCCGCGCATGCTTTGATGGGCCGCCCAGCCGCCGCGTTCGGGGAATTCAAAGTGCGCCGACGTGTGTGGAAGGCGGTGCTGTTGATGAGCCGATGAGGAGGGCAGAGGTGCGATGGGACGGCCGGACGTTGTCATGGTCTGAGCCCTGGGTCTTGGTACGCCTGAGCGGAGATCTTCGCCCATCGCCATTGTTCCTTCAGGCCAGCCTTGTGGAGCCCACATGCTTTGGTGGCGAGCGCGTTGAGCATCTCTGGCGGGCTCAGGAGGTCGTAATGCTGCGGATCTGCTGGCCAACTCGTCGTGCGGCCTGTCTTGGCCCCCTTCCATGTACACGTTTGGAGGCGGCTTGCCGACCGATGCGTGCATGCCGGGAAGCTCGAAGCTTTCCTGTGTCGAGCTTCGGCTATGCAGACCGCTAGGACCGCCAAAGGGACTAACCACGTCAGAGCGAGAAGAGCTCCACGTAGAGCTTGACGACCCGTAGCCTTGTGGATGGTGGCGAAAGGGTACGCTTGAGGGCTTGCTCTCCAGCGAGGAGATGCGGGACCTGTCGAGATGATGTGGAAGCTGTGGAACCGACGTAGGATAGCCTATGTGCTCGCGGGACCCGCTGTCATAGCGTTGACGGTGCAGCTGCTCAGCACGAGCGTCGCTAGCGGCACGCCTCGCATTGGAGAAAGCCGTGGGTGAAGCTGTCTGGTTGGGCATTCGGTCGCCGTGTGTCGTAGCAGCGGCGGTGACCACTGCTCTGGGAGTGTCGTACGGACCGCGACGAGGGGTCGGCACAGCAGGGCCATCGTGAGTTGCGACAAGCGTTGGCGCTGCGTAGACACGAGATGGAAGATCAGGGGGCTCATCCAGAGCACCTAGAGTATGTCGTCGACGGCCTGACGGGGCGCCTGCGTGGGTCATGCCGCCCTCGGCATCGGGCGTGCAAGGATCGTTTCCGAAACGTTTTCTTGAGCGATCGCCGGCTTGACTGATTTGCCGATGAGGTGTGGTTGGGCTGTCCACGATAGGGAGAGCTTGCGTCACAAACATCGGCGACGGGTCTGAGATTGTTACCACATGATGAGCAGGTGAGCGCTGTTGTGGATGAGCCCTGACGACAGATCGGTCGTCTGGCCAAGGTGAAAGCGGTGCAACGCGGGGCAACGTCTTGTCCTGCGAAGCGATTTGCGGCTGAAATCTCTCTTCACGAACGCGATCGGAAAGGCCGGGGGCGGGGAAAGCCGGATCAGCAGAAGCAGGCTGCGGCGCATCCAAGCGGGACCTGAAGTCGACATCCTCTAACGCAAAGAAAAAGACAGCAAGGGATGAGCAGGTATTCACACCACAGGCGTCATCACGATGTGCAGGTCTGCATCGAAAACGAGAAGCCACCGAGAAAGAGGAGACCTGCTAAAGATTTCACACCAAGCAAAACCACCGCAGTCATCACGGACAATTTTGCCTGAACTTACCGGATTGATTAAGGGCGAGAAGGTGCTTGATGCTCGGGAGGTTCTGCGTGGGCGGTGGAAGAGATTGCGCATGTTGACTCGGGTCCGCATCCTCCGTACTCCTGCTTAACCCCAGCATGGATTCCGCGGCGCTATTCTCGGCTGCGTGCATAGCCTCATGTTTGGTGTCTTTGAACGGGATCGCCATCTGGCTTGAAGAGGGCTGGGATCGAGCTGAGGCGAGATGTGGTGGCATCGAATGCGTCACAGGGAAGGGTATGCCGCGGCTCGAAACGCTGTCGGGCGGAGGCAGTCGCCCCGCAAATGGCACGATGCGCTGACCTTCGTGTCGATCAGGCGGCATACCCTATAGCGCGACCGCAGAGTGATGGCACGAGTGGCCAAGCTCGACGCGAAGGTGGGCGTTGGGAGAATGCGGGCTGGATGGATAGGGCGGATGCGAGACAGAGCCAAGCTATCTTTCGACGAGAAGCTGAAGAGTTGCTGAAGGTAACGGGCGAGCTGGTCTTTGAGAATGACGGTCGGAAGAATGGTTTGATGGATGGATGGATGGATGGATGGATGGATGACGAAAAGCCGAAAGGCGGATTGCTCGCAGAGCGGTTGGAAAGCGAAGGGTGAGGGCCTGGCGATCTCGAGCTTCAGAGTGCTTCAGAGTGCGGGGAACAACGGGATTGTTGTAGTCGTCAGAGTCGTCGCTGGCGAAGGAAGGCTGGGTTTGCGCAATTCGGATGACAAGGTCGCTTACGCTGCAAGTCGTTGAGTTCGGGAAAAGGTGCGCGCGTTGGTGGATGACAGGCTCGGATGTTTGATGTGAAGCTCAGCGTGATGTCGTCACAAGGGAGATAGGAGCTTGCAGACCTTACAAAGGCAGCAACAGCAATCCCAGATGCCTAGCCCTAAGGCGAATGCAGGCGGTTTGACGGCGGCAGATGCGTGAGGTGTGTAGGTAAGAGGTGGGTGGGATAGAGGTGGATGGATGGATTTTTGCCGCATGGGTGATCGCGCGGCGCGCACTCCACCGCCGCACTACTGCGACTTACTGCTTTTCTTTCCGCGCTTGCGCTGCTGCTGCTGCTGCTGCTGCTGCTGCTGCTGCTGATGCGCTCCAATTATCGAGGTCCCTGCTCCTGTCGCTGCGAATTCACATGGAGATCGATTGCAGCAGGTGCTGTCTGCGCCCGACGTGTACGCTGCTGTGTGTAGGCTGCGCGCACTACCCGCCCTATACGGCAGCTGCTGTCAAAATCGCGATGAAATTACCCGCGCCCGTGCTCCCCTGCGACGTGATTCGCGGTACATGCACCGCATATGCATGCTGCCTATACCGCGGGGCGTACTCGTGGCCGATCACTCTGATGCTATGCTTGCTGATGACTGCGAATGTCTCTCTTGCTGCTGCCGGGCGATCACAGCCCGCGCCTAGCGCGCGCGTCCCTCCTCTCGTCATGCATGCATGCATGGAAATCAGCCCGCCTCAAGTGGGCCAGCTGGCTGCTGCTGCACCCCATCAGCACAATTCGTGATTATAAGCGACATGATAGCGGGCCTCGCCCAGAGAGGTTCCGCGACACCACACACTTGCAGCAGCATCAGAATTGCGGTGCAGGGGCGGGGCGGGACGCACGCACGCACCTACACACAATAATCAGAATTTGTACGTCTAGTAGTCTTGAGTGCTGTAGATGCTACAATTGTGAGTAGGCCTTACTGAAACCGAGCCAGTCAACAGCTATAGCTAGCTGCGACAGTTGCGTGCACAGGCCGAGGAGCGGTCAGACGCTTACAGAAGTAGGAGGCTTGGACGCGCTTTGAGCCTCTTGTGTCGCGTCGCGGGTCTGAATCACAAGTCGTGAATGGCGGCCCGCGTCCCGTCTCAGCCATAGGTGTCAGGAAATTGATGCCCTTCAGTCAGAAGTGATTCTTGCATCTCGTGACTCACGACTCAGACTGATATGTGTGATGATTCACGATTCACGATTGTCATGCACGTATTATGCACATTCATCATGAGATACTTCCGATCTGAGCGACGGCAGTCATGAGTCGGGACAGCAGCATGAACCAAGATGTCAGGCGTACCACACGACCGCTTCGGACTCACACTTGCAGCAGCGTAGCAGACGTTTGATTCTGATGATGCTTCTTCTATATACATGGTCGGCACAGTCGAAGTCAAAACCATTGACCGGATATCCGCCCCTTTCTGCTGCGCCTTGCTTTGGCAGCAACGCGGGCGCAGATCGAGTAGTCAGCCTGCGTGTCTTGCAATCATCACTAATCTGAATGCACCGTGTGGGATCGGACGAACGTGGACCGCCATGACAAGGGCTCTGCGCCTCATCCATCGCTTGCACGCGCTTTTGACACCTGTCCTTCTGGCTGTATAGCAGCTGTATCGCAGCTAGGGATTTTGCCTAGCTACAATGCTCTCAACTGATGCGTAGACTACAGCAACTTTGCCAGGTCAGAACATGAACGGCCCCCATCAGGAGACGATCTCGAGTTCAAGATTGAGGGATCACAAGGATTGTCATGCGACGCCCAATGCCGCTTGCTCATCACAGGATCGAGCGGGTCGCATGCACGCACCTCTTTGAATTACCCACGACTTGAGCTCAGGCATGCTGGCATTCACGATTCCCTTGGCGTCAAGGCGGATCGCATGCCCAACATTTGTGCTCATCACCATCACCATCACCACCACACCACGGCACCGGACCGGACCGCGGCCCGTGCGTGCGTGCGCAAGAAGGCCGTTGATTCGGCAGCAGGCAATCGTGAATTGCAAGGCCCCTAAGCTTCGCATCGCGGTCCGTTTAAGGCAAGTGCTGGCCTGGCGACCGCCGTGCAGAGGTACCGCGTACTGCACAGAAATTGGAGTGTTGAACGAGACAGTCCACACCGGGACTGTGCGCATGCAGAGCAGGCCTACCTGTACGCGTAGGACCTTGCCTTGCTCGTCGAGGCCAAGCGCGGCACAAGCAAGCTCGATCTCGTTACGCGTCGCGTTACAGGTATATATAGATTTAGGGTATCGGGAGCATTTGAGGTAAGCTGCGACCTTGCGCCAAACCCACACACCCATTCACACGCCATGCGCGGTCGGTAGAAAGACACAAAGCATGCATGCATGCAGCAGAGCGAGCTGTCCCCCCGTTCGAAGCCCGATTGATATCTCGTACCACGCTACAACTTGCGATTGCTGCGCGTGTGCGGTCATGCTGGATCTCAGCCGCGCGGCATGCAGCAAAGGAGGATGAGGATCGTGGATCTTGATTGTGATTCACATTGGTGTCTCTTTCGCCTAGCTGAGGACCAGCAGCGGGACGGGTTTATATAACATTGATGAGTGATTTGGAGTTCTCGCGTGGCTGCACACCATTCACGATTCTCTCTAGAACAGCTGCCGCGCGGCGAGGGCACGTAGTGCTGGACGATGAAGCCACGCACCACACTGGCGAACGGTGCTTCACGATCCGGATCGTCAGAACCCATGCCGGTAGATCAGTCGACCGTGAATCACAAATCGATCGGTCAGTCGGTCAGCTTCTTGACTCGCTCTAGACTTTCTCCCTCGAACCGGGGAGACTTGCACAGCCACATTCCAGGTGGCAGTCCTGGTTCATGAGCCGATGAAAGGCTCGAGCTGATTGGCAATTAAGGTCAAGTCTGAACGGGAAGCACGGGCCTCAGCCTGTCATCGTTGCTGGGCAAGTGGCACGCCACACCAGACCAGATCAAAGGGGTTTGCTTATCACGCAATAAGCGATAGGTGCTCGAAGCACCGCCGAGGCTCTCAGTCTTGACCGGAGCATGACGGGTCGGAGTCTGGCTTCAGTGCCAAACAAGAGTCAAAATTTTATTCAAGATTGTTGACTTTCCTGTATGAGCATTCACGTGATTGCAGTGACCCCGCACTATGTACGTGCGATCCGATCTACCCCTACATGAGGTCCGTCTGGACGCGTGATGCTCTTTGGTCACTCCAAGGATCACCGTTCGCAGTTGCGATTCTTTGGCCCTTCGATTTTGGACACGCATCTCTACTCGTGGCTCTTGAGAGGTGTTCCCCCTCGAGCTAGCGCTGTGTCGGTCGTCACTTTGTTCGCATCTCGAACGAAAGACCAACGAGTGCAACGTCTGCCCGGCATGAAGATAGTTGAGAGATAGGGTGATGATACAAGTACATATGAACGGAGTTTGACCAACGAAGAAGTTCGGGGCCATGAGCAGCGATTGCCAAGCTACACTGCACGAACAGCTTCTTGCTGAAGGAGACGAAGCGCAGAGTGAAATGATCGAGTTCGATCAGCGAGTGAAGCACTTGGCGGATTGTTCCGAACGAGACCCCTACCTTTCCCGCCTCACCGATCTGGTCGGTCGGAGCTTGAAGGCCATCGAGCTCCTTGGCACCCTCGGCATTGTTGAGGTAGCTGGGCGTTGCGCCTTCGGTGAGAGCTTCGGCAGCCACATCGTCGCCGCTGCCATGAAAGATAAAGAGACGACGAGGGTCAGCAAGGCACAGACGCCTCAAATCCGCGCAGGGCCATCTGCCACTCACAGTGCATCCAGCTCAGCCTGGAGCTCATCCTCGTTGATATCGTCGGGAACTTCGTATTGCCTGCCCAGACTTTCTTGCACCTCATTGGCCATCTCCATCAGATCCTGCATCTCGTCATTCGTCCTTTCGATCTTGTCGAGATCAATCTTTCCATACGTCTTTCTCATTTCCTTGTTCGCCGCATCCATAGCCGATACGGTGGCCATCGTGTTGCGCAGGTTCTCTGTCGTGAGATCGGCTTGCGCCATGTTGTAAGACTGCTGCACCAGTTGCTCGTACTGCCCTTCGTACAGTCGCTTCTGCTTCAGCACTCGAAGCGCGCGCTGCTGAATAGCGTTCTGTGCGCAGAAACGTAAAGGAGATCAGCGTGCTGTACTGCCTGCCTCATCGTTCCCCTTTCCATGCTCAATAGCTGACCAATGACTCGGGCCCGAAAGACTCTTCCGGGCTACATGTCTCAGTAAAGAGGGCAGACACTCACCCTACCGGCTCCTTGCGCACGTTTCAACTGATCCCTGTACTTGGCTAGCTCCACATCCAAGTTTCGGATCTTGGCTTGCACTCCCTCGGCTCTAGCATCCGTGGATTTGATAGCCTCGTCCAAGCTCGGCTTGGGTGCTGCTTGACGCGAGCCGAAGAGGCGGTTCATCGCGTGATTGGGAGGGGCGAATAGGAGCGTCAGCAGGCAGGGCAGTTCCTCTTTGAAGTGTGAGCTCGCGAGCAGTGTTCGAAAATAGCGAGAGGCGTGAGGGGGTCGGTCAAGCTGACAATGATGACTGAGAGGCAAGCAATTCGCTTCTTCCCAGGCCTAGAGAGAGCCCCTATGAATGTACGAGTGCGGAGCGTGATGGCCTCGCTGATCGAAGACTGCGAATGGGCAAGTTCCAGGGATACATCGGCTTTGGCTCCGCCTTGGGGCTTGAAGTGAAGCGTAGAGTCACGAGTGCGAGTTGTTGTGAGGTGCGAGGTGCGAGTCAGAGTTTAATCTTGACGAGCGTCTGAGCAGCATCAAGGATGCCATCGTGCGCGTGCGCTTGCGCATCGCCAGTCTGAGTCGTGAGTCACGGGTTTGCAGCTTGCAACGTCCCTCACGTGTTGCGCCTCCACCGCACAGCATGCGCAACTCGTGACTGCTGAGGTGCACATACATACGCGCCAGACATCCTACGAGACAGCAGAGCAGCTGACAGCCAGCAAGCCTCTTCATCTCGCATGTTTGCGACCGTGACTCGGACTCTGACTCCCCACTCGTGACCTGACCTGACCTGACCGTTCGACCAAGGCTAGAGTCCGTCCCAACACCCCAGTCAGCTCAAGAACAACACCTGTGCCACGCTCTCAACGTTTTCCGTAAGCGTTTGCCCTTACTGATCATGACGCCTTCGGCAGACGTCGCAGCGCCGCCACTAGGTAGCTCGTCCAGCAAGCTCGACCTGCTCACATCTAAATTGCGAGCCAAGCGCTTTGACAATGATGGCGCAGCCTCAGCATTCAGAACAAACAACCTACAAGGCACATCCGTTCCTATGCCATCTGCGGTTCAGCCATCTGCCGACGGGGAAGGTTCTGCACTAAGCTCTCACACCACCGCTACAAAGTCTCCTGCCTCCTCGCTACCGGTCACGGAGGTGAATAGCGCTCCAGCAGAGTCGACCGAGTTCAGCCCATTCGATCCGAAGATATTGAGGCTGGATCAAGCTGAAGCACAGCAGGCGCCCATCGTCGTTCCCAAAAAGCGCATCATCAATCCAAGGCAGCTCGATCGCTGGCGAGATTCTGGCAGTATCAAGCAGCTCGGGGCTTGGATCGCTGTATGCAACGAGGCTGTGGTCGGCAAGAAGCTGAGGCAAGAGGTGCATCTAAGTCCAGTGAGTGCTTCATTCGACCTCGCAGTATGGCGCGCATTCAGCTCATTGACTTGGATCTCTCTCTCTCGCTAGGCCACGCAAGCCATCCTCGGCATCCTTGATAGCATCCAAGCGCTGGTCGTCGAGACACCAGCGGACAAATCCTCCTCGAGCAGATTTGGCAATGCAGCGTTCAGAGACTTGTACGCCAAAATCACGGACAGGAGCGCATCCTTGCACGAGAGGATCCCTGGCTTGAAGCAGGAAGCTATCAAGGAGATCAAGGTGTACTTCGACGAGTCTTGGGGAAACGCTAGAAGAATAGACTACGGCTCCGGAATGGAGCTCAACTTTGCATGTTGGCTGTGAGTGGGGCTGCAAAGGGATTGCTCTTGCGCGTTGCTGATGCATGGTACCTCGACGACCTCAATAGGTACTGCTTGACCAAGCTCAGCGTATTTGATCTCGAGAAGGACGCGCCAGCTATCGTGCTCAAAGTCTTTTGGAGATACATCGGCGTGATGCGATCTATCCAGAGCACGTATTGGCTGGAGCCTGCCGGCAGTCACGGAGTTTGGGGTCTGGATGACTACCACTTTTTGCCCTTCTTGTGGGGAAGTGCTCAATTGAGAGGTGTGTGCAGCGCTGATTCGTCTAAACTCATCAGAGTCAAATGCTGACAGCCCTGAACTCTCTGCAGATCACAAGCACTTGCGACCAAAAGCTATACACGATGCCGAAATTGTCGAAGAATTCTCGGCAGATTACATGTATCTTGCTTGCATTCGCTTCATCAACGGCGTGCGTGTCGAGCGCGCTCGTCAAGCTGAGCCACCCGCATCACTGTGCTGACCCCAACTTCAACACCGTTCACAGATCAAGACTGCGTCGCTCAGGTGGCATTCGCCCATGCTTGATGACATCTCGGGTGTCAGGACATGGTACAAAGTCAACAGCGGGATGCAAAAGATGTACCTGGCCGAAGTACTGCTCAAGCTTCCCATCGCGCAGCACATCTTCTTTGGCTCTCTATTACCGTTTCCTGCTCCTCGAACAGCGGCAGATGAAGCTGACGACGAGGCAGCGTTGAGAAGTGCTGAGGGAGGAGGAGCGCAGGAAGATGAGCACGGGCACATTCATGTCAAGGTATCCGATGGAGCTGCACCTCATGGACATGCAGCCATAGGCAATGGAGAAGGACAAGCTGCGGGCTGGGGAGATTGCTGCGGGATCCCTATTCCCAGCGCTTTTGCAGCTGCTGAGCAGGAGAAGATGAGATCGGCTGGCAACCGCGAGATTGGAGTCAATCCTACCAGCAACACGGGATTTGCCAGCAACGTTCGTCGGGTACCCTTCGATTAGAATGGCTCAAGCCCGCGCCCTCTTCCTGCGTCGCTCAATCTCACGTGTAATGTAGTCCTCTCCCCGCAATGATCTGTTCTGGTTATTGATCGATCGCGCGTGATGCAGTCGCTGCAAATTAGGCAAGGACAATCTTGGCTCTCGGAAAGACTCAAGCTGGACGGAGTGGCAGAGTTGATTGATTTGGCATCATTCACTTTGCACAGTGGTAAAACGTTTGTTCCACCACACCAGAGGCTTTGCATCGTCGGCCTCTTGTCCCGCGGTGCTGTCTGACTCGTGAACATCCCAGACTCTAGCTATGAGCAACCAGCTTTCTTGCGACTCTTTACCTGCAGTGTCAGACTTGCCAGTCTCTTGCGCTTCGACGGACTCTGCGAGCGTCTCGTCCTGCTCGCTCGGAACGACCAACGCCGTGTCTAGTCTGAGTTTGTGCGGCGAGTATGGAGCACTCTGGGATTTGGAGCGCGGGTTCGGGGATTCGGTCGAGCTATGCGATGTGAGGGAAGCGAGACGGATGCGCGCTTCTAGACTGCAGGAAAATGCACCTAGCCCGTGGCCTAGGTAGGGTATGGGTGTGTTCGAGCGACCAGATGATGCGAAGGCGGAGGAAGGTAGAAGTTTGGCGCTCGATAAAGGATGATTGGCCGCATTTGGCCTTGTCGGGGCTGCAGGGCTCTTGTGTGACCAATCAGAGGCGAGTGAGTAGGCCTCGAGACCAGGGGCGGCGTAGGCGCCTGCAAGATTGGAGCACGATGCGTGCTGTGCAACGTCGTTCTCAGCATCAGAATCTGCATGAGCCAGGAGGGTGAGGGTAAATGTGGGGCCATTGCTCATCTGCTGCGCTCCAAGAAGAGCATTGGCAGCTCTCGATGGTGTTCTGAGCGAAAAGCCGACCAGAGGTGGCGATAATGACAGCGATGTAAGACTACTGATCGTTGCGCCGTGTATCTCCACCGTGGTGCGATTCGCGCGCGAGTGAGACGATGTCGAGTTGACCTCGTCTGTCGAAGAAGGCAGAGCGGTCAAGAGCAATGCTACTGGTTGAGCTGATGAGCTCATCAATTGCCGTATTTTGCCCGCGATTGTGTGCTGATCAGCTTGGTGATCCGCCGTCGTACCCCTGTGAGCTCGAGCCAGAAATGAGCTGGTGCTGAGCCTTCTCCGCGATGGGACGACTGCTGTCGAATGCGAGATTTGCTCTTGGTGCAAATGGGTGACGAAGACTGTTGGATCGCCTTGCCGCAAGATTGAGTAGGACCGTTGCAGTCGACTAGGCTGTGTGCTCGGCGTGAGCGCCGCATTTGACGCGGCAAAGCATCGTCCGCACACTTCTGACCGATTGAAGAATGCTCGACGACCCTCGAGCCAGAAATTCCTACCTGACATTGCGAGAGATCGGCATTCGTAGTATCGATGCAATGCTCGCAATACAAGAAAGCTGGGCGTAGCGTTCCTTCGAGTGTCACCCCCCGACGTTGAGCAGTGTCGAAGTGCAGACCAGACGAGCTGCGCTCCTGTACGATCCCGCCTCTCTTCCTTTAGACCGTCTTCTTTATTCTCCGGTGACCGAGTGGCCTAATCCTTCGTGATCTCGATCACTCACAACCAGTCACAAGTCACCGAGTATGGTCGTATAGCCTGTCAGACCATCGAATTGACCCTCCTTCTCGCGCAAAGTAGTCAGAAGTGTGAGCGTCGCGCGCCGTGGCCTTCTGCACGCATGTATGCAGCTGATCGCGCATCGACAGTCGAGTTCTAGAACAATTCGCATAGGATGGGCTGCGCTCACGCTTGCATCAAGACGAGCAAGACTAGCACCTCTTTGCGTGGGAACAGCAGCTGAGCAGCTCAGTCAGAGTCAGAGTCGTGAGTAGTTATGTGGGAAGATATAGGATGCCGGCGCCACTCACGAAGGCCCAGCATCCAAGGCGGGCTTGCGTCTACGCCGGGCGGTACTTGCCGACTGACTACCCGTGCAGAATTCTGGTGTCACTGATTGGCGAAAGCTGAATGGGGGGTGGGAAATCAATGCCGAATGTCTGGCGTGAGGGAGGGATTCGTGATTTGATTGACTGTTGCTGCATGGACGGTGAGCGAGTGCTGACTGGCCATGCAGAGTAGGTTGGGCTGTGCGAATGAAACAACGCTAAGGGTCTCTCTCTCTCTCTCTCTTCCTCTCTCTCTCTGTCTCTCACTGCAGTGAGACCCACTGCAGCAAAGTGCGCGATTGTGAGCTCCGCTCGGCACCGTTTAAACAAAATCCCGACCTTCGTCACATATATGCCCCTCCCCCACCTCATCCGCCATTCATACCGCTTACTCACCAGTCACGAGCTCGACAGGACTTACCTCTTGACCACTTCATCACTCACGACCATTTCCCGCTTGCTATTTTGCTTCGCCGGTCCACAGCGTTGTACGCAGCCTGCAAATAGACACGCTCTCTTGCTAACCACTCACAACTGCTTGCAGTCAGGGCCGGCTTTACACTTTGCAGCAAGCAGTCGTGCACCCTGGCAAGCCAAGCCAAGCCATCCACCTTCCTCACCTCTCACTTCTTCTTTCTCGTGACTCGCTAGATCTAGTCACCGCGCACACATCACAAGCTGTACCCAGCATTTCGTCGACGTGGACGACGAGTTCCTGGCTTTTCGACTCTCACATCTTCATCAGTCAGGATGTCGAGCAGTGCCAAGCAGGCTGGCACTCCACCGCAGCCCACACCGGGTCATATGCCAGGTACACGGGGTGAGCAGAATCGCTTCGGGCATGCTCACACACTTTTCTTCACTCACACCTTCTTCTACGCGTCCCTTGATACAGGAAACTTGACTCCCTCACAAACCAGGGCGCTCTATAGGTTGTGGTCTCGATTCTTTAGACTTTGCCAAGAGCCAGCAGCGCCCGGCTCACTTGGATCGACGAGCAATTCGGTCAGCGCAAGCAGCTCAGCGGGAGGCAAAAATGCTGGCGCGAACACACCCTATTCCACGAGTGGTTCGACGAGTCAAAACGAAGCTTCGTCCTCTTCTCGATCTGATCTCAGGGGCAAGACTGCCGCGCACTCGGATTCCTCTCAGCTTGGTGGTCGAGCGACATCTAGCCATACACGACTTGACTCTGGCGTCTCTACCTTGTCTGGAGGTGGAGTGGGTGGATCCAAGCTGGGCAGAAGGGTGTCTGCTGGTGCTCCTCCCAGCTCGCTGAATGGCGCCTCCGATTCGACCTCAACCAATGGTCCTCATCTTGGCTCCAGAATTCCAAGAGACGATGGAGTAAAAGACGAGCTCAAGACGCTTGAAGAGGCAAAGGAGATGAGGACATTCTTGGATAGGTACGGAGGCGAAAGGCTGAGAACGGTGTTTTGGGAAATGGTCAAAGGCGAGCATCCGGATGCCCTCATGCTGCGCTTCTTGAGAGCGAGGAAATGGGACGTGGATCGTGCTATTGCCGTCATTGGAGCTACTGCAGCCTTTCGAATCGAGTGAGTGGATGCGCAAAGCAGCCAAGCTAAATCTTGCAATCAGAAGACGAAGCCTGACACGATTCGAGTGGCGTCTGTGCGATGTGATAGAAACGACGTCGAAGCTCTAGTTCGAGGTGGTGAGCTGGAACTTTGCAAGACCAAAGGTGGACGCAATATCTTCCAAAATGGAATTTCATACGTATACGGCGCATCGTACACTGGCGAACCCATCTACTTCATCGAAGTCGGCTCCCACTTTTCACATGCGCAGACCCAATCGGAATTGAAGCGCGCCATCATTCTGCTGCAAGAATGGTTGAGCATGCTGATGCCTCCTCCAGTCGAACAAAAAGTAGTAGTCTTTAATTTGCGCAACTTTGGACTGAGGAATATGGATTGGTGGACGGTGTTCTTCATGGTCAAGACTATGGAGAGCTACTATGTGGAGAGCTTGGCTAGAGTATACGTTCATTGCCCACCCTGGATCTTCAGACCCATCTGGGCAATCCTGCGCCCACTGCTCGACCCTGTCGTGCGCGACAAGGTCCGTCTTACGAGCACGGTAGAGGAGCTTTCAGATCACATTCCATGGGATCATTTGCCGAAGGATTCGATGGGCGGCGGGGCAGATTGGGGTTTCAGCTACCCGGTGAGCAAGCAGAATGAGTCAGCATCAGGACCGATGCGGGGTTCATAGACTGATAAAAAATGGTCGCCTCTCCCCTGCTTCATCGCGTTGCTCGCAGCTGCCCGATTCGCAAGAGAATGATTTGCAACTCGATACTGAAACGCGCGATCGGTTGCGAGCAGCTTATTCGGAAATCGCCATGGATTTTGAGCGGTCCACTGCGCGCATCATTCGACGGTACCAAGCAAAAGCCGCATCTCGCTCCGTTGCTGATGGGTTTTCATCAGCCGACGTGTCGGACGAGGATTACGTTGACGATGACGATGAAGAAGAAGACGGCAGTGCTAGCTTTGCTGAGGATCTCAAAGCTCAGCGTGATGTTTTGGCGACTCGCTTGCGGGTTGCGTGGCTAAGACTAGCACCCTACGTCGTCGGAAGGAGCAAGTATCACAGGTGGGGCGTGGTTAATGATGACGGGATCGTCCGGTGGAATTATCACACGTTAGAAGGCAAGCACGAGGTGCAGACGTGCGGAGAGGGAACCACTCTGGGAGCGTTGGAAGCTGGACTGGAGCAAATCGAGGCTGCTCAAAAGCATGCCGATACGACCGCTGTGGTGGAAGAGCCATCCCAATCCAACGGGCTCGTGGTGGAGAATGGTAGACACAGACGTCAGAGGACTGGAGGTACGGGCACTCGAGCTTTGGACGAAGCGCTCGGTCTGGACACGGGAGATGTGGACCTTCAAGATGCTCCGACTGCGCCCGCCACAACTTCCGACAAGACGGATCAGACCTCTTCCACTGCAAAACCTGCCGAGACAGCCTCTGAAGGAAGTCCCGTCTCACCGCTCAAGACCATTTCGACCGATCAGGAGCAGCAGCAGCAGACTCTTGAGACATCCTCCGTCGATGCCGTGGTGCCTGTCCATCCCCTAGAGGCGTCGAGTGACAGTCAGGCATGAGGCCTGAAGTGCGCTGCCGCGCAATCATTCCACCCAGACCTTTTCTCCTGCACTGCTTTCGCCTCCCCCCTTAACCCACCCCACCAGCACTCTTCCGCCCGCATCGTCTCATTTTCCCGCTCGCCTTTACGCTCTGGATTGTCGTTCCTTTGCCATCTCTTGCTTCCCATGTCACCTTTAGCCTGCCTCTCGCAAGACAATCAATTCGATTCGAGTCTTGGTTCGTCAGAGCGCGTGCATACGCGTATCGATGACGCTCGCTTGTGGGCCTTGCTATCACTGCACGGCCTCTCTCTGGCAAAGATTCACAGACTCGTCTTGACACGGAGCACCTCAAGATGGTATGTTACAAAAGAAACGCGCGAAGCTTCTAGTAGAGTCTTCCAATCTTCATCTTCATCGCCGTCGTGTTGGGTCTGCGATTCGAAGAGATGCATTTCATCAGCGATACGAAAAAGAAAATGCTAGGGCGCTGCAAGCGAGACGAGACGGATTCACCATTCGACTCACGTTGTAAACGTGCCGGCACCGGTGCGAGTGCCAACAGCTTGTGCTTTGATGCCAAGCGTCGTATTCCAGGCAACGTCGAAGCCAAAAGAGGGCTGCTTAGCCTCGGCACCGAGCAGATGAGCGCAGCTCGTAAGGATGATCGTGAGCCTCTGCAGCTCTTGAGCATCGAGGAGAGACAAAGGGTTCGGAGCGGCTGCCTTGTCCTTGTCGATGTTCGCGATGGGCCAAGCAGAGGGTGTGCTGGGCCACGCGTGAAAGTACGCTTCGAGCTCTTCAAAAGTCCTAGGCGATGCGCCAGAGCTTGATCTAGGATGGGAAGGTGATGACGGCGCCCTATTCTTCGTCGGTGATCGGGTGATTCTATCTTCTCCTTCAAAATTGCGCCTCCGCTCATCTCGAGATGCTTCTGCTGCCAAAGATCGTTTCAAGTCTCTGTAGAAGTTAAGGGTCTCCCGAACGTGATGCAAGACGGCGTTCTTCTGCGGATCTGGTAGACGTCCCTTTGTCAAAGCCTCTAACCATGGCGCGGTCAAGTCTGCGTCGACTTCCACGGCTGCATTTTCCTCGAGGTCCTGGCGGTACTTGGTCTGTATAGCACGGCTCGCCTGTCGACAGCAACATCGAATTGGTCAGTCTCCTGCGCACAGAGACTTGGGAACTTCGGGCTCACTTTCTCGCCGGCTGCCGCAAGAGTCGAAAGAATGTACGGAGGAAGGTGCGAAGCGCGCTGGGCTTCTCTTCGACCATCATCGGCCGAGGTGTGTCTGCTGCAAGACTCCATCGCGGCGGCTGTCAGCCGTGCCGCATGAGCTTGATCATCCGCGCTTCGACCCACCTGAACCAATCCGGCAATTTGCGATCAAATTCGCGCTTGTCTCGACTCAACACCTCTGGCTTGATCGTAAGACCCGTCTTGCCTCCATCCATGCTGTTGTTAACTATCGTCAGTGCGAGCAGTCCCGAATGTGAGTCGGAGTGGTGGACGCGTGAGAAAGACGTTTTATTCTCTCACACTTGAAAGCAAATTCTTTGGCTTTGTCGCAGTCAGTGCCTTGCTCGTACTGAACGACTTGATGCAAATGACCATAGACGCCACGAAAGTCCGGTCTCAGCAGCGGGTCTAAGATGACGTTGCACAATTTGGCGTCCCTCGCGTCCGTGTCCCCTGCTCCTCTGAGCGTCGACTCGATGAAGTGCGAGACCTTGCGGCTGTCCTTCCTGAAGAATTGCTGTTGCCAAGAGGGATCCGCGCACGAAAAGTGCACAGGTGCATTCTTAAAGTCGTCGGTCAAGGGACCCCAAAACACCCTGACGAGATCGCCATCGTAATCTCCCCCGCTCAGCATGTCGGCAAGAGGCCGCTGGCCCTTCGTACTGAAAATGACCACGTCCGGATACGCCGCCAAGGCTGGATGACTGACGGCTCTGACTTTCTGAATGTCCGTCGGAAGAAGACATGGGTGACGCGTAACGAGAACATCCATGTTATCGAGCACTCCTACGCGCATGCCGGTGACGGGGTCGGTTGGAGCTTGATCACCAAATCCTAGGTGTATGGTCCCCTCCTCTAGAACGCCCGCAGGGTCGGGAATTACGATTGCTTCTGCGCTTTGCGCGACAGGGACCTGTCAAACAGTACTCGTCATCTGAGCAAGAGGTGCGTAAAGATGCGCAACAAGCTGCTCTCACCGCAAAGTCACGAATGACGGTCTGCAAAGCGACGTGCAAGACTTCGCGCAGGGCCCTGGCAAGCATAGCACAATTTGCAGGCTCAAATCCAGAGATGAGCGCATCATAAGCTCTCTGATGAACGCCCAAGCTTCGTGCTCGATAGCCTAACCCCGCTGCGCTGTCGTCGCTACTTGCAGAAGGTGCCATCGTGGTGGAGGAAGGCGTGCCATCGTCATCGTCGCTCAAGTCTTCGTCATCTGAGTCTGCACTGAATCGGCTGAGGCCTTTGGCCCTGGCATCGCACGGTGCTGCATGGCGTGCCCGCGCAGCAGTCACACCTCCTAGTATGTCGACCTCTTTAGCTAGACGCTCACGCATCGAATCTGAAGAGCCGTTCTCGCTCTGTAAGAGGCAGAGACGACCGGCGATCGCTTCAAGTTGGGCGGTCTGCAAGTCGATGATGGTCAAGGGACTGACGCCATTATGTTCCAGCACCAGAATAATCTGTGGGAAGCGGAGAGGCAGACTTGAGCCAAAGAGGGGAGCGGTTGGCAGTCCAATCCACTTGCGCCGTCTCACCTGCTTGGAAAGCTTGCTCGGAAGACTCAATCGAGCAGGCGTGACGATATCAAAGGTGTTGTGGCTTGGGTCTCGAACGGATGCCTCTCCCAACTTCAGCTTCACCTGACTGTCTCGGCAAGTGATGGAGAGAGCGCTCGCCGTGGTGCTGGCGACATCGGCATACCACACGCCTTTGGCACCAGCAAATCGGCCTTGAAAAGCTGCAGGGATTGTAGGCAGACCAAGTTCCTGGGCGAGAGCGCACAGAGCACTTCTCGTGATCGAGCCGGCGCCATCCGTCATGACGCTTCCGACATTTCCAGCTTCTGTATTCTCGAGATCCTGTTCGTAGTGGATCTGAGGAATGATGACGCCAGCGACCGTCTTTGAGGTGATGAGCGCTGCGCGACTCAGATACTTGACGAGCAGAGACTCCTCATTGTGCCGCCACTCTCCCATCCAGCTGTACAGGTCCCATATGCACTGTGGATGGTTGGATGGGAGGCCGGCACCGTCTATGACAAAGAAAAGCACAGCTCCGTCGCGCACTGTGAAAGCCCGATATGTGCGACCACATAGGATCATGGGCAGGCAGAGGAAATCTCGCAACGCTCTGGCCTGCTTTGGGTCCCACACACTTTTGGCCGTCTTCTCATCCAACCGCAGGCGGAGAACGCTAGTGCTGCCGAACCTTCTGGTAACCTGGTGGAGAAGGAGTGTCAGATCAAAGACTCTGTTTAGAGTCAATAACGACTCACCCTTGTGCTCGGGGAAAGCTTTGGCGGCGCCAGCCTGACGGAGAAGCGCTCTGAGGCCTCGGTGGCCACTACGCCTCTAAGACATATGCGACCCTGCTGTCCCGAAGAACTCTCCTCGTCATACTGCTTAAAAGCGGAGAGGACGCTCTTCGGGAAGGGGCACCCATCCAGGGCGCCTTTCCACAAGAGAGCGCGATTGTTCGGCTGCAGCAGCCGCTCAACCGCATCCATGGCTGTCGGCTGCCGCAATTGCTTGAGAAGATCAGACCTCGAAAGCTTGTCCCAGTCAAGCCGCTTCCTCGACACCAGTCCGGCTAGGTAAAATTGCATGAGCCACGGGACACCCTGAGGTGAATGGGCATTCGCGTCTAGGCGTCGCTGAAGCAGTCCAGGATCAGCGATGCGATAAGCGGTAGAGCGACTCGAATGTGGGCCGATCGATGGTGATTGAGTCGGCGAAGAGGTGGTCGCTGTGCCCATCGCATTCACCGGATTTGTTTGGGGCTGCAAATCTCTCTTGACCTTCTTTGTGGGTGAAGGGCGATCTTCTGGAATGGGATCATCATCCACAGCATCGTAGAATTCAGGAGAGGGCCTACGTCGTTGCCAAGTTGATCTCGGTTCATGGTGGTCTAGTCTGCCAAAAATTGGGAGAGGGGGCAGCGGCAGAGGCACAGCTTGCGACATCTGGTCGGCATTGCAATTGTCGTTTCCCATACTCCCTCCCGCAACGCCGCTATCCTGAGTGCCAGCACCGCAATGCTCGACGGTCGAAGACGACGACAGGGACAAGTTTCCAAGATCTGCGGACGGTTGGGCAAAAGGCTAGCGTCTCAGTGGGAGCACTCGGACACGAGTCTCGCTCGTCTTACCCTGGCTAGTATTGGCAGCTAATTCTTGCAGCGCCTCATGAGCTCGTGCTTGCACGACCTCGCAGAACCGATGTAAGCGAGATGAGAGTTCTGGCTGTTTCTGTTGGGCGTTCTGGCTTGTGTGACTCCTCGAGCTGGTTGGCAGTAAAGGTACTCTAGCTCCTTCGAATCGCACCGGGTGAGAGCTCGCTCGAACACCGCTGGTATTGGCAAAAGCAGGCTTTGTGGTCGAGCACGGAGCGGTGGCAGGCACTGGCAGTCCTGCATCGATGTATGCGTCATGCAGCGCAGGCAGATTCTCACTGAATAAGAGCTGCGCACGGCGAGCCCAGTAAACACTGACCAGCGATTAGCTGCGAGATGTGCGGTGCACCAGATCCACCATCGACTCACCATGACTTCACTCTCGTGTTGGCCAAGTCTGAGCAGATCACCCGAATCTTCGTCGCAAACGGAACGCAGGTGCTCTAACAGAGCCTCAGCGGAGCGCCATTGATCGGAAGCGGTGTGTGGCATTGTTGAGGAGCTTGTCAGATGATGGCAGAGAAAGGGAGGAAAGCAAGAATGACTCGTTTGCCGCGTCAACAGGCAGAGTCCACCTCTGGTGCAATTCGGGTGACGGAATGAGAGCCAGTGGCCTATGAGGCTATGTGGAGGACCATGATGGTCAGTAATGAATGAGTCGTGAGGCGATCATGCCGTTAGAGTCTTGCGCCTTTGCAGCAAACGCCCCGTTCATGGTCAGCAGCTGTCATCGTGAGTTTGGTAGACAGACAGGAGCTGCGAATGTTGGGCGCTGCCAAGCAGGTGCTCTTAAACCATGGCAAAGTGGTACGTGATGTTGATCAAATTGACTGTCAGTTTGAGTCTGGGATAGATGTTTGAGGATCCGCGGCGATGGCGGTACATATACAAAGGCATATATGCAATGACAATCACATTTGTGGACCACAATTAAGCAAGAGTCTTGAGTGCGATCCTGCTGCAAAACGCGTGACGGCGTGCGCTTCTGCTGCTCCGTCTTCACACGGAGCTCGCGCCCGTTTTAGCGCCAAGACAGGAGCAGCAGCAGCAGAGGCCGGCCCAGCTGGGGGCGTCGACGTATCATTCAAAATCATTGCAGACGGGGGTCAAAGTCAAAAGTCTCCCTAGCTGCACCAGAAAGCCTGTAGGCCTGAACCAAAACGTAAGACATCGACCAGTCAAGAGTGTCATATATGCAAGTCAAAGTGATGATGACCACTTTGGAGCAGAAACACAAATTGCGCTACATACATTTTAGATGAAAGCGTTAGATGCTGTGCACGCTGGAGAGACCGAGAGAGGTCGTGCATGAAACATGGCAAGCTGTGTCTGAATTAAGCAACTTGACGAGAGAAGACTTCTCACACACAACAATCGTGAACGACTTCGCAGATTCGCACGCGGTGTATATCGATTCATAGAATCGACCGGCGTAGGCAATCGCCATGCATCAGCAATCACGAATCGCGTGAATAGCATGCCCTTAAGAACAAGTCAGGATCGAGGATCATTTTGATTCTAATTGTCACTCGTGACTCAGACTCCTGACTCATACTTGTGATCGTATTTTGTTGGATGGCTGCATGCATGATGGCGGCGCCAAAGGTTGCCAACTTTTGCTTGAAGTCTGCTAATTGGCCTATATAGCTCGGCACGAGGTGTAGAATTCACGTGATCTTAACGAATCGTGGTGATTCTGATTGTGACAGCAACGCCGCACGCGCCCCCAGCTCCGAGCACGGCTAGATGTGGGCGCAAAGCGTACGTTGCGCTGCATGGCTGAAGATGATCCATCTATACATACGCGAGCCTCGATCGAAAGCTGCCGCATCAGCAGCTCTTCACGTTCGACTTTGAGACTGCATCACGCTTGACAGCATCAGCGACTTAATTTGGACTCAGACTGATCAGTACGATCTTTGGATCGCCGACCTCTGGCCTGAATAGCTGATGCATTCGAGCTCATCCACAAGCTTGGCCTACACGTCCTGTAGCTAGGCGTATCTCACGCCCCCAGTCCGTTGTCCACTCGATCTTCTGTGCGGGGCGCAGGTGTGCTCTTCATTCCCATCGTCCACCTTGCCGACTCGATCTCTCAGGCAGTCAACCCACGTCAACCGAAAGACAGAAGCCACAATCGCAAGCTTGACTGGTCACCTCTCGATCCCTTCGGTACGATGGTGTTGACGCAGGATCTGCTGCTGGATCCGTCCATCAGGACGTGGGTTCTGCTGCCCATCTTGGCAGTGATGGTGGAGGTGGGCTTGCTGCGTCACTACATTACTCAGCTGATTGGGAGCAAGCCCAAAGGTACCAAGCCAGAGCTGCTACGAGAACAGTGAGTCGGCGCGTCCCGATCGTCCGAAGTGACATGGCCTTGCTCGGAGGAAATGGCGCACCGTCTGACCCTGAATTGCTCCACTTGCTCTCCAAGACGCATTCTGACGCGAGCTCAAACCACTCGAGCCAACGCCTGGTACCTCTCACCCTCATCGCTCGCAACGAGAAAAGACTGGCTAGCTGAGGTGCTCAGCAACGGCAGCTACGTCAATCCCAAAGAAGAGCCAAAGAAGTCCAAGAATCCAAACGAACCGGAAATGCCAGCGAATCCTTTGAGCAATCCAGATCAGATGGAAGCCATGATGGATCAGCTCAAGAAGAGCATGGTCATGATGGTGCCGCAGACGGTCATCATGGGTTGGATCAACTGGTTCTTCAGCGGATTCGTATTGCGTGAGTCGGATGTCTGGTTTGGACGACTGCGCCCCATCGATGCCGGAGCGTCGCCGTCAATGACGTACAAAGGATCGCATACATGTTTGGCGTGCGCTGTGCTTATCATTCTGCTTCGTGCGAGACCAGTACGCCTGCCATTCCCTCTGACGCTACGCTTCAAGCTGATGCTGCAGCGAGGTATCGACACGCAAGACATGGACGTCTCATGGGTCAGCTCCATCTCGTGGTACTTTTTGTGCCTATTTGGTCTCAATGCGGTGTTCAGACTGATTCTTGGCGAGGGCAATGGTGAGTGATGCAATCCCCTTCAGCCCAAGATGTTCGGGCCATGTACTGCAGCAAGGCGAGGAAAGTGGCTCTGTCCTGACATCTTCGAACCTTGCATGGCCTGTTTGCAGCTGCGGACGGCACGAGGGACTTGGCTGGCATGTCGTCCCTGGGAGTGGGTGCGGGTCCGGCGGCAGGTGCTCCACCCAACCCTTTCGCGGCAGCGACGGGAGGAGCTTCTGCTGGACCCGACTACGCGAAGCTTCATGCACAAGAAAAGGAGAATGTGGAACTGATCTCGACGCTTGGGAACAGGTGGCACGGGTCAGGGGTCGAGGAGAGGGTGTTGGCGATGTATGCCTTGTAGAGCAGAAGCTGCAGCGCTGCACAGTCTCTGTTTACGCATCGTAGACCGCAAGACTCAAATGTAGTGTGCATGGCGGAATGAGGATGCGCATTCCTTTGCAGGCAGCAGTATCGTGGACGTTTGATGCGCATTAGCATTCAGAGGTGACTCGTGACTGTTGCGTCACCCAGGCTGTCACTCTGAATGGCGCACGCGCCTTGGGCAGGATGTGTGAGGTCACATTTGCACATCCTATGATTCCATGAACCCCGGCGAGGAGGGGGCTTTTCGAGGTGCCTCGATGGTATTCATCAAGCTGGCAAGCCGAGTGCCGGCGAGAGGTGGAGAAGGGTGCGTTGATGGTCCGCTGTGCGCTGTGCGTGCGCCCTGTGCGGATATCCGCGGATGTGTGCGCAGCTGTGCGGACACGCGAGCTGTGAGCATATGCGCGATGATGCGAGTAGTGGGTCAAAGCAGTGCAGCGAAGCACCGTGCGCCGTACAAGCAGAGTGACCTCGTCACGAGTCTCTCGTCTTCCCCACACCATCCCATCATCCACCTCACGGCCCTTCACTCAATTCCCCGACGACGTAGGAAGCGCTCGGGGCAGCTCTCTACGTAGCGCTTGCGTGCTGCTAATTGCGTTCGACGTGCTCCGCGAAGCGTTCCCACATAGCCTGAGCGAGCGATGAAGGGCGCGGGTAGGGGTGCGGGTGCGACGAATACTTGACAATCTCTGCACCATCTCGACCTGCAAGTCACAACGAGCAGCAATCACACGATTTCCCATCTGCAATACAGCACATTTCGGTTCTCCAAAGGAGACGGGTCTAATTCAAAAAGAAGGTCCGAAATGCTTCCCATTCTACTCGTGCTAGCCTTGCGCACAGGCCTCTTTCTATCCTGCCGCGCATTGCTCCTGCCCATCCTGTTCGGAGAAGCTCAGCACGCGTCCCTAGATCCATCACCGTCCTCCACCTCGAGCGCGCCACCCCACAAACGAAGTCGCACGAATGAGGAATCGTACGCAATGGGTTTGCGGACCGGCAGCGGCGGCGGCGGCGGGCTGCCAAGTCCTGTTAGCAGTCCCAGCGCCCGTAGAGGAGGTCCCGGCGGGGCTGCAAGCGGTGCATTCTCAGCTATTACCGGGCCTTCGACCAGCGTGAACAACTCATTTGGCTCCATTTCCGACGCTACCCCTTCGAGTTCGGACCTTGCCAATCGTCTTGTGCAAATCTTCAAAAGGTCCTTGTTGCCTGGAACGGATATTCATGGTCTCACTTCGCTCCTCTTTGCCCTGTCATTTGAAGAGGCTACGATGCTCTTTGCCCTTGTGCTGCTCGAAGCTCTGGATTGGCTACCTCGATCCACCCTCGTAGGCAACTGGAAGTGGAGCCTCATAGGCGTCCTTGCCCTCTCCATCGTCATTGTTCGTGAGTGGTCGCCAGCGATGCCCGCAGACACAAGCGACTAGCAGGCTGACCGACCAAGAATGCGCGCAGCGCTGGGCATATGCCTCTTGCTTACATTCAGAGTGGAAGGTGGGTGCTCGATGTCTACCCAATGAGCGCGCATGTACTCACTACTTTGCCATCTTCCTCTTGCGCCTGCTCAAGTAGGCTCCTCATCACAGACTCGCAGAGGTCTGTTCGCCTTTCTTCCATTCTTGGGATGGATTTTGCTGTTTCTTCGCGTACCACTACCCTCTGCTCTTTCTGGATCATCCTCAGCTGGTCTGCTTGATGCTGCACTAGCAAGGACCGCGGTGCTAGGTGTCAGTCTGATCGCTCTGCTATCTGGCTCCGCGGCTGCTTCGAGCGCCATGGACAGCTGGGACGCTTGGTTCTCCAAGCGCAGACCGTGAGCACAGCCCGCTGCGAAGCCTTAGTGCGCTCTCTTGGAAGTGAATGACAGCTCACTCGACTCATATCGCCCGAAATTTCAGGCGACCACCCACAGCGCAGGATGTCAAGACAGCGCAGGACTCTTTTGATCGTGCTAGATCTGACTTGCAGACCAGAAAAGATACGCTGGAGAGTCTGAACAACAGGTCTTCTTCGGAGGAACGGAGCTCAGGCTTCTTTGGCCGGTTGTGGGGCGGTAGCGGAAGAGATCGAGGTCAGTCTCTTCCCGGATGTCGGATTGTCCTTGCGCAACGGGACTCACTGGACGCATCGTCAAGAGCTGATCAAAGTTTTCCCTTGATGGGCTCTGTCGTACACGTGCAGAGGCTTCATCGTTGCGAGCTGAAATATCGGGACTGGAAATGCTGGCCAGAGCGATGAGGGATGATTTGGATAGGATCACGAGGTTGAAGAGGGAGGCAGAGTGGTCCAAGACTTTGTGGGGAAGAGTGCTGCTTGGAGTGGGCCACATCTTTAGTGTGTACTGCGTCTGGCGAGTGGGCTTGGTGAGTGCTGCAGATCACCCTTGCATGTTTGATCTTTATAGCGCCTGTTTTGGGTCGGTACTTGCTGTGCTCAAGCGCAAGCCGCCCACACTCGTTTGTGTTCAGGCGCTCCTGTCGCTCTTATTACTGGGCTACAGAGACTCTGCACCACCCGACTTCGTTTCGGTAGGTCTGGCCCACCTGGTTCGCTTCTTGGGACCTGGAGCTTCAGAGTCGATAGACTTGGCAATGTGGACCAGACAGATCAGCCTGTTGTTCGTTGGAGCGCTCATCATCGTCAGGATGCGAAGCGTCTTGTCTGGACTTGGTGCTGTGAGTCCGGACTGGGGTTGGGGGCGGAACTTTGTGCTCTCTGAGGCTCTTGTCGTTGACGAGGCTCTCCTCTATCTCTCTTGACCTGATACGCAGTTTTTCAGAGCTGCAAGCACAGGCGTCAGCACTGGCTTCCTCATCCTCTTCTTGGCAGAAGTGATGGTGAGCTTTGCACAGGCCATGATGCCCTTTCCGACAAAAAGAGGCGCTAACGATCGATGTCATTCTTGCCATCGCGCGGCCAGACGATCTACCTCTTGGCCACCTTGATCCAGCTGCGCACTGCTTTGCCTCCTTCGTTCTCGGGAGCCACACCTGATGCGTCGGACCAACCAAGTCAGACTCAACACCTGCAGCATCCACCGCTCCTATCGACTCTACCAAGTTTCGCCATCGTCTTTGGTGCCCTATTCGACGGCGTGAGTGTTCAAATGCGCAGCTGAGCTCAGCGCAGCATGCTGCTGGCCTATCCAGAAGTGCGTATTCGATGCGAAATGTTGACGACTTTTCGCTCTTCTCTTCTTAACGCCACTCCTGTATATTCAGGGCTTTTTGATCGCTGCTCTCGTCACTGGACTTCACAGGTGGTTCACTAGGGACACGGAACCGACACTGTTTGGAGCTGGTGGAAGCGCAGGCGCAGGTGGCTTACCGAGATGATGAGCCCTCTTGGCTAAACCGAATGGATGCATTCCAATCACGAACATGACTTCGGAAGGAACGACTCTTCTTTCGCATTGCGCTATCACTGCTCGCAAACGCGTGCTGCCGCTATGGTAGCTTCAAGAATGGCTCTCAGTTGTCTAGGGTCCTGGCTGAGGAAGACTCCGTAGCCGCTCATTATTCGCCCTCGGCCCTCACCATTGTGCCTCAAATGAAGAGCTGTAGCTGCAGCGTTGAGATGTTTTTCCGGACGGCATGCGCTGCTCTCCAAGCTCTCCTCTGCTCTAGCTTCCACTTCCAAGTAGCCGTGCCAGGCGTCCCTCTTTGTGAACTTCACGGTCACATATTTCAGAACATTTAGACGCAGCGATGCCGTCTTTGTCCACACCTGCGAGGTCGAAATTTCGCATCTATTTCGTTTGGGTGTTTGGGTCGAGGTGACAAATCGAGACAGAGAGATCAAGGGAGACGCGATGTGCAAGAAGCAAGACGTGGAGGGATACGGCTGAAGAAGGGTCTATCGTCGGGCTTGCTGAAGAATGGACAACCAGCAAAGGCTTGAATCCACTCAAGAGCGGAGAGTGTTGATGAGCTGAGTGCGTTGCTCGGCTGACAACGAAGCCGCGAGCGAGCTGATAGTGTCCAGGGCGACCTGGCTCTTGAGCTGCTTGGCCTTTGCCTCGAACGCTGATACCTTCTCTTCGAGTTGACGGGCGATAGGGCCATCGTCCAAGTCACCAAGACCAATGCCGATGACATCTTCAATGATTCCTTCGATCTGAGCAGGTGAGAGAGTAGCGTTCGCGGCTTTGAGGCTGTCGGCGATCGAGTCTTGGAGCAGTCTACGGTGCAGACGGAGGTACTGTAGGAAGCAGATCGCTGTCAGCGAAACGCCACGCCGAGATCTCAACCACGCAACTTGCTCACCATGAATCGACGAAAGTCGGACCAATCCACAACGTCGTTGATAGAGCCGACAATTTTGGCGCGCTGTGGAGTGTCTTGGAGGTCTGCGTTGGGGAAAATGTGATGCGCGTGGTAAGTACCAGACAGCGTGCATGCGCTAGCGCTGCGACGACTGCTCACCGGCATAGGCCACCGAGACCGAGTGGAAGACGGCCTTGGTCTCTTCGACGCGCTTGGCTAAAGCCTCCTTGTCGCCCTTAGCAGCGAGATTGGCGTAGGCCGGGTCCAACCGAGCTTGGAGCTTGCGCTGAGCTTCTGCTCGCATCTTGATCTCGACCAGGCCAGCAGGCTCCAACACGCCCATACGGGCGCTGGGGTCGGCATACATCTCAATCTTGCCCTGTTGGTTGATTGTGGTAGCAACGACTACAAAGGCACCCCCACGAAGCTCTGCATTGGGTGGTAGGTAGACAAAGACTGGGCGCTTGTACGCTACTAGAGCATCGACAATGAGACTGCCTTGCTTCAGAACTTCGTTGTGCATGTCGCTAAGACCACCGGAGAAGCCTCGCGTGTTCGCCAGCATCAGGAGAGGAAGACCTTCGCGGTTAAAGTCCTTGATCGCTTGAGCGGTCTTGTAAGCCGAGTTGGGATACCAGACTTGGCCGGCTTCCAGAATGCGCTGCTCGTTCGAATTAGGATTAGCCGGATCGGCGGGGACGACGCGCTCAAGCGTGCGCGTTTCGAACGCCACCACCCCCAGTGGGATACCGCCAAGGCGACCACGTCCAACAACGACAGATGTGGCCCAGCCGCCCAAAGTCTCCTGCCAGGAATCGCGGTCGAGGACACCAGAGACCCAGTCCTCGCCCGGCGACTGTGGAGTAGCGCTAGACGAGTGACCGTTCGTCACGGGTGTTCCTCCATTGATCTCGGACAGTCTCGCACCTGCAAGAAGCCAGCGAGGGTTGTAGGGTGCTGCGGGCGGCGAGTACGTGACAGCGCGATCCCACGGGTCGGCAGGAGAGAGAAGTCTGGGCAACGCGCTCGACTTGGTCTTTGGAGCAAAGGCAAGCCAGCGGACGGCTTGGTGCATCGCCGCAAGGTCGTCGGCAGCCACCAAGTGCGAAACACCGTTGCGGTACATGATTTGCGGACCACCGAGCTGAAGGTTGCTGGTATAAACTTCGCGACCGAGGAGCTTGTTGAGTGCAGAGTATCCAGTCAGGATCAGAGGCGAGCCCTCGACTTGGATGACACGCTCTCCGAGACGTGCAAGATAAGCACCGATACCAACACTACGTCCCGTGACGATCGTAGCAGTGAAAATTTCCTGGCAGGCTCGACTGGTCTCGCCAGCGATCAGACCGGACCCAGAGAGACACTCGACACCCTGACCGCGTTGCAAGCCGACAATGTCGGTGAGCACGTGGTGCGTAGTGCCGTCGTCAGCTGTGCGAGGGCTGGTGATGACGCTATCCAAAGCGTTCTTATCGCCCAGGGATGCGAGCGCGGCCTCGTCGAGGTACAAGTATTCGAAGCCCTTTGCCGGGTCGTTCTGCACAAACTTGACCCGGAAAAGGTCCAATGCCTCTGTAGCGAGCCCGATACGAGCACCGGAGTTGGCGGAGACGTAGAGGCGCGGGATGCCCACCTCACGTGCCAGCTGAGATGCAGCAGCGAAGCAGTGGTCCTCTGCTGGACCGAACGACCCCGCTTGAATGGTAACATCGTTGGCGATGAGAACAATTTGACGGCCCTCGGGGTACTCTGGCGTGAGAAGGTCGATCAGCCAAGCGACCATGCCAATGTTGTTGCTACCGGGTGCCCTCTTCACTTGATGGAGCTCGCCGGACTTTTCGTCCAGGACCAGCTCGACCACAGATTGCAGAGGGTCTGATGGCACCTTGCCAACGGGATGTTTGCGCCATTGAGATCGCAGAGCCTGACGCAGGACGTCGACAAGGTCGTATGCAAAGGTGGTCTGCAGTGCGTGTGCACGCGAGCGTCGAGCTTGCAGAGCCACCTTGGTCGTGTATGGCTGATGAGCGCTCTGCATGTGGAGAGAGGCAGGCACAGCTGGGCCTGCGACGTTCTTCAGAAGGACACTTCCGTCGTCGTCGATCACCTCTTCGTAAGCCTCGTATCGCACGACGAATCCGGTTTCGTTGGTGATAAAGGCGCGGATCGGCGTAGTGGATCCGTTTGCGTTCTTCATGACGAATCGCAGCTCGGCTCCGGTGATCCGAAGGCGGAAGAAGCGGGTACCGTGACGCTCAATGAATCCTGAGAGCGCTTGTTGAATGTCGGTCAAAGTGATTTCGAGAGGATAGATGAAGCTCATGAAAATGTGGGAAGCATCCGCAGTCCGATATTCTGGCTTGCCGAGCGCAACTTCCAGCACATTCAGAATGTCATTGACGATGCGGTCTGAAGCAGACACGAGGTAATCAGCGAGACTGCCAGTCTGCACGCGACCAGGGCGGACCAAGGAGCGCACAAAGAAGCGAGCATCGGTCGGATTCGCAATGCCGCGTGCGTGGTAGAGATGAATGGTCGAAGAAGTGATGGGTACCGACGTGATTTCGAAATTTGTGGTCAGTCGATCAAGCTCGAGCTGATATGCAAGAGCAGGCTCTATGTTTCGGATGGTCGTCTCTTCCTTCCACTCGCCGCTGGCTTGGTCCGGTCGCAAGGTTGTGTACCAAGGATACGAGCCAGGCTGACAGTGAAGGAAGGTCACACGGCGCACACCTGCACTCCTGAGCTGAGCTGCGAAGCCATTGGCGAGGGAGGCGAAAGCAGTTCTAGCTTCTTCATCCTTGGTGTCGGGTTCATCAGTGACGGCAACGTTCAAGACGTGCACAGGCTCGCCGCTGACTTCCTTGGGCAGATATTTGAGGATTTTTGGAAAGACATCGCGGAGATCGTGGAGAGAGGCGCAGCTAGTCATGACACCGGTGCGAAGGACTTGGCGACTGCCAGTCATACTTTTGGCAGCTGCCGCAAGATCACCAGCAGATGCCTGACGCTCATGAGGATTATCGGCGTGATCCGGCAATTGAAATTGCCAGCTGAGGACTGCGCGCTGCTCGACGTCAAATTCTTCGACAGCGTACGCGAATTTGACGACGTCGTACGCGCGGTAAGCACGAAGAACGTAGGTGACCAACGCAGCAAAGGCGATAGGAGTCTCCACGTTGGGGCCGCCAAAGAAGGAGTGAAGGACGTCGTACACAGTGTACTGACTGTCCGTAAGCTCGCGAAGTAGAGGGACTTGAGGTTCGTGGTAGTCCTGACTGTCAGTTCCGTAAACGACCGACTGGACTGAACCCTGAAGAATACTCTGCATTTGTCGCATCCTTTCTTCAAGACTGGGCTGGTCTCGCGACATGGCTACTTCGCGCGCTTTGAGAGCAACCGGAGCAGTAGACTTGCCTTGGAGTGCCGCTAATCGATGAAGGACGTCTATGACTTTGTCTGCAGCAGCGGTACCAGACTTGGCATATGCAAAGCCCTTTCCGTACTGCTGCAAGATGGCAAGCAGTAGCGAGTTTTTGGCGGCGATACCGTTGTGCGAAATCTGCATTGCCACGACCTTCTCCAAGTCGCCTTCCGCTTCTTGACGAAGTGTCAGCACTACGTCGGACTCGCCGGCAAAGCGAGTCTCGACGTCGAGATATTGCTCCAGCAGTGATGCAAGGATAGCGGATGCATAGCCTTGCGGACCACCAGAGAGAGCCTCGAGCACGACGGTGATTGGAGTGAGGGAACGTGCAACTTGCACAGCAGCTGCAGGGTCAACACTATCCCTGACAAAGCTGTCGCTGATTTTACGCAAACGGGCTGCTGGGAACTCTGAGCCGCGCGCGTGAGCCGTCTCGATTGTGCTTCTGAGGAGTTCTTCAAGCTTTGCAGGAATGCGTCCAGACAGGGTTGAGAGGATTTGGTTGACCTGACCGTAAGGAAGCTGATTATCGCTCAGGTTCTCGAGGAGCTCGATGAGAGCAGGCTGCCAGTGACGGTCGTAGCCCGCCAAGACGTCGTGCAGAATCGACAAGTTGAAGTCGAAGCGCTGGTGAGGCTTGGCACCAACAATGACTGGGAGATCGAAGTCAGGAAGTCGACCAGTGTAAGGTGTGGCTTGGACTACTCGGGATGGATCATCAAGGGTCAAGATGCCGAGAAGCTCGCCTGGTGCAACGGTAATGCCAGGAGCTCGAAGCCACGTGATTAATCCGTCTTCAGCAGCCGTGATCGGCATGAGCATCTTCATGATCTCAAGTTCGCACAGAGGCTGGCCAGCTTTGACGTGGGTGCCGGAGGGTGCCAGAATGGAGACGAGCTTGCCTGGAGAAGGACTCTTGAGCTGGCTGGGATCTTCCTCGTTCTCAATGAGCGCGGTCTTCTGATTGATCATTACTCGGAGTGCCGCAGCATCTTGCTGCCAGTACACGGTGTGACTCTTGCCACCGAGTTTCATCAACACACCTCCGTCAGAGAGGGGCTGCAAGTCGACAAGCACGCGTTGACCGCGTAGGAAGAGCGAGTAGGAGTTCTTGCCTGCACGACTGCCGGCCCAAGAGTACTTTTCGCCAGCGTAAACAAATTCTGTGCTAAAGAAAGTCTTGATGGTGTCCTTTGGAGGCACTTGACCTTTCGAGAGGATGGCGCTGTATGCGAGCTCACATTCTCGGGAGGCGAGGTAGAACTTGACGGCGGCAGCAGCAACAACTGCAACTGCTTGCGGGGGCTTCTCGGCGCTGAAGCGCTCCTTGATCAGAGAGTCCAGCCACCCAGTGGTGAAGTGGTTCTTTGTGAACTCTGCGGTCTCGAGGAGTCGCAACAGGAACTCGTTTGTGTTCTTGAACTCTCCGCGAATGTTGAGATCTTTGAGAGCGAGAATCATCTGGTTCCTGGCATCTGATCTATCTGTACCAAATGCGAAGATGTGACCGAACTGAGAGTCGGCGAACTCGTGAAGACCACCGGCACCGCCAATGGAAAAGTAGCCCCAGCAGTTTCCGGAACCCTTGAAGTTGATTTCACTGACCGTGCCCATGCTGGGTCTGAAGCCTTCAGATGCATCTTCGGCGGTGATGCGACAGGCGACAACGTGACCTCTAGGCTGTGGCTTGCGTTGAGTCTTGAAGCTTTCAGGATCATTGAATTCGAAGTCGATAGGTTCTGCACCACGAGGGTCCATGCCGTACAGCGTTCGAATGTCCCGGATGCGGTACAGTGGAATACCCATAGCCACTTGCAGCTGAGCAGCTGGAATATTGACGCCAGAGACCATTTCAGTTGTGGGATGTTCGACTTGCAAACGCGGGTTCAGCTCCAAGAAGCTAAACTCGCCGCTGTCGGGCGAATAGAGCCACTCGACTGTGCCTGCTGAGACGTAGCCGACCAGCTTCGCGAGCCGCACTGCCGCCTTCTCCATAGAGTCGCGGGCAGCCTCTGGAGCAATGGTGACGGGTGCTTCCTCAATGATCTTTTGGTGGCGCCGCTGAACACTGCAGTCACGGCCAAAGATACTGATGGCATTGCCATACTGATCAGCCATGAGCTGCACCTCAAGGTGTCTCGCTTTACCGGCGAGTTTCATCACAAAGACGGGCGAGCCCGGGACCTCTCCTAGCACTGCGTTGTAAAGCTGCTTGAAGGTATCGGCGTCGCTGCACATGCGGATACCTGCGAGCATGGCGCAGCAATCAGTGGATATGCCCGAACGCTTAGATTGAAAATTGACGCGCACCTTTTCCGCCACCTCCTTCGCTGGCTTTGATCATGACGGGAAAACCGATCTTTTGCGCTTTCTCGAGACCTTCCTCGGCAGTGTGTATGCATGCCCTCTGATACGTTTCGTCGGAAACGGTGAGGAAGCCTTGCTCGCTCATGATGGTCTCCTTGACGCCAGTACCCGACCAAGGCATGCAGGGCACATCAGCGTGCTGTGCGACGATGGTTGAGCTGATCTTGTCACCAAGACTGCGCATCGCTGAGCCTGGAGGACCGATGAAGATGATCTTCTGGCTCGATGCTCGCAATGCTTCAGGCAATCGCGGATTTTCAGATGCGTGGCCCCTGCGGTAGGATACATTGGGTCGGAGCTGAGCTTCCTAGTCTGCACAATCTGCCGTATTGCCTTGCATACAACTCACCAACCAGCCCAAACGGCGTGAACGTGCATGCGTTCAGCAATATCGACGATCAGATCGACGTTGGCGTAGTTGTTGTTGTTGGAGCCGCCGGGCACTTCAACGTACTGGTCAGCCATACGAATGTAGTCTGCGTTAATCTTTAGATCTTCAGGCGTCGCCATGACCGTAAATTCGATGGCACGCTCATTTCCAAAGGTCTCGTATGCCCACTTTCTGATGGAACGAATCTCCTTGACAGCAGCGATACCATTGTTGCAGATGAGCACCTTCGTGATCACAGTGTGCCCTTCGTGCTTGCGGATGAAGTCTGGGACAGCCCCTGCGGGCGCTTGATCGAGGGCATTCCCACCTGAGGGAGTGGACAGGACCAATAGGTGTCAGTATCGTTCCGAGAAGTGGCTCGGAGCCTGCCAGCTCGGGAAGCGCACGCTTGCGCACAGGAGTACCGGCTGACATAACTCACCCACAAAGTGGGAAACACTAGAGTGGTCTGCGGCGGGCATGACGTGTACGGAGTCTTTCGCAACGCAGGCGCCCACCGAGCCTGGTAGGTTGTTCTATGTGATGGCCAAGGATGACGTGCCCAGCGGACCTGAGAGATCAGCCCTTTTGTAAAGCATAGGCGAGGGTCAAGTCGATGCGGGGACCCTGAGACTTTTCGGACGTCCAGTGGGTGAGAATGATGGTGATGGAAGGGAAGGATGGGAGTGGCCGAGACAACCGATACGCATCAGATGGAAAGTGCGCTCGATTGGAGTTACTGCATACACACTCACCAATGAGTTGGGGAAAGGGCGGGCGGGGTCGCGTACGTGGCGGATGTCGTCCCGCATCAGCAGCAGCAGTCAGCAGGCGTTGCGAACTTTCATTCAAAATTCGAAGGCACGGTTCGCAGTCTTGATTGAGCGCTGATGGAAATGAGCTGGCTGATATGGCAAAGGAGCGCAGCAAGAGGTGCGCGCCCACGTTGATTCATGAAGTTGTCTTGGAAGGTGTGCACCTGCTGTTGCGCGCTTTCCGCATGGGTCAACAGTTGATGGGGAGAGGTCCGCGGGGAAACGGAGTTGCCCTTCGCATCCCCGCGGCACTACGTCAGTTCGTCCCTGCAGGCATGCAACTCAAATCATGAGGTGGCGCTGCCTCGCGTCGGAGCTTGGGTCACCCGTGCAGCCGAGGTCTCACAGGTCGGTCCCCACCAATTTTATCAGTTGAAGGTCCCAACGCGCCGCGGCCTAGCACCGCGCTGTGGGCTGGGGCGAGGCTCTATCGTACGAGAACTTTGCGCCGCTCCATCGCGCGCTTCCCCGCCGTCTAAACCTGCGCTATACTGCGTATACGAAGAATGTTCCACGCAACCCCAAAACCGTTTGGCTCGAGCGCGTACGCGTGCGTGCCCTTTTCGCTTTGCCGTTCGCTCATCTCAACATTTGCTCATCATGACAGGTGACCCAACCTTTCATGCCGGAGGTGTCATACCGAGGCTTCGCCGTAGTTGGATGTCAAGCTTACAGCGTGACCAAACTTGTCGAGAGCTTTCCACAGCGTGATATTGAGATCTGAATTGCCGGCCGGAGAGGGATCCAGATCATTCTCGAGCGACAACGATTGATGATGGGAAAAGTGATTAGCTCCCCTGAATGCGACCATGCCCTCTCCGCGCGTGGCTTCACTTCGTCGCCGCCCACGCGACGCGTTGAGCTTTGCGCGCGAAGGCGCCTCCACTAGCTCATCAGCCCTTCACTGCTATACATGTCTGGCCTTCGTCGGGGTCTCAGGTTCGTGAGCGAGCTGACCGCCGATTGACCCGCAGTCATCATCTGACTACATTCTCATTCAGGCCCAATGCTCAGGGTAGAGCGCTCACCACTCTTTGGCAGCCTCCCTGTATCACAACCAGCAACACTCGATCGCATAAGGGCTCCTAGACATCAGCATACATCTCTCCAAAGGACACAGTGATTGGCCTTTGGTTCCGGCTGTTCGCTCTATCCAGACATCCTCTCGGTCTTCAAGCATGGCGGCGCCCAATGCAGGATCCGGGTCAAAAGCCTTCTATAAGCGTCCTGTCATCAAGGACTCAGATTCGAGCGATGACGAAAAACCTCTGGTGAGTTTAGGGGTTCATCGTCACAGGGCAAAAAGACCTTGAGACGCACTCACCTCGGACCATTTCGCTGCAGTCCAAGCGTCCCAAAGTAGTCACCTCGAATGGACAAAGACCCTCCATTGGCGCCTCGAAGGGTGCAAATGGCAAGCGTGGATCCCAGTCTTCCGATGACGACATCCCACTGGCTTCCAGCTCGACCTCTACCAAGCGGCCACTACCCGAATCTGACTCGGACTCTGACGCGCCTTTGGGTGGAAATTTCAAGCCCAAGCATCCTGCCCTGATCAAGGTAATCAAGCAGGAGAACGGCAGCAGTGCCCCATCAAGTCAGGCGTCATCTGCGAGTGAGCAGGGGGACGAGGATGATGATAATGACGACGAGGATGAGGACGATGTCGGTGAAGAAGATGAGGAGGAGGAGGAGGAGGAGGAAGACGACGACGACGACGATGATGGCGCATCGGCGAGCTCGCAAAAGACGTCTAAACGTGGCAAGAGCTCTCAGAAAGGACCAGAGGGCAAAGGCGCCAAAAAGTGGTCCAGGCTTTATCACACAGGCCCGCGCTTCCCGCCACCTTACGAGCCCCTACCTTCGCACATTAAGCTCAAATATGATGGGCGACCTGTCGGGCTCAAGCCAGCTGCGGAAGAAGCTGCCTTCTTCTATGCTGTCAAGCTTGAAACGCAGCATGCTCGCGACGCAGTCTTCAATAAGAACTTTTTCGCTGATTTTTGCAAGCTTCTCAAACAGCATCCGCCGGTCAGTACGTCGCGCCTGTCTGTCGAATTTGATTGCGCTGCTTACATGTGAGCTGGCAACTTTCTCATAGACTGATGGGACGCATATCAAGAGCTTCGACAAGCTGGATTTCAGAGACATGTACGAGCACTGGAGAGGTATCAAGGATGCGGAAGCTGATGCTAAAAAGAACAAGGCGCCTTCAGAGCGCAAGATGGAGCTGGAGGCAAAGAAGGCAGCAGAGGCGGTCATGAAGACGTGTGTGGTGGATGGCGTTGAGCAGCGCGTTGGCAATGTCATGGTCGAGCCGCCCGCATTGTTCCTTGGCCGCGGCGAGCACCCAAAGAAAGGGCGCATCAAGGTGAGTGTGCTGCCTGAATGCATTTGTTCTGGGGGGCGACCTTGCTGACGAGGTTTGTCACCCTGCAACAGCAACGTGTCTTGCCCGAGCAGATCACCATCAATCACACATTGAAGGATCCAGCGCACCCGCCCCCTTCTCCTCCCGCAGGACACAAATGGAAGGCAGTCAAAGAGGACAAGAAATCCACCTGGCTTGCTTTTTGGAAGGAGAATATCAACGGGCAGTACAAGTACATGTACCTGGACGCTGCCAGCAAGTTCAAGAGCAATTCTGATAGGGACAAGTTTGAAAAGGCCCGGGCACTCGATGTGAGTCCGCAGTGGCATGATCGTGTCGAGCCTCGCTCACACGACTTTGTGGCCTACAGAAATGCATCGTGAAGCTCAGGCGGCAGATCGATCAGCGACTCACTTCTAAGCAAAGGTTCGAGCGGCAGCTTGGCACTGTCGTCTGGCTCATCGATAACTACAGTCTTCGTGCTGGTAATGAGAAAGGCGAAGACGAGGCGGCTACTTATGGAGTGTGCTCACTGCTGGTCGAGCATGTGAAAGGCCTGCAAGAAGGAGTCGATCTGCCAGATGGCACCTCCACCTCTCAAGTCAAGCTCGAATTCCTGGGCAAAGACTCCATGGCTTTCAAGGAGACGTTGACCGTACCGACGCGCATCTTTAAGAATTTCAAGATGTTCACGCAATCGACCAGGTTGCAAAACGGCGAGGTCGGGCTGAAAGCGGCTTCGGATGAGATCTTCGACAAAGTCGACGTGAGTGCCCTGGTTGACTGCGTCAAAGCAAAGAGACTGACCCGCATTCGCGCTCGCGACAGCCCTCTGCTGTCAACAAATTCCTTCAGAACGAGTCGAATGGAGGAATGAAGGGCCTGTCTGCCAAGGTCTTTCGTACCTACAACGCATCCACAACCTTCCAAGGCCTGCTGGATCAGACTGCTGAAAATTTGAAGGAAGCTGGACTTCAGGCGAACCCGCAAACCTTGCGCGATCAGTACAACACCGCCAACCGCTTGGTTGCCATTCTGTGCAACCATCAGAAGACGGTCAATCCTGTCATGAGTGAGAAGACGGCAGCTCGCCATGAGGAGAAGGTGAGTTGGTAGATCATGTCGGCCAATCCGTGTGGGCCAACTGACTGAGGTCGCATTGTTGTGTGAAAGATGATCGGTGTGCGGTACGATCGCTTCAAGGAACGCCAAAAACTTTTGACGTGGGGTACCGCAGCCGAGATCAAGAAAGCTTTCCCTGCCAGCGACAATCCTTGGGCCAAGAAGTTGAAGACCATTCTAGAGGCCGTCGACATCACCACTGAGCAAATTAAAGAGCACGAGGAACGCATCTTCACTGCGAAAAAGGACAGGCTGCAAGCTAATTTCCACCGCGCTGAGCTGGAAAGGGAATTTCAGGCCAAGCTGAAAAGAGAGGGTAAAAGCGAAGCTGAGGCAGCTGCAGCGACCGCCGAAAAGAACAAGAAGGCAAAGGGCCGCAAGAGCAAGAAGCAAGATGACTCGGAAGACGAGGATGACAAGGCCAATTACGGCAAATTCAAGACGCAAGCAGAGGTTGATGCTGAGAAGCGTAGTCTCGACGCAGAGCTGAAAGAGCTGTCTAGGGAAAGATCCAAGAACAAGAGTCGACTGCCTGCCGATAAGATCAACGTCGCCTCTGTGGCCAAAAAGATCTTGGCAAAGGTCGCACAAGCTGAAAAGCTAGAGGCTGATTTCGCGACACGCAACAAGACCTCTGACGTCTCCCTAGGCACGTCCAAGTTGAACTACATTGTAAGTAGGACGCAAGTCTAGACATGAAAGCACACCGGCTGACTTGAGACCGAGGCGCTTCAGGATCCCCGGATCACTGTTGCTTGGCTCAAGAAGTGGGACGCCATTCTTGTCAAACGGGACGGAGATCCCAAAGCGATTAAGAAGGGTGCAGCCTCTCCGAGCAAGAAGGGTGGTCGCGGCAGTGCGAAGGCGAAGAAGGAAGAGAGCGACGATGAAGACGTCAAGCCCGCTAAGAAGGCCAAGGGTGCAGCTGCGGCCAAGGGCAAGCCGAAAGGCAAGGCGTTGAAGAAAGAGAATGACGACGATGATGATGATGACAAGAAGCCCAAAAAGGAGGCAGAGAAGATGGAGCTGGATCTCAGAATCATGTCGATAAGCAACTACTTTCCGCAGACCATGCTCAAAAAATTCCGTTGGGCACAATTCGACGACGATGGTTCCGAGCTTCCGGCCAGCTGGACCTTTGTGGAAAACGCGCCGCTCAAGATTCGCACGAATAGTGAGTGCGCACGCGGATGTTTGTTCGGAATCAGCTGACAGGCTCTCCTTTATCGGTGTGTAGTGTCGAGCGCCAACCGCGACGGCGATGATGCAGCAGACTCGGCAGATGGAGCGCTCGCTGCAAAGGTATCCGCACAGACGTCTGCCGCCCGAGCCAGAGGTGCTAGCAATGGCAGCGCCGCAAAGACTGCTTCTGCTAAAGCAGCGCCGCGCCCTCGAACCGTTTCTGCTTCGAAACCTCAGGTGGACAGCGACTCTGACGACGACGCTCCTCTAGCCGCAAAGTCTGCTACCAAGGCCAACACTTTACGCGACGATGATAGCAGCGACGATGATGCGCCGCTCGTCGCTCGTCGATGATTGGGTTCTTTCCTGCACAGCTTTCATTGGAACCCTTCAGGCTCGACGCATGGTATTCCAACGTCCCCTTCTCGTCCTTCCCCTGCTTGTCCCATGCAATGAACGCCCCAGCACTGTCGACTCCGCCACATCACCCACCACTGTTTTTCACGCCAAAAAGATCCCCTCGCTCGACACAATTCATATTATGGAGCAAAGATCAGGAAACGTGTGGAAATTGATCCAGTATTCAGATGCCGCCGGCTGACAATAGCGAAGCGCCAATCGTGGCGTAAGTTCAAACATTGAGGTAACGACAGAGCGTGAGCAAAGGGGGCGATGGGTGACCTACTTTTCGCGCATAGCTTGGGATGTGACGGACGCAATGCGCACGCATTCTCTTGGTGCCTTTCAGATAACAAACTCTGACTCTAATTGGAAGCGATCCAGCTCCTCCATCTCTCGGATCCTCCTCTTGCGAGTTCGGGTTCTAGATGTGTCCTGCAGTGCGAGGCCGCGAGCGCACCAAAATGAGCTTCTTTTCCCGTGACGCGAGTGTCCGCAACGCGTTACGACCGTTTGCAACTTACTTGATGTTCGCCTCCTGCTCGATCGGACGCAGGTGCAGAGGCGTCACGAACGTCACGACGAGCCGAACCTTCTTGGCCTCGCCTGACTCGTCGTCCCTTGGCGGGGGATCGAGAAGATGCACGCGTGCCGACTGATGAAGACTCTTCTTGACCCTTCTTCTGCTTCTTGCCAGACTGGACTTTTCCTGCTGCAGTTGTCGATGCCTTGCGCCTCCTTTTCGAAATCTGGACATCAGAGTCTTGGCCGCTGAGCTCAGGCGCCTCGCTTTCACTTTGGTTTTCGACAAGATCGACTTTGCGTCGTGTGGACTTTGCATCCTTCTTCGTCGCTCGAGTACGGCTTCTCGAATTTGTACGAGTGGAGGCTTTGGCGCCCGGGCCTTTGCGCTTCGTAGCGCCGCCTAGGCTAGATCGGGCTGTGCGCTTCTGCAAGCCTTTCCCAGCTCTAGGTAAAAGTCTCACCAGATCATCCAATGTCATACGATCCGATTCTTCTGGTTCCGAACCAGTCTCGCTGTCCGCGTCTTTGATCGAGCTACTCGAGGTTGATGAAAAGGCGATCACTTCATCTCGCGCGCTCGGCAGCGAACTCTTCTTGGAGATTGTTGCAGACCCTTCCGATGAACTTGCGAGCGAGTATTCAAGAGCTTTGGAAGTAGCTACTTTTCGTCTAGTAGATCTGCGAATGGGAGCTAGCTCTGCAGTAATCTCTGCCTCTTCCTCGCCGCCATATTCCATCGACTGCTCGCCAATGAATGCCCTGCGCGTGGTCGTGTTCTGAAGCAGGGTTGTGGAAGCGTCAGGCAGCGAAGATTCCGAGGAGCCGATGGAGTTGCTTGCGGAGAATGCACGTCGAGCTCGCTGCGCTCGCTCCAGCTGGCTCGAGCTTGCACTTCCATCCCGAGTCTCCTGCTTCCTTGCATCCTCTGCGCCTGTCTTGCTGGTCTGCTCAGAGGATGCATTATCAATCTCGTTCGCCTCCTGCGTTTCCTTCCCGGACGCCAGTCTTGCTTCAGCTCTCCTTGCTTTGAGGTTATCTTCAGCCTGTTCGAAACCAAATGGATCGTCCAGGTCGATGGACTCATCTTCGAGCCTTACTATAGGCGGCGCCTCCACCTTGACCTGCCCAGCTCGTGGATGTTTGCTGATAGTACCTTTCGATAAAGGTTCCGATCTGATCTGTCCCTCGAGAGAACGGGCCGCATCGCTGGAAGGAATGCTAGGTTTGCCTCGAGAGGCTCGCAAAGCACCTCTAGACGATGGGGACGCAAACATTCGAGCCACCTTTTCCTTTGTCGAGCTAGCTTCAGGTCTTTCCCTTCTGAGCTTGTCGAATGCACCTTCGCTGTCGTTTGCAGGAACGAGGGGAGATCTGACCGTGGTCCTGCGGCTCGGATCAAAGTTCTTGAATGTCGCTTTGTTTGGCAAAGCTAGACGAGAAAGCTGCGCGTGCGAGCTCAAATCCGCCGGTCTGGCTGGTCGATCAGCTATGACTCCGAGATTGAGACCCTCCCTCTCGCCTTCAGAGTCTCGAGAGCCGTTCGAGCGGCCAGACGACCGCGAGCCGAGCCTGTGCGCGTCGAGTATGGACGAAGTACTCAGACGTGGCTGTCTTTCATCATCTAAAGGGAGCGCGACAAGCGGAGTTCGGACCCTCGCATCTTGCCTGGCCCGCTGCTCAGAAGTTCGAGCAGCAATGGGCGTCGAATGCTGCTGCTCTTCCATCTTCCCAAAAGAGGAGGAAGCGTTCGAACCCGAATTTTCTTGGTCTTGAGTCAGATGCCAGCCCTTTGCTTTGCCCTTCTGAGAGACCTGAGCGAGTGGTACATTCTCCTTGTCCGAGGTAGAATGCGCGCTCGACCCGTCTGAAGAGGTGGACAAGACCACTCTCATCGTGTCCTCTCCTTCCGCCTCTTCTTGCTGACGGTGCGACTCATGATCCCCTGCACGCTCCCCCGCCTGCTCGTTCACTTGAGACACCAAAGTCTTACCAGACGCTGCCCTCTTCGCCTTTTGTCTCAGCCTTTCGGCTACCTTGGCCTGCCGTGACTCCCTCGTGATGCTTGTCGAGGACGGCGCACCATGTCCCTCTTTGGTTGCAATTGGTGACGCTGTTCGAGCCCTGGACGTCGAGCTGCCATCCGGCTTGGTGGATGCAGATGCGCGATCATCTTTCCGGTCAACCTCCGAGTCTACCGGCCTGAGGGCTTTGGGTACTCTTTGCCTTTCTGTGCTGATCGCGCGCGTCGCAACTGCAGCTCTTCCAGACCGCGTGCGCCTAGGGGAGCTGGACGTGACCGTCAGCTCAGGAAGCGTTCCGGGACCCCGCGGGAGAGCGCTGCGTGCATGTGATGGTATTACGCCTTCTTTCACCTCTGACCTCTTGGAGACCTCTGTAATGGTCGCCATGCTGCTGCTCTGCGTGTTCGTTCGGCGGGTGCTGGGACCTTGAATGTCCACCAGCACGCGGGCCTTGCCACTGCGTGCTGCAGGCATCGACGCGTTGCGTTGCTGAGCGTTGAAGATGATGACCGGTTGAGAGGCGGACGCGAAAGAAGCCTTGGACCACAAGGTGTTCCCACTTGGCTCCTCTTGATACTTGATCGGTTCGCTTCACTTGTCGAGGTTGATTGCTTGCATATATGCTGACCTGTGCGTGGTGTGCCTCTGATGTGGATTTGCGGCATGGAGAGACGGACGCGCGTGCACGACGATCAGGTGTTGCATTTTGATTTCCATTTCTCGAGAGGCGCGCGTAGCGCGTTGGAAAGGCGCGGATGATGTGGTCCACGTGATCATCAATCTGAGTGCGCCTTCACGTACGCTCCACATCTTGCATCTCATGTGCCAGTGTCGCTTTGATACGAGCACTGTCCGATCCACCTCCCGTCTTCTCCACCACGCTGCACGCCCGAGCCGTTTCTACACTACCAGCATCACTCAAAGGACGGCAGGCACGACGCATGCGTGTTTGAGCATGGCAGACTCGTCTTCATACCCACGTGAGCAGCGCGGCCCTCAAGATGGGAGTGGAAGAGAAGCCGAGCTGCGAGCCGCTTTGAAAGCTTCGAGAAGCAGCCGCTCAGAAGGAGATCGACTCGGTAGTGGAGCAGATGTACACAGACATGACGGCTCCATACGTGGAAGTCAAAGACGTCACCGCTCACGATCTCGAAGCAGAAGCCGGGGCGATTCGCGCGAGCAGGAGCGGAATCATGACCGAAGAGATCGTTCGAGACGAGATCGGCATGCGGATGACCGAAGCGGGCGTGAAGAGGAAAGGCGTCGTCACGAAAGGCATCGAGATGATAGAGACAGGCACACCGAGCGGGAGAGCAGAGGAGCGGGGTCGGACGATCCAAGAGAGCGAGAAAGCCGACGGCGACGCGATGAGTCCGATCGACACTCCCGTCACCGCAAGAGGAGACACCATTCGCAGTCGCGTTCGCGGTCTCGCTCGCCCACAAACACCAGAAAGCATCGCAGTCCTAGTAACGATTCGCGAAGCTCGGACAATGGCTCTTCCGCCTCCGAGTCGTCACGATCTAGGAGAGGAGGAGGGCACAAGAGTCGCGATCACGGTAATAGAGATGAGCGAGAGCGGAGGGAGCGAAGAGATAGAAGGCGAAGGAAAGAAGAGAAGAAGGAGAGAAGGGAGAGGAAAGAGAAGAAGAAGCGCAAGAAGGAGGTGAGCTCACACACTTCGGCTGGCAATCAGCACTGCACCATTTCTGACTTTCTTTGCTTCCCGCCGTCGGCTTCTAAGGCAGCGAAATCAGGCGAAGTCATTGAGTGGGGCAAGCATGGGATCATCTCTGAAACAGAGTGAGATCTGCTTCGTATCAGCGGGTGCTGGAACCTGCTCCTGACTGTGATGTCCCTTTCGCAGCGTAATTGGTCGACTCACCGGCGAATACCGGCAGTGGCTGGTCGAAGAAAGGCATATCAACCCGTGAGTCTAAGCTTCTGTACAAGCAGCACTCAAGGCCTTCCCCATCAAGAAGCGCGTGCCCCATACTGACCGCACTGACCGCACGTCACACCGCATCGCTTCCTGACAAATGACAGGGAAACAATCTCAAAGCCAGTGGAAAAGAAAGAAATTGCTCGGTTCATCGAATCCTACAACACCGCGACCATGCCAGATCCCAAGTATTACGATCTCGAGGTGCGTACGATGTCTACATGCATTGCCCACGCAGTCTCGTAGTTCCATCGACTTCACTCATCTTGTCGATCCTGCTTCGATACAGAAACACGAACGACACATGTCCATGATACGTTCGGGCGAAACGCTGCCAGTCGGAGGCTACGACTTTCTCTCGGACGAAAAGGCGGCCTCGGCATCAGCAGCAGCTCGCAGGAAGGAGGAAGAAGCAAAGAGAAATACGGGCAGGGATGCGTGGCAAAGCAAGGAACAGCTGGAAGAGCTGCGACGGATTCAGAATGAACGAATCCAGGCGGGAAAGATGAAACAGCTGTGAGTCTTGTACAGCAACTCGGCAGGCAAACGCGATGTGGGCTTCCTCGCATTCCGCACGTCTCGCTGACGTTTGCATCCTGCTGCTCTTAGCGGCTTGGAAACGTCGGCAAATATGGGCGTGCGCATGGAAGGTCGTCTGCCTGGCCGTAAATGATCACAATCACCCATAGCAGCAATTCATATCAGTCTACATTGGGCAACGTATGTTGCATACCCTTCTAATGGCCGGAGCACGCGCGCTCGATACTTCGAACAATGACGAAATGCAAATTCACAGATCGAATGCGTAGCGTGGTGAGGTCAAAGACAGGTAAATGTAAGGGTCGATGGGAGGAGAGGGCGTGCCCAGGATTGGCTGTCCCCGAAAGCGTCTATGGCGAAATGCGCATGCGACGGAACCCATGAAACCTTTTGAGGGTGCGCTGCAACGATGGGCTTAGTAGCTTCGCTTGAAAGGCGGCACAGCTTTGCACTCGTTCTCATCCAGGGTGGTGCTGACAACCTCACGGTAGTTCAGCCTAACGTTGTCATCCGCATCGGCCTGCCAAGACAGACTGTGCTTCATCCAGTTGACATCGTCTCTCTCCTCAAAGTCCATTCTAGCGTGGGCACCACGACTCTCCTTACGAGCAGCAGCGGAAACGACCGTTTGCTCTGCGCAAGTGAGCATGTTTTGCAGTTCCAGACCTTCGACCAAGTCAGTGTTCCAGATCATGCTCCTGTCCGAAACCTTGATGTCGTGCCACTTCTTGTGAGCGTCCCTCATCTTTCTCACTCCCTCGTCGAGGCTGCCTTGCTCACGGAAGACGGCAGCGTCGCTCTGCATCGTCTTTTGCATCTCCAATCGCAAGTTGGCAACTGGAAGCTTGCCGTTCGAGTTTCTCACCCAGTCGAGATTGTTGATGGAGAAAGCTCCAGTGTTCTCGGCCAAAGGCTTGTGAGGCTTGCCGGGTTGCAAATTCTCTTTGATATGGTTGGCGCAAGCTCTGCCAAAGACGACAATGTCGAGCAAAGAGTTGGCACCGAGACGGTTCGCGCCGTGAACGGACACGCAAGCGGCCTCTCCTGCAGCGTAAAGGCCAGGGACCACCTCGTCCTTTCCATCAGCGGTTTGACGAAGGACCTCTCCGGTGTACTTGGTAGGAATGCCACCCATGCTATACAGAGAGACAATTTGGACTGATCAGCCTTGTATGGCATGCCGCTTGTGCTGCACGTCAGGTACTCACTTGTAGTGCACAGTCGGCAGCACGGGAATGGGCTCCTTCGTCACATCGACACCTGCGAAAATGCTGGCCGTCTCACTGATACCGGGCAGACGCTCGTGGAGGACTTCAGGTGGCAGGTGAGAGAGTTGGAGGTAGATGTGGTCCTTGTCGGGTCCAACACCACGGCCCTCGCGAATCTCGATGGTCATGGAGCGAGACACGACATCACGAGAGGCCAGGTCCTTTGCTGTTGGCGCGTAACGCTCCATGAAGCGTTCACCTTCCGAATTGAGCAAGTAGCCTCCCTCTCCACGGGAGCCTTCCGTGATCAAGCACCCAGCGCCATAAATTCCGGTAGGGTGGAATTGGACGAACTCAAGATCTTGGAGAGGCAGACCAGCGCGGGACACCATGGCCATACCATCACCTGTGCAAGTGTGGGCGGAGGTGGCAGAGAAGTACGCCTTTCCGTAACCGCCCGTCGCAAGGACAGTCTTGTGCGAGCGGAAGCGGTGCAGGGTACCATCCTCCATGTTGAGGGCCAGAACACCAACGCATTCGCCCTCCTCGTTCATGATGAGGTCAAGGGCAAAGTATTCGATAAAGAAGTTGGTGTTGTGGCGCAAAGACTGTCCATAAAGGGTGTGAAGCATGGCGTGCCCGGTTCGATCAGCAGCAGCAGCGCATCTGTATGCTTGACCACCCTTGCCGAATTTGAGAGATTGACCACCAAAGGCACGCTGGTAAATTTTGCCCTCCTTGGTACGAGAGAATGGAAGACCGTAGTTCTCGAGCTCGATGACGGTTCGTGGCGCTTCGCGACACATGTAGTGGATAGCATCTTGATCACCCAGCCAGTCACTGCCCTTGACAGTGTCATACATGTGCCACCTCCAATCATCCTCCGTCACTGCGTGCAGATCAGAGTTCTCCCATCAGAACAGAGGCTGTCATAGGTGAGCCTGCGTGCTTGCTTGCCAACTCACTGTTGCCGAGAGCAGCGTTAATACCACCCTGCGCTGCGACTGTATGTGATCGAGTGGGGAACAATTTGGTGATGCAAGCAGTGTTGAGACCGCCCTCTGCGAGACCGAAAGCAGCACGCAGACCGGATCCACCAGCTCCAACAACAATGGCATCGTACCTGTGGGATGTTCCAAGACTTCAGCGCGGACGCACAAGGCCAAGCGAACTCTCGTAGCACCGAAACTCGCGAGACTCACTCGTGGTCAATGACGGGATAGCCCTTGGCAGCATCGAGAGGAGTAGCAGCCTCCTTGGCGCGCAAAGGAGAGCTAGCAATGATCTTGCTGGCAGAAGCCGTAGCGGAGAAAAATCTGGGCCTGGAAGCAGCCGCAAGAGAGCTGCTGCTGCTGGCCGAAGCCGCAGCCGTCGCTGAGCGAATGAGAGAGCGTGCTGGGAGGATCATCTTGCCTTGTGCCGCTTGTCGTGTGGTGTGCGTACGAATGGAGTGGTCGTCGCTTGATTTAGTGTTTGGCACAAGGCAGGCAGGCAGGCAGGCCACTTGAAGATAGAGCTCGACTCGATGCTTGAAGCAGCGCCTAAGCGTGCGCCCTTCTGTACCGTCGTTGCTACGCAGTCTCGACTCTCGACTCTTCAAGACGCAAGTGCCTCGCGGTGCGGGGAACCTGCTTTCATCCCTGGCGCGTCTGCTTAGGCAAGCCATTCGCCGTGCGCGCGCGCGGCCACGGCTTCGTTGCGCTCAAAAACGTTGAGCCGAGAGATCCGCCGCCGCGTGAGGCGCACGGCCTGGGCCGGGTGTTCGTCAGCAACCGCTTCTCATTCGCTAGCCGCGTCTAGAAGCGCGTCGCAGCGCGATATAGGGCGCGGTAGGCATGCAGCAAGCAGTGCAGGCAGCGGGCGCGTCCGCGCCCGCGCCATCGCCAGAAGCAGCGCACGTGGCAATTTGAATCGCGAATGGATTTGACATCCGAGCCTTCCAGCTCGTTGAGCTCGGAGGCGTGTGCTGCAAGCCTAGCACCGGGGCGGGCAGGCACGCACAATCCTGGCGCGCGAGCTTCTCAGAAGTCACGGCAGCAGCAGCAGCAGCAGCAGCAGCAGGAGGTGCGGCTTGGTCGACGCTCACTCGTCGGCTTGCTAGCGGGTTCTTTACTACTTTCTTGCTAATCAATGTCTCCCTCATAACCACACAGCTGCTGCTTCAACCACCGAGAGGCAGACGCCACGAAGCTGAAGAAGTGTCTTGACTTCATAGAGCACCTCTCGACCCCCCGTCTTCTCTGCTGGTCTACCACATCACGCTTCTCACTGCATCACTTCGACCCGCACACCATGGCTTCGCTCTTCTCTGCGCCCGCGACCAGCGCTCTGAGAGCTGCTGCGCGTAGGCAGGCCCCCTTTGCGGTAAGTGAGCCTTGAAAGCTACCTCGCATGGTCATGTCCTGGGTACTGCTCTCACGAGTTCGTGCGCGAAGCCGCCCTGTCTTGGGGGTACGGACTTCGCGTACAAATGCGTTTGCTTGGTTGTGGGGTTGAATGATCGTCTGTGGTGGTAGCAGTAGCGCTAACCCTACACGTCAAGACGACACCAAGAGCATTCACTGCGTCAAGCAGCGAGAAGGACTGGGCACAATGGCTCTTCGAACACTTTTGTGACATGTGCTGCCGCCGATCTCCAGAGGCTTACGAAGCTCATCCCTCCTTCTAGGCACGATCCGCTTCGACTTCCGCCTCGGGCGCTCAACCCTTCTTGACATCTCGTCTGGCAGCTTATGGAGCTACCGGAGCAGCTGTCGGAACAGTGGCGTGGTACGCTCAGGTCTTTGGTGGTGGAATTCCCGGTATCGGCGAGATGTCGGCCAACATGATCGACGAAGGTCTTCACCCGCCTGCTTACCCGTGGAGCCACAAGGGCGTGTTTGAGACTTTTGATCACTCCAGGTGAGCTTCGAGCGCTGTCGCTGCCGGTGCTGCTACGGAGTTGGTCGGATTGGATTTGCAGCCAGCCATGACTCGGCGAGGCTGGCAGTGAAGCCTGGTCCGCCATTGCCCATGTTGCTTTCCCGGATGCTGTTGCCAGCATGCTCTCGTGAGCCGCGCGCTAAGACTGCAGCCCTCCGCCCTTTGCCGCCCTTTAGCATTCGCCGCGGTTACCAGGTATACCGTGAGGTTTGCTCTTCGTGCCACTCGCTTGACCGCATCAACTGGCGAAACCTGGTTGGCGTCTCTCACACCGTCGATGAGGTAAAGGCGATGGCTGAAGAGGTCGAGTACGAGGGAGAGCCCAACGACGAAGGAGAAATCGGTATGAGGCCAGGAAAGTTGGCCGACCCCATGCCAGCACCCTACCCCAACGAGGAAGCTGCGCGAGCGGGAAACAACGGAGGTCTGCCTCCTGATCTCAGCTTGATCACCAAGGCTCGTCACGGTGGTGCAGACTACGTCTTTGCTCTTTTGACCGGTTACGTCGACCCTCCTGCAGGCTTTGACGTTCCCGAGGGTCTCAACTTCAACCCTTACTTTCCGGGTACAAAGATTGCCATGGCGCGAGTGCTGTATGACGGTCTGGTAGAGTACGAGGATGGCACACCTGCAACGACTACCCAGATGGCAAAGGATGTCGTAACTTTCCTCAACTGGTCATCCGAACCCGAACACGACGAGAGAAAGAGGATGGGAGCTCAAGCCGTGACAATCTTGACCGTCCTCTTTGCCATGTCCATCTGGGTGAAGAGGTTCAAGTGGGCAGGCATCAAGAACCGCAAACTCCACTATACTCCTCCTTCCGGCCACTAGATTTACACCTCGCCTTTGTACGCTAGGAACGAAGCGATTCGTCCTTTGCGTCTTTGTAGGGAGAGGAGCTGGGCAGTCTGCTGAGCGAAGAATCAATTGCGCCTCTGGAGAGACCCTCAAGAGCCGAGCAATTGAACCATGCTTTCTCGTTCTACCCCTCATCCTCTACGCCCTGAACCATGTCTCGCACATGTCCGCCCACACGTCATCTGTATCCGCATCGTGAGAGCAAGTTTCACACTGGCTCAATTCAATCCAAAAAATTCTCTTCGTCTTGCAACATGGTCGCACGCTCTTCACGTACTTTTGCCGTTGTGCGCGTGCGTGCGTGCGTGCGTGCGTGCGTGCTTGCTCCAGCGCTATACGCACAAGCATTCACGCAGGGGGCCCTACACGCGTAAGAAAAGTCAGGGCGAGTCGAGATTGGAAGGCGCATTGTGGCCAGGTGTTGCATTCCAGTCAAAGTGCCTGTATTGGAACATCATAACAATAGCAGTAGCGTGCACAACTTTCACACCGCACAGAGTTTTACCGCTTCGGAGCGTCATTAGCATCCTCTACGCTCAAAAGCTTTCTGAACAGTTCCAGCTCTTCCCTTTTGATCTTGTAGCCTTCCACATCTTCGTTTGGAAAGTCACGATTCCTGACAGCTGCGACGTAAGCTCGAACAGCTGCGATCCTAATGGAGCCAAGCGTCGCTCCACCAGTGGCTTGCGCCGCAAAGTTGCGCACGAATTTGGGTGGACGAGGAGTCTCGGCGTGGGGAAGCGGCAGGGGCATGTTTGACGAATGGTCAGAGGTCGGCTCTCCAAGACCAGCAAGCACGTGAGCCGGACCTGTCAGATCGCCAAGGATATCGTTGATCACGAGCACTTGTCCATCCGTTGCTGGTCCAGCTCCTATGCCGATCGTAGCAAAACCGACTCTTTCGCTGATTTCCTTGGCCACCTTGTTCGGCACGCATTCCACCACTCCGGCGAAACAGCCAGCTCTGTCTAGCGCTCGAGCATCTCTGACGATGCTGATCGCCTGCTCCGCAGTCCTTCCTCTCAGCGTCAAACCTGACAATGCGGCTGCTCGTTGAGGTTGAAGTCCTATATGCGCCATCACTGGAATGCCAAAATCTGTCAAGCGCTCGACTAGAGGCACGATTTCTTGTCCTCCTTCTATCTTGACCCCATCCGCTCCACCTTCCTTGATCAGCGCCAGCGCATTCTTCACTCCCTCTTCAACACTCGCAAAGAAGGATCCAAATGGCATGTCGGCGATGACAAGAGGAAGAGCTGGTCTGCCCTCGCCCGACAAGAGGGGCGAAGAGAGTCCTCGAACGACAGTCTGGATGTGGTGCACCATCGCTGGGACTGATAAGCGTTGCGTCGATCCATGGCCAAGTCCCACGTTGGCCAGCGAGTCGCCGATCAGACAAATGTCAATATCGGCCGAGCGATGCGCTAGTGCGGTTGGATAATCATACGCCGTAAGGACAGTTCTGAATTGTACCCCGCAGAGGCGTCAGCAGTGGGTTGCCTCGGAGTATGGGATGTATGCTTCGGTTCATCACTCACATCGCTTGTCCGCGCCGCTTCATCTCGGCAATGTAATGCACAGTCTTGGGCGGAGGTGCTGAGACGGTTCGAGCGCCCTCGGATCTTCTGTGCGTATCCGACTGCGCAATGCTAGCGCTCACAGAGGCTGGTGATGGGTACATCGATGCGGAACCTGTATTCCTGTGCGCAGCTCCGACTTTCGCAGGAGGACCGGCTTGCCATTGCGGCTCATCTTCGGGCTGAGCAGTCCCAGCAGGCCAGAAGCTCGAGCTGGACGAGCTGGTGCTAAAGTCCTTTCGATTCGCACCACGGCGTGGACAAAGACTGGCGGCATGATCGCTGTGAAAACTCCTTTTGGCTCCACATCGAGTCGTTGCCGAGTGAGTCTGGGCGATGGGAGCGTTGCGAGTAGCGGACAAGGTGATGCAGGATCCGCTGGCTGCTGCGTTGCTCGAGGTGGATGCGGCGCTCTGTTCGCCGAGCCATCGGAGAGCGGCCCTTGAAGCTCTTTGAGAGGTTGACATTTCTGGAAGGGTGTCCGACCAGATGTGTTGGTCGTGTGCGCACTACCGATCCGATCCGTGATTGTGGTGGACAACACCACGACTTGCCTGCTGACCCCCGCAAGTGGATGTGAAGACGAAGAGGTGGAGGCGGTGGAAATGGAAGCTAATACTCTTGACTGTTGCTCTTGGGCGCGGCTTTTTTTCGCGGCGGGCAGAGGCTGCAGCAGGAATAGTTAATTGACGTTGGACGCGTCGGAGTGGGGGGCAGGGGATCGACACGCGCTACTACTGCTGTCTTGGGTGCCGACGATACTTGGGCAATCGCTAGTCAGAGTCTGTTTGAAATCGAATCACGATGCAACTAATAATGTCATATCGTGGGCCAGTCGAGTGTGAGCTGTGAGCGCAATCGACGCGGCATGCCAAGCTCGGTGTTGATCGGACTTTCTGGTGACTGACTGCGTGTTGACAAGCAATCACCATCGTGAACTATGTGGGAGCGACTGGTGCAAATCCCAACGCTACGGCGCGCTGCTTTAGCTTTATCACGCATTCAAGCCAAGTGGAACGCCGAGCTACAAGTCAGCTCATAGCGAGTCATATCAAGCTGATCGAGCAGCAGCGAGCCTCACCGGCTCCAAACTTGCCGGTGCTTGCCGTTCGTTGGTCGAGTCAGAGACGTCGCGCGCGCGGAGAACGGCATTTTGACGTGATTTGAATTCATGCTTGAACACCGATGAAGTCGGCGGGTCGGGAGTGCGTGACTTTAACACCGTTCATCATCATCATCCAAATGTCTGTCTGTAATTGACTCGATCAGCACACTCGAAGGACGCTGCTGATGACGCCTGCTATGATGCATGCTCAGCTGACTGCGTGGAAATGCATGTTGAGCGTCCCACTCCAGCAGCGTCCGCTCGAACCAGATTCGCGGGGCGCGGACTCGTGACTTGCGGGGCGCGCGCCCTCGCGGCGTTTCCTCCGTACGACCGCGCGGATTGTGTTTGCAGCGCGGCGCTCGTCCACTCGATGCGTGCAAGACTTCACAAAGACGATCGCAAACATGCCGTCGAGACTTACGAAGCTGCTTCAACAATTGCCACAGGTTGCGCATTGATGAGACCAGGGCCGCCGGGCGCAAAGACGGGGGCTATGTATTGTACTATACAAATGTGTGCTGTGGTGGATTGGAGCGGATGCGAGGCCATGCCGGAGATGGTGCAGTAACGGGAAGATATGTTGTTGGGCGTCTCGAAGCATCGGTCAAGGTGCTTTGCAAGCTATGCCTGTACACCAGCGGTGGGCGCGGACTCTGGCTTGTAGTCTTGGAGCTGCGTTGACAAGAGAAAGTTCTCGTCACGAAGGATCTAAAGGGGGCCAGAGTGAGCGCGCGTGCCACCTGTCGCTTCGAAATCAGCAACGCTCACCGTTGTCCAGCTATCGATGATGCCGTCGGTATAGCGAGCAGAAAACGAAAGTCTGCGTGGCGTTTTTGGGCATCAGCGATCGCGATCCGGGCGTTAGCAAAAGGCATGCGTGGCTCACGAGAGACCAGTCATGAGACCGATGTTTGCAATGCGAAGCATCTGCGCTTCGCTGCCGACGACTCCCAAAACGTTTGTCAGGGTAACAACGACGAGGATAGGCACCACGATGAAGCTCGTGAGCGAAGCAATCACGGGCAGAAAGACGTGGATCGTGGCATGTCTAGGTCGTGGTCTCCGAACGCCAGAGGCTTGGAGCTAGAGGTGGCGAGAGGGGGTGGCGAAGAGTACGTGCCGTCAGCCACGAGCAAGCGGTAGGCGTTAGAAGTGTGTGCGAAAGTGGCTCACCGTATCCACCGAGGTCAAAAAGTCACGGACAAGAGACCGAAAACCTGGAGTCGCTTCGCCTTGCCGCTGGTGCAGCAGGAGCACGCAACGTAGTCCAAAAACGGCAATCCTTTGCTGTAATAGCCCAGTAGCCCATGCATACGCTAGCGAGTGCTCCGATAGCTTGTGCATGCGCAACGTCGAGCCAATGTAGATGTCAATGACCAGACCAAGCAGAGTCGGCGTGATGATGCCAAACTTGGCAGTCGAAGGCTTGGCCTCGTCAGCATTGCTCGCAGCAGGCACGCGCTCTGAATGGTCACTCACAGCTACGATGATCCAGAGACGACTTGCCGCACGCTGGGCGATCGTGCTTGCTCGTGAGAGGAACGGCCGCCAACGGAATGTGCCAGCCCGGCGCCGACGCGCGCATCGGGCGATTTTCGAACCAAGGATAGTCGCCATGGTGCAAAGCGCTAGTCCGAGCGAATAAGTGTAAAAGTCGTGCAGAGGAGCAAGTCCTGTCCGAGAGACGACCGCTCGGCCGGCGTGGAGCGGTAGGGTGAGGCTGATGACGATGCAGACACAGATCGTTATCCACAGCGTGGACAAGACCGAGATGAGGCGATAGCGGAAGCGCGTAGGGAGCTTGAGTTTGAGATACTTGGGCTTGACGGTCATCGGTTCGGCGGCACGAGCTTGCGCGTCTCTGGCTGCGCGGCCTGCTTCCGTCAGCGGCTCGCCCTCGGCGTCAGTCCAAATCAAAAGCGGACCAGGAACCATGGTGTCGCTGTCCGGCACTCGGGCCCAGACCCCATCCGCGATCGGTTCTGCGTCTTCCTGCGCCCCAACGAGGTACTGCCCGAGACCATAGTAGGTGGAGGTTGCCGTCCACCATTTTTTGGCATACGTCTTGAAAATCGCTTCCGGCTTGCACGCCTTTACTACCGGCTTGAGGAGAAAGAGGAGTGCGAGAAGGTCAAAGGGCAGCGGCGAAATGGCCTCATGAGGGCGCCACATCAACGGCAAGAAGCCGCGAAGACAGTAGCGCGTAAAGTAGACGGCGCATCCGACCGTAGACGAAAGCACCGTCGCGTAGAGACATGCGGAAATGCCAATCTTTTTGAGCTGGAGGAAACTGCGGCGCTCGATGATTTCGCGCTGGCATTGCGAGGGTGTCAGTATTCTACGTCCAGAGATGCGCGCGCCTTCCACATCACACGTACAATGGGTTGAAAAGCTGGATCGTCGCCGTTGCGAATCCAGCACATGACGCCAGGACGCAGCATGGATCGAGTGGTGCTGATGAATTGGGCGAATACGTACCTGTTGCAGAACAAAATTAGCAGCACGTCGGACGCGAGGCCTCGCAGACACTCACATCCACAGCGTGCCTGCGACCCAAGTAGTGAAGCCGATGGAGAAAGGAGCGCTTTGAAAATGCCTCCAGCGAGTGACCATCGTGACGCCTTCCCACAAAGGCATGGTGCAAAGGTCCAAGAGCACGCCACATCCTAGAGGGAAGCATACAACTTCGATGACGGTAAAGAGAATGACTTTCAAGAGGAGCAGTTGTTGGTCCAGATGCCTCTTGAGCCACTTGGCGTTGAAGCGCGAAAAGGCTGCAGAGTCGATGTATGATTGCAGTGTGATGAGGCCGAGCCAATGAAGCCAGCCTACGAGGACGCAGAACAGTCGGTCTGAGAGACTGTCGCCTTGAGTCTTGGCTTGGAGTCTGGTGTAGATGCGAATTACGGCGGCGGTGATGGTGAAGAGCACGGATTCGATGGCTGAATCTGCTCGGAAGGGCAAGACGTCGCCGACGAGTTGGCCAACTTTCTCCATGCTTTGCTTTACCTTGGCGGGCATGCTGAAGCGCAGAGGTAGATTTTGCGATTGCAGAATAGCTGCTGGTGCTCTGCGGGTCAGATGACTTGCCCGACTTGCCACCTCGGAAATCCAGTCGCCGATTTCAGAGGTGGTCCTCGCTGTTGGCTTCTCTTGCGCGACACTGGCAAGATGTCTGGTAGCCCTTGCGATGATAAAGTCGAAGAGCGGGTCTGTGATCTTTCTCACTAGATGGATAGGGTATGCTATCATGTGAACCAGGTTAACACCTAGCGCAGTGGTGCGACCAACCACCTGCGTGACGGTAAGTGCGGCGTCAGCACCACGCAGCACCACACAGCGTGCATTTGCTCAACACACTCACGAATGGGACTCCGACAAAGATCATGAGCACAAAGCTGAACGGAGTGTGGACAAGATCAGGTATTCGCTCCGCACGCGAGTCTCGCTGCAGGACCTCACCTGCACAGGACCAGCATCATCGCAACATTGCCTGCAAGCGTCGCCAATGGGCCACGCATACCGATCGCTAGAGCAAGCGCAGGTGCGGTAAGAAAAAGCAAAGACGTACGCGTCGCGCAACTCACCTTCCATGATGCCTTCCAAGTCCTCGTCAAGTGGGATGCCATCCGCGTCGTTGTCTTCGACGTCCTCCCACACGTCGACATTTAGAGCTGCACCAAGTCCCAGTCCTGCATCGACCCCAGCGTTGGCGTTCGCGAGGGGCGCTGCAGCTCCAAGATCAGGGACCTGCTCCTGGGGCGCCGCATCTTCTGGCGCGTCGTGTTGTGCAACGCGGGCAGAGTCTTCCGAGATGCTGGCACGGTGAGTAGATGCGGCACTGCAAGCGAGAGAATCGCCCACATCGGCAGCTTTTGACGACGAGTCGGTAGAGTTGCCATCGTGAAAAACGTCAGACTCGCTCGCATCGACGGGGAATGAAGGTTGCGAGCCGTCGTTGTGGTTGCTGATCAGATTCGCAGAGGGCGACGAGACGTCATCAAGGCTCGCTCTGCCTTTGCCTTTGTTCGGTAGGTCTTCGTTGCCAGAGCTCACGACGTCCGCATCTTCTGGAAACGCGCTCCTTGCCGAAGTACTGCTAGCGCTGGATACTTGCCACTCATCGCTCCGAGTGTCGGGTCGCGCGCGCGTCGGTGCTGCTCGCGCACCTCGCGTCTCATCCAAGCTAGCCACGCCGGCCTCGAAGCTGTCCTTTGGAGTGCTGGTGACAGAACGGTCCTCTGCAGGCTCGGCGGAAGTCGAAGGTTGAGCTTGAGCTCCTTCGCTGGTCGGCATGAAGCGCCTCAAGCGCAGAGCGCGCGCTCGCAGCAAATCGTCTGCAGGGTCCCCCGTGTCTTCTGGGCTAGAGTGAGAGGTGGGACCTGGGCTGCTGCTAGATGCTGAATGTCGACCATCGTCGATAGGGGACTCGGGTTGCCGTGCAGCCTCTTCTCCGCCATTTCCTGCTCTCTGGTGCGCGTCATTGCCACGAGCTCTGGCCGCAAGCGCCATCGCAACAGCTTGGGCTCTTCGGCGTTCCAAAGCTTCGGCAGTCGGCATGCCATCGGCCCCTACCTCCGGTTGCCCCACTGCTTCGTTTTGCGCGGCCCCGTCGATGGCTCCGCGGATGGGCCCGCGAGGTGGGGGAACGCGCTCCACCATTCCTTCGGCTAGACGGAGTTGCCTAAGCAGTTCTTGGCGAGCTCGATGTTCGTCCGGTGCACCTGCAATAGGTGCTTGCGCAGGCGCTGCTACATCGGCCAACTCCTCAATGGGCTGCGCAGGTGTGTGCTGCATCACCCACTCTCTGAAGAGAAAGACGGCGACGCTGAAAAGAGGGGATGGGGAATCCGATCAGCGGAGGATGGGTCTGTGATTTGGGAGCACCAAAGACGAGCATCACAGACGAGCACCAAAGACGAGCACCAAAGACGAACACCACAGACGAGCACCACAGACGAGCAGCAAAGACTCACAAGATGACCACAACCACGCAAGTCAGCAATTGCCCCTCAAAGGTGTCGCGCGCTAGAACCCTGAAGCGGCCTCGCAGTGGTTGTCAGCGTTTGCGTCACAAGTCCGGCCTTGCCCCCATCCCACTCACCTCATCATCGCGGCAAAGTGAGGTTTGCTGGCTTTGATGTGCGCGCGAACACCATCAAAGAAGCTCTTAGCAAGCGCTGCCATCGTGAAGCGAGGGGCTACGACAGAGGTGCCGTAAGCGCGCGTGACGTTTGCGAGCTCTAGGCGGAGCTCCGTAATGTTGGCTGTGAATTGATCAGCGAGCTCCTTTAGGGCTGCTGGGCTGATTGTGGTCGCATTGGTGATGTTCCTACGAACGACTGCCTGCCTGGCAGGAGGCGCCTCCAGCAGCACCCTCCAAGGAGCAGCTTCCCCACCGACAAAGCACCAAGCGATGGCATCTCCCAGCCAAAAGTATGCCCTCCAGGTGTAGATGTTTGCGAGCGGTAGAAACGCCAGCCATGCCAAAGCGACTAGCAGAGCTCGAGACGTTGTGCGTACAAATGTGAGGATGCTTCGCAGAGCTTGCTTGACGTACAGTCGGGTGGGCAGCTTGCTCGGCATGCTCGGCGAGTATCGCTTGTGAAAAGCGAATGCATGGCCGCACAGCTCGCAGTGCTGTGGAGAAAGAGTGGATCATTATCGTGTCAGAAGGAGGCGATCGCCCAGCCATGCACGCACCGCTCACCTTCTTTTTAGAGTGATGCAGCCATTCGACCAGACAATCCGAGTGAACATATTGTATGCTGCCGCTGCACTTGCAAGGATGAAAGAGCGGAGCATCCTCCTCTGCCCCGCTCCTGCATATCCTACAAGTTTGCTCCTCCGTAGTGTCCGACATCTTCTACAGCGAGCTCGAGTGCGGCGATACAAATGTTGGTAGCGGGCAGGTGATGGTGTGGAGCGTCACAGCGACGGTAGCCCGCGAGCCGAGCTCAAGATGCGATGATCATCACGCGGCTTCTGCGCGTCAAATTCGCTCGATCGATCGATCGCTTTCGCGCGCGCAGCAACGCCGCCGCGACCAACAGTCACGAGTCACGAGTCACGAGTGCTCCTCGCACGTGCATTCACATTCAAGATTCGCGAGTGATGAATTCGCAAAAACGACTTGACTGCCTCCCCGTCTCGATCTGCATCTGCGACCACCGTTGCGATGGCCATGACTGCAACACTCGGAGCGCAACGTGAAGCGCGGCGTGTAGATCACAAAGCACCCACTCACGACTTTCGGTGACGCGATGAAGCGCGATCCCGACCGAGCTTCAGACTTGGTGGAGAAACTCATTGGCGAGAGACCGACGCATTGCGCGCGCTTAAAGACGCTCTGGGCAGGCTACGGCACAATCTACTCCGTCACGCTCAAGCGCGGCCCATCCTTGATCCTCAAGCACATTGATCCACCAGACATTTTGGGAGAAGATCACGACGAGTCCGACGCACGCAAGCTCCTGTCGTACGCAGTCGAGGAGCACTTTTACTCGCGCTTGTCCAACAGGCTCCCCGCGCAATGCCCAGTCCCAAAATACATCGCCTCTTGCAAAGACGGCGAGAGGGGCTTGGCGCTTCTCATGCAGAACGTCAAACAGGACTATCCGATCTTGGCCGAAGCTCGCGGCGAGCTGACGGAAGAGCAGACGATGCAAGCGATACACTGGCTGGCGCGCTTTCACCAACACTTTGAGCATCATCAGGACGCAGAGCCATGTCCCACACCCGCAGCTGCATCTCAATGGTGCGGAGGGGGCGTGTGGAAGAGGGGTGGCTACAGGTGAGCGAGCTTTGTGTTGCGTCCACTCTGACTGTGCCCAGCTCACGTGGGCTACAGGTGAGCGGGGTCTATGTTGCGTCCTCTGTGCTCAGCTCACGTGGCGTTGATCTCGAACAGCTACCTATCGACTCGCTTAGAGGAGCTCGCGGCAATCCCGGCGTCGAGCGAATGGGCGGTGTTCAGGGACACTGGCCTAGCGGAAGCCCTGGACAATTTCCTCTCTGCTCCCGATCAAGTCGGCCGCACGTTGCTCCACGGAGACGTCAAGGCTGCCAATCTCGCTTTCAAGCATCCCAAAGATGCAGCTCAGGATCCATCAGGTGGCGTGCTCGCATACGACTTCCAGTACACAGGTTTCTCGTTGGGCGTGACGGATCTGGCAAAATTCCTGCAGTCCTCCGTGCCGAGCGGACTGCTCTCACCGGGCAACGAGGAGAGGGTCTTGCGCAAGTACCATGAACTGCGAGGTGGGGAAGCTTGGCTACCTTGGCCATTGTTCTGGGAGCAGTGGGAGGTGGCCATACTGGATTGGGCAAGGTTCATGGCGGGTTGGGGCTGGTGGGGGAACGAGAGATGGCTGAAACAGCGTGCTCGCGAGCTGCTGCGCCGACCCGGCTGGCAGGCAGACTTCTTGAAGAAGTGGGCATCTTGATCGAGCTCAAGCACTGCAAATCAGATAGGTCCTGCCGACTTCCTCTCGAGTTTGTGGGCTAAAGAAAGCTTTCTGAGATTGCTTTCTGTTCTAGGTGGTAAGAAGGCCAATTCTCCTGGCGCTCTCGCGCCTGTCTTTAGACTTGGGCCTTGCTCCCGGAATCGCGAGCGACGCAAAGCCGAAGTGCTACTGACGCATCGGAGCAACGTCACAATCGCGAGCTACTCTTGAAGCTCGACCATGTTCTACTTGAGCAGATCATCTTCGGCGTCTGCTGGCGGTCGGGGTCAAGGTTCCTTCCACCTCGCCAGCTTGGTTCAGGGTTGCGATAGTCTGGACACATGTCCCTAGATCGCATTTCTTGCCTCATTAGCGTAAGCTCTGCGTCAAGATTCGCCCAGCACTCACAACATCCGAAGCTGACTTTGCCTGTTTCTGCCTTTCGCGTGGTCGGTGCCAATTTTGCCTCTCTTGATTAGGACGAAGGCAACTGTGACACGTGTGCGGTCTACATCCAAAACTTGCAATCAGGTACATCGCCATCTTTCACATCAACCACTGGGAGATCACACATTGCGGACCATCTGGCTCATTCTACTGCTTTGAATGCAGAGCCAAGGGTCCTTCTGCAAAAGAATTAGCTGCATAAGCTGGCGGTCAGGCAAGAGTAGCCTGATCTAGGCTTCTTAATCTACACAATAAGATTCACGTGATTCGTGATTCGTGATTCGATTCACGATTCATCAGATTCGTGATCTCGTACAGCGACGCCGATTTGTGCGCAGAGAGCGCCTAGGCCCGCATGGTGCAAAGGTGGAGGGGTGAACGATCGCAATAATCACGAATCGTGAGGACTTGCAAGAGCAGGGATCTTTCCCCTTCCCGCCTCGTGCATGCCACTTAACTTGTGTGCGTCCACATAGTTTGCCTCATCGCGAATCGGCGCCTTGTAAATGAAGCAGACGATGAGCACGTGATGCTCTCACACACGCATCCATTTGCGTATATATAGTCTTGAGTCGTGAGTGATGTATCAGAGTCGCCCTCATTTGTGATTCCATATCATGAAAATCACGCGCATCATCTATTGGCGACAGCAGTGTGAGTCTGATAAACGAATTCTGCTCTATATGTAATCAGCAAGACTCTTGAGGGAGCACATGTGAATCAGAAATTAGTCTTGGATCAATCAGTCACAGTGCGCGGTCGAAAGTCCGTGTAAAAGCTGCGCCTGGAGCCGCAACGCGGTCGCCCGCATCTCACAGGTGTCACCACTACATTGAAGCACCCGTGCTAGAGCCAAGACGTCATCACATCACTGAGCTCAATCCGTCGACAGTCGTGAAGTTCGTATTCCAATGTGCGTTTCAAGCCGTTTGTGAAATTTGGCAAGGCGCACGCGACGTCAGGCAACGAAGCTCGTAAAACGTAAAGAACATGTGAACGGTGGTACAAAGATGCGTAGCACAGGTCTCGGGCAAAGGTCTCTCTTCGAGCCGTAAAGGGACGTGAGCGCTGTGATCTCTTCGGGGTATGGACGGACTAGAAGCGCCGTCGAGATGCAACAGAAATTGCACGGTCGTTTATGCAAGTTCTTTTTTCTCCGAGCCCGGAGACTCGGGAGTCTGAGGACCGGCATTGGGTGCCTTACCAGCGTCGACGGTGAGGTCTCCACGGGCAACCGCCTGAGCGAGATCGTCGGCTCTGTGAACGTCGTTGAGCACTTGGGAGCTTCGCCAGGCTGGAACGTTGGACTCGAATATCGCTGCGATTTCCTCCAGTGTCTTTCCCTTTGTCTCGGGGAATGCCAAAAAGACGTGAATGAACATCATCACGTTGAAGGCAAAGAAGAGGAAGTAGGCGCCCATTGCCCGCAAATTCCTGAAGGCTGGTGGGACGAAGTAGCTCAAAGCAAAGTTGAACATCCAGTTTCCTGCGGCAGATATGGAGCCGGACTTGGCCCTCAGACGTTGGACGGGAACCTCGGAGGGGTAGACCCAAGAGACGGGTCCCCAGGTTGGAGCGTAGGAGGCGACAAAGAGGTAGGTGAATGCGATCATCGCTCTTCCTGACGCGCCTCCAGCCGGCAGTCTCCAGCTGACAGTGTCGGGAAGGTCGGCGTTGATTGCGAGGGAACGGTCGACTGGTCCACCGCAAGTGGCGAGGATGATGCCGTTGATGAGCATGCAGGCACCCATGAGCGCGGCTCCGATGAGGAGCGTGGGACGACGACCCCAACGGTCGAGGTAGATGAGTGCGGGCACGGTCATGACGACGTTGATGGCGTACTGGATGCTCGATGACTTGGTGTTGGACTCTGTATCGGAGATGCCGGCCATTTGGAAGACGTATCTGGGGAGTGCGGATCGGTCGTGTTAGGATGGTGTTCGCGCGTGCGGTTCACGCTAGCACTCACCCAATGTAGTACATCATGACGTTCATGCCGGTCAATTGACTCCAGACTTGGGTGAAGAAGACGAGATGGGTACGGTAAAGTTGACGTCCGCGGAAGAGGTCGAGGTAGCCCGTGCCTTCACCGCTCTCGAGCTGCATGTTCTCCTTGATGAGCTCAAACTCGGCCAGGACCTTGGGGTCGCTAGCATCGCCATTGGCGTGCACAAGAGCGAGAACGTCCAAGGCGTCTTGGTAGCGAGCGTTCTTGGCCAGATAACGAGGGCTTTCGGGTAGAAGAGGGAGCATGCCCATGATGAAGATGGCGGGGATCATTTGAAGTCCCCAGGGAAGTCTCCATGTGATCGTGTTGCGACCGTCTTGGTCTGCGGCGTAAGAGCATCCAAGACTGATGTAGTAGAACACCATGATGCCCCTAGAGAGAGAGAGAGAGGGAGGGAGGGAGACGGAACGAAGGGTAAGCGCTGCACAACCAGGCGTGCAAATCGCATCTCAGCGCCCGCGGCACCGGCGCGCAGTCCCCACGCTCACCAAGTGATGGCCCATTGCTGTGCCGAGACGACGCGACCGCGAATGTGGGAAGGAGACAGCTCGGCGAGGTAGAAGGGGACCGTTGCAGAGGCGATACCGACGCAGATACCATTGATGAAGCGACCGACGACGAGCATACCAATGTTTTGAGCTGCGCAGCTGAGAATAGAGCCTACGAGCCAGAAGCAGCAGGCAATGAAGAGAGCAGCACGCCTTCCGAATCGGTCGGCGAGAGCACCGGCGGAGAGGGCGCCGATGAGACTTCCTCCTGGCATGGCGGCAGTGATGCCGCCTTGCAGAGTAGCGTTAGGACCTTCGGAGATGAGCCATCCTTCCTGACCAGGCTTCAAGCTGGGGTTGACGGCACTGTCACCGTGAAAGTAGACCTGCGGAATGAAAAAAGTCGAGGCAATTGTTGAGTCTGTGCGCGCGTTGTCTCGCGCGACGCCCTACTGACCTTGTAGTTCTCAGTGACGAGGATAGCGCTCATGGACGCAATGTCGAATCCAAAGAGAATGCCGCCAATCTATCGGAGCACGCACGCGACGATCAGCGATGATTCTCACGCTCGTCGCTCGCCGTACTCACGCAAGCAAAGGCGGCGATTGCGTAAGGGCTGCGGATCTTTGGCGTCATGATGGGCGGTGCGGAAGGGGTGGTGCGACGGTTGGAAGGGGAAAGAGAGACTTGACCGGAGTGCGCGCGCCTAGGTCGCTCATCTCGGGACACCCCGACGTGCTCTTTAAGGCTTTTTTGATGCCGTGCCCTGCGCGCGTCGTTGATTCTCCCTTCTCCGCGCGTTGCTGGCCCGCTTACAGATGGGGACAAAGATAGCACACTGTTGAAGTGCATGCAGATCGCAATGGGGGGGCCAACTCCGCGCTCCGCCACACCCGTTGCTATCTTGATCGTGACTGCGTTGGTGCGCGATGCGCCTGCTTTTTCTCCAGCCTAGCTGCAGCACCGCGCTCGACTCCTAGCTCTTCTGTCCTCTGACTGGGTGCCATGCAACTCACGACTGTCTCCTGATGGCACGTCCTCATGCGCAGCTGCAGGCAAACGCCTTATTTTGTGTCGATGGCCCGCAGCAGCAGCAGCAGCAGCGGCGATGAGTGCTTGCATGGTGAGAGCTCATCGGCCGCGCACGAGTTTGACCATCATTTTGCTCGACCGCGTGGTGGAAATGCTGATGTGGACAAAGTTTTGGGCGCTTGCTCAATTAAAGCAGGGGCGGCGCGCGGGTGCACGAAGCGGCAAACTCGCGCAGATATTCCACGAGGTCGCGTGCGTATCTTAATTGCGATGCGCATCAGAAGACAGGTCCGCGAGGGCCAGCTACTGCGACTGCGTGTGTCAGCACGTCTCATCGCAAAATGAGGGGGCCGGCCGCTGACCATTGCTCGGCAGGGCTCGCTCGTCGAAATGTGGGGTAGGCGAACTGGCAGCACGGACCTGTTCAGCTGAATTCCTCTGGCCGGGATGGGAGTAGGTAGGTGCTGTATAGGCGCACGACGTGCGAGTGCGCGGCAGTCGGCGCAACCGCCGAACCTATTCGGCAAAGAGGGAACTACAGTCGTGAGTGTGACTTGTCAAATGTTGCTGATTGTGCTGCTGCTGCTGCGCCGCGCGCGCCACCTTGAGGCTTTTAGAGCGAGGCCGGGGGTCTACGCTAGGAACACCCTAGCGCGATCCGTTAGCGTTAGCTGCAGCACTTGCGCGTTTTAACCTCGGCGCGGGTGCAGCAGCAGCAGCAGCAGCTCTGAGGGTGTTTCCCTGCTCTCTCTTTTGCGCACCGATATGCCGTTCGACCATTGTCACGGTCGGCTTTGCACGGCGATTCGCCACCGGCAAGGCCAGGCAGGCAGGCAGGCAGAAAAATCCAAGCCACATTCGAGAGAGAGCAACCAGCATTTGAACGAGACGGAACGTTCGGACCGACCAGAGTGTGAGTTGCCGCGCGGTCATCCGGCCGAGGCTGATCGCGATCGCGATCGCAATCGCAATCGCCGAGTCACGAGTCACGAGTCAGGAGTGTGTCCAGCCTGTGCGTGCGTGCGCTGCTCTGCTGGATGCGGGCAAGAGCGCCGGCGGCAATTAAGCAAGAACTCGTCGTCTTTTCCCTCCTCTCTGCCCCACTGTTACCCCACATTGAGAAGCCGGAGCCCCTTGCGGTCCGCGACGCGCTGCCAAATTATAGCTCTCGCCGCGCGCGCGGTGACCTTTCATGCCTTCTCGCGCGATGGCGCCTCCCCTTTCGCCTCGCCAGAGCGTGCGGGGAGAAGAGGGCATCGTACGCGCGTTTGCAAAGGCATTCGCGATCCCGCGGTCTCAAAGTTCATGTCATGCATGTATGCAGCATTTTCAAGCATCCCCCCGCCCGGTCTATGGTGTCACTCGCGAATGACATGACGAGTGATCACGCCGGCGCAACACAAAGTAGTCGTGCTGTCACGAATGCATGGGTACGGCCGGCATTGGCGCCGATCCAGCCGCGGGACGCACGGAATGTGTTGCATTCGCATTCGCATCAGCTACGGTCTGCGGTTCCTGCGTTTGTGCTCCCACCTCGAGCATCGCTATACAAGGACAGTCGCGCGTAAAAGGACCGGGGCGGGGAGAGGTGCTCCTCGCCAAGAGCGTCGCTCGGCAACCCCCTTTTGTGCTATGAACACCGCGGGCGATGAATTGACGCCAAGTTGGTTGTAGGCACTACTTTACAAGGTGGCCCGTGCCGCCAAACAGGCTCTTCTTCCTGCTCGTCGTCGATGGACGCAGGAATCAGCACAGACGTTGGCAAGCACGGCCGACCCTGCCTAGACTCACACAAAGGCGTCGCTCAGGAGCATCTCGGCATCCCTGTCGCTCCAATCACCCGTAGGCAAGCTTTGGAGGAACATGATGATGCCTTGGAAATCCATCTTGAGCAGCTCCGAGCTCCACTTGCTCAAAAAGACGCTGCACACGTAGAGGTGGAATTCGGAGAATGCGTCCGGCCCTTCCGCCTACGAAGCAAGAGCGAGGTAGTCAGTCGCAAGAGCGAAGTGGTCGGTCGCAAGAGCGAGGTGGTCAGACCACAACTCTCTCTCTCTCGCACCCCCAATCAGCGCTCGCGAGATGGTCAGCCGACCTCACTCACCAGATACGTGTCCCACATTCGGACGATGTTCCGAACGCTCATCTCTCGCATCAGCAAGCAATTCATCCACCTAAATGCAAACTGCATGTACTCTACACCCTGCTCCTCGAGGTGCGCATGCAGTGGCGGATCGATTCTCGCCACGAGAGCTGCCATCCGACGGACTTGTCTCTGTATGCCAGGTTGAGCAAAGATGTAATTATCCTGAATGCCATCGAGAAGCTTGGATAGACACCAAAACGTGTCCGCCTCCAACGCTTCCAATGCAGCTTCGGGCAGCATGGAAACGTCGTAGCTCTCCGGGTCACCGGCTGCGCACGAAGGGAGACGTCAGCGCGGCGCAAGAGCCACCTTCGCCGCCTCGCTACTCACAGATGTAAGCGCTCAAGAAGACCTCAAAGAAGGGAGTCGCCAAATCATTGATGCCTTGCACGTAGCCACTTGCTGGATGTCGAATGGCCCAAACGTAGAGGATTCTCTCGAGTGCCTGAATCGTGCAGGGGGTGAGCGTGCAGCGTGAGAGTCGTCCAAGCGATGCATGCAGACCTTCCCACTGACCCTCTGCGTCGCCTCTCGCTGCCAGAGGCTGATGCCCGGGTTCGTGCGGGGCACATCGATGCGTATCTGGTGCCAGATTGCCGCGTCCAGTCCCTCGTTGCCTCTTTGAAAAGCGAGCTTTGTACCTTGAGCATACTCTGACCTCTTTCGAGCCAACACGGATGCGCGGTGCGCTTTCGCTGGCGGCAAGTAGCCCTGTCGGGGGAGGTGGCGGTCGCGTCAGCTGCGACGACACCTTGAAGCCAAAAATGCGTCTATAATGCGCCCTCTTTCAGACTCACCAACAAGAGCTGCCATACCATGGGTCTCAGCTCCTCCGGCACGCCTTGCCATGCAAGCGCGCGCAGCTCATCTGCAATGACAATAGAGGGCTTGTCAGCCAGCGTCCATGGCCGATAACGTGCTGCCATTGCTCACCCATGGGCACGGTCTCGCTCGCCAAGCAACGCACGAAGCGCTCTCTCCGTCGCACCGTCCGATGGCTATTTGCTCTAGCAAGGCTCTGCTTCTCCTCGGACAGAGCAACAGCTGCGGACGCTTGAGCGTCTTCTTCCGCGCTCGGGAGATCCGTCTGGGAAGCTCCAAAGCCACCAGAAGCAAAGAGACCATCACCGCCCATACTGACCACGTCCACCTGCTGTCTTCTGCGAGAGGCTCCAGCAGCTGGTGATGCCAAAGGTGCGGCAGACGTGAAACTCGGACCTGCCAGAGCCGTCTCTGGAAGTATTCCGCTGCTTGCGGCCGCAAAGGTGGGTGGTCGCGCAGTGCTCGGTGTGCTGGGCTGCGTCGCAAAGGACAAGGGCGGATGCTTGGCCCAGTCCAGAGAGAGTCCAGCCAGCAGCGCTGTCGGGTCTGCGCGTGGACACGACGCGCGTCAGCTCACGTCGTTGTCCACATTTGACACACTCGCGCATCCCACTCACCCGTCATGACATTCTCCACGTCTCCTCGAAGACATTTCTGCATCTCTTCCCTCTCCTTTGCATTGGCTCTCTTTCCTCTGCCGTGCGCGTGCATACCACCTGCTCCGCTACTGCTTGCCTCGCTGTCCCTCCTGTGCTTCGCCCTCTCCGGCGACAAATCCTGACCTCTCGAGCCAGTGCCGTTGGCCGTAGCCGCTCTATGAATGGCAGCGGCTGCACTCGAGCCGACATCTGTTGGGGGCGATCCCGCGAGACTCCGGTCGCCCGTCCGATCAATTGGCGAATGAGAAGAAGATCGCGAGTCGAGACCATTGGTCGAACCAGTTCTGCTGCTGCTCCGGACTTCTGCCTCATCCACAGGTGAGCTTCGCTCATGCGATCCCACTCGGGAAGGGTCCACCACGGTCCAGCTTCCCACGCTGCTTGGTTGAGCACCGACTGGTGTGGATGTAGATGCGTTCGAAGCTCGTCCATTTGCACTCCTGAAGCTATTCATGCCTGCCGCCGACTGGAACGATCCGCCGCCTGGTCCCTTGCTTCCGGTAGGGATGGGGAAAGGGTGGGGTCTTGCGGGAGGTGCGTGTTTGCCCGTCGTCGTCGGCCGCGTTGGGCTCGACGTATCTTCCTCGCCTTTATCGCGTTGCTGCTGCCCACTATCGATTCGAGGTTTCGTCTCCGCCGTTCTCGTCCCTCTGCCTCTCGCCTCTCTCGACACGAAATCTTCGTCGTCCGAGTCTATTCCCCACGCATCATCTTCCCACGAGCCTCCGCCTCTCCCCTCTCGCCCTCGCGTTTCGGAGTAGGATCGACTAGAAACATTGCTGCTGCTGCTGCTAGAAGGCGGCCATGCTGAACGAGCGTTGGTCTTTGACATGGCTGAGAGCGCGACACGCGTGCGTGCGTGTGCGTGCGTGCGTGCGTGCGTGCGTGATGGGCCAATCTCGAATGCGCAAAAGATGTGTCAAGTGAAAGTCCAAAGCGAAGAAGCGAGATCGAGAGCACGCAAGCTCCAAGACCCGCTCCATTCGTGATTCAGATCGTGATCCAGCTCGACGTCTCTATTATATACACTCATCTGGCACGCACGCAGCCAGCGAACGCGGTGCACAAGCCATGCATGCGCGTGACGCAGGATTTCCTGATTCTGTGGAGCGCACGCAGCCGGGAGGGTCACGTGCTTTCACTGATCACAAGTTGGCGGAATCCGTGCGGAGGCGGTCGGCCATGCAAGCGGATCACAATCGTGAATGATCGTGACTTTACGGCCGTTGAGAAGGCGGATGGCGTGGGTGCTGTCATGCCACCCGATACGCATGCTCCGACATCGCTCTCAAACACCACCACCACTTGACGTCGGGAAGGAAAGGGAGCATAATCATTGCAAGCCTTTGGATCACCATGCCCGCCCCGACAGCATGGCACGCTGGCGAGCTGGCCGCACAAGAGGCGCGTGGTTACGAGGATTACATGATGGAAGGTCCAACGAGATCGATGATCGAAGGTCTTCCAGATCAGATGCGTCCCTTTTTGTCGCAGCTGAGCTTTCTGCCCGTCACCACGTTGGACGAGGACGGCAGACCGTGGGGTTCCATCCTTGCAGGCTCTGAAGGCCAGCTGGCATTCCTGGAACCTTTGGATGACATTGAGCAAGAGTTGCATCAAGGCTCTGTACGCGTCCGTGCATCCATGCCACCTGGCACTCCTGCTTTGCGGGCCATTCGCAGAGCGACGGAGCGCAAAGCAAAAAGCTCGCAAGCGTTTGGCGATCAAGATGTCCTGTGCTCCGCAGTCGGTGTCATGCTCGAGAACCGAAGGCGCAACAAATTCGAAGGCCGCATCGTGGATGTGCAGGCCGACGAGCATCACGCGAACGTGGAATGGACGTGGCAGATGAGCTCGACCTTGGGCAACTGTCCAAAGTGTGAGTAGTCGTCGTCGCTGATGATGTGCGCGCAAGCAAGCTGACCAATGTTCATGTCCGTGCAGACATCAACATTCGACGCATCGTCCCTTCTAGCACGAGACAAGCCCCCGTGCTCGTTGAAGAGAATCTACAACCGCCACTAGGCACACCAATGCCCACGACCCTTTTAGATTTGATCGGCGAAGCGGAAATGTGCTTCCTGCACACGAAGCATTCAGGCTCCTTCGGTGGTTGGAATCCCGATCCAGACCGGTTGGGCTGCAACATCCGCGGTGGACCTCGAGGTTTCCTGCGGTCTTACTTTGACGAGGAAAGAGGACGCACAGCGATCGTCTTGCCAGACTGGAGCGGCAACAGGATGATGCAATCGTACGGCAATGTCACGCACGATGGCCTTGCTAGCTTGTCCATTCCGGTGTGGGGAATGTGCTTGAAATATGGAAGCTGGCCCACCGATGCACTGTACCTGACTGGGCAAGCAGAGGTGTTGGCTGGAGAAGAGGTGCGCAAGCTGATTCGGGGCGTTGCGGGCGCTTTGCGGATTTGGGTAACCGGCTGGGTGTACATCAAGAATGCCTTGCCGCTCGCCGTGGATGCGAGGGAAGCGCATCAGCGCCTGTCCCTTGAAGCTCCTTCACAAGCGCTGAATCATAAGGCGTTGTTGGACGCGTCGCTGCTTTGGTCGCCCTACAACCCACCGGTCCGACTGCTCGCCAGCGAGAAACCATCACTGATGGCAGACGATGCGCCCCTCGCCACCCTCATCAAAGTCCGATTCGCTTCGGACGTTTTAGCTACCTTTACCTGGAGCGTCGACAGCAAGCATGCGAGCACGTGGGCCGCAGGCCGTCACATCGTCCTGGACGCGCACGCAGCGTTGGATTCCAGAGTGACGCAGTATCAGCACATGTCGTTCAGCAAGGGCGGCGAAAAAGATCTGAACGATGATGGCGTTCGAAGCTGGACCATCACCGCTTGCAGGCCGGGTGCAGAGCAAGGCGCCACAGAGCTTGACGTCACGCTTCGAAGGGTGCCTAGAGGAGGTGTGACTCCAGGATTGTTCCACCGCGGCAAGATTCTGAACTCTGACATTAGCGTGCAGTCTCCACCGCCGTTGCTGAAGCTGCCACTGATGGGTATAGAAGGCCAAGTCATCCTACCTCTGGCTAGCCAGACCGCGTCGGATCGCGCATCACCCCTCGTGCTCACCTATCTTGTCGCAGGCATAGGCTTCACACCTCTTTTGGCCCACCTTTCACACCTAAGATCACCTATAGGGAATCAGCCCGCAGAGGTGCTGGTCGTTTTGGCGACTCGTGCGACCGAGGCTGCACCGCTACTCGACTTGCTGTATGGCACCTTGGCGCTTGCCGCCCCCAGTCACCCTCTCGTGGTCACCATCCACCTCCTATTGGCTTTCGCAGAGGACGAGGAGCGCAATTTGGACCTGCCCGAACCTCCTACAGCCGAGATGCTCTCTCTGGATCTCCATCTTTACGCCTCTGCGCGACTGACAGCCACCTCTCTGAAGCATCCGGCTATCCCCATCGCAACGACCGACGATTCGACGCGACACCGTCCCTTTTTGCTCCCGCGCGACGATGTCAAGAAGGTCAAGCAGAGCGATCTCATCGTCGTCTGTGGCGCTCCTCGATTCGACAGCGTGGCCAAGCTCGCTCTCACCAAGGCGGGAGTCGAAGCGGGCTCGATCAAATCTGAAAGCTTTGCATTTTGATCATCGATTTCGCTCCTCGTGCATTCCCCTTCCTCTTACCGTCTCATCGCATCATCGTTGCTCGCGCAGTTTCGTTCTGTGTAATGTATTTGACTGTACGAAATCGCATTGTTCTTCAGAGCTCGACGTGTCTGCTTTCCACTGATGCGCTCATCCAGCGCGCCGGTAGAAGCTGATGTGGGTTCCGTAAATGAGCTATCGCGAGGCGCGAAATGGCGAAAGTGTTCAGCAGTCAGCAAGCGTTGAGACCAATCAGCTTCGCTCTCGCTCACCTCAATGTCGTGATCCCACGGCAAAAGGAATTGTTGTGCCTCTTCCGAGCTGACGAATTGAACCTCCTTGCCGAGCTTCTTGGCTGCATCGGCCTTTGCCTGCTGCAGCCTAGCTTCCTCCATCCAGCCCTCCACCAAAGCCTCGGCCTCGTCGGGTCTCTCCGCCTTGAGCTTGACATACCCGCTCGAGCTCTTGAACATATCTACGATTTGCCTCAGCTTCCCCTTCTTGCGCAAGAGTGTTGGCAGACCGCTTTTTTGAACCTCAGAGTCGGACTTGGACAGGTCCAGAGCGGAAAAGTATGGCGAGAGGGTAGATGTGACCCAAGATGGAGCTGCAGATGGAGGCGCGGTCGATGTAAAGATGGATGGGTCTATGTCTTGCTTCAGGCTAAAGGTTCGCGATTCGTCCCAGGCCGGTGCCCGAGGAGGCGGAATCATGTCGTAGCAGCTCCTTACAATTTGGACGGGCGCTTGGGGGTTGTCCTGGCAAGGATCAGAAGAGCGGCGGTCGACGTCAAATCATGCGAGGACCTTGCAAAGAAATTTGTCATCGCACGCACGCACCAGGTCATAGTATTTGCCCAGCCTGTCTGGATGCTGGGACAATGACTCGACGCAGTACTTGTTGAATACTTCCAAACCCGCTGCTGCTGCCACCATGTAACCTCTGAGGTGAAGGAGCGAGGCGTCGCAGAGTAAGCAGGGGCTGGTCGCCAACAGCTCTGGTGTCGTGCAACTCACACAAAGACCACACTACCACCAGGCCTCAAGACTCTTTCCAACTCCCTCCACACTCTTTCACCATTCGGCTCCGCGAACCAGTCGAACCAGTGAGCTACGGCGGCTCCTACGACGAGATCCACGCTCTGATCCTCCACACCTTTTAGATGCTCCACCGACGCCGTCAAGAATTGCAGCGTGTGATCAGGGGGAACAGCTTGGCCTTTCATCGCTTCCAGATCCGTGCTGGGGTTGATGGACTTGGCTTGAGCCAGCATGGAGCTGGATGGATCGCTAGCTATCACATGCTTGAAACGCAACGTCAGAGGGTAGGCTAGCAGACCTGGACCCGTTCCCAGGTCTAGTGCGCGTTCGAATCGTGCTGTTGACCCCGAGTGAGAGTGGAAAGCGTAGATGAGATCAAAGATGGGTTCGGGATACTGTGGTCGGGCTTTGAAGTAGGCTTGGGCATCGAACCCTGATGCTGAAAAGGCCGCCATGGTCTGCCTCGCGTGTGGTGTGCCGCTATGAGGACAGAGTGGAGTGCGCATTCATCGCCGCACTATCGACATGACGACTTGTGTGCCTCTATATACAGCGCCTGACGTTCCCGTTGGTGAGGATGAGAGCCTCGTGGGGAAGGTATTCGTGATTGATTGCCTTGCTTCGAACGGCGCCAAGGATTTGTGCATTGCAGCTATAGCAGCACAGCTAGGCCGGCGGTACACGCTATCCGTGAGTGGACGAAGCTAAACAATCAAAACTACCGCGCCGTCAGCACGAGCACGCACACCTCGGAAATCTTCGGCCCACCCAAGCAGCCGATGACGACCGAGCGAGCACGGACCGCATGAATGCAGTGAATGCTAGGCGATGGCAGCAGAAAGGTGATCGAACGCTTCCTTGCTGCGTTTGCGTGTCCAGAGAGCTGATTGATGAGGTGCCCAGCATGTCCTATTGGCTGTGAAACGATCTGCTTCGTCGTGAAGGCTTAGCAATCGCTCGATCGAATCAAGGTAATTCACCATTGGTGTGCCGCGTCGACGCTTTTGTGTAGGCGGCTTGCCGCGGAAAGGCGGGGCGCGCGTTGCAATCAGAATCCACATGATCGCGCGAGTCGCGGCGGGAAACGCTGACGTGAATGAATTGAATGAATGGAATCTGAATCTTGAATGTGAATGTGAATCTTTGTCGAATATGCATGACCGTGCAGCAAGCCTGCCGCGATCGAGACGTACCATCATGCGCGCGTCATCATTCGCGCGTCCGCCGGAAAGCGGAGCGTCCAAGCTGCGAAGGTCAGCTCTGGCAACCACGAACCTTGCAGCAGGAACAATCACAACCCGGCGCGTGAGTGGCTTGGCCTTGACGACAGCGCGAGTATAGGTAACATGTCACCTTACGGTCATGTCACGACCACGCATCGGCGGCGACGTCGCTCGTAACGTAGAGTCCATCATCGCTCCTCAAGAAGTTAAAACACGGCGCTGCTGAACTCTTTGCACATTGCTCCCTGCGTGCGGTCCGCCCCATCTGCGCACTCGCGACTCGCAAGCAGGGCCATGAGCTCCCGTCTTGCTCACCACTCCGGTATCGCAACGACTTTCAGAGCGCATCTCGCATCAGCTCTCCTTTCGAATCAGCGCATCATCACAATGACAGCTCGATCCACTAGCACCAAGGCGAGCGGAGTGGTGTCCACCTCTCTACCCATCTCCGCCCCTCCCTTTTACGCTTCCAAGCCTCACCATGTGCAGCCCTCTTCATCAGGCTTGCCCAAATCCTTCGTCTCGCCTTGGAAATCTGCTGCGAATCACCAGATGATGGACTTTCTCAAAGCTAGATTCTTGGACTGGGACGAAGAACCTGCGTTGCCTGCCAATCTGGACATTGTCAAGGAGGTGGATTGGAAAGCGACGCTTGCCATCGCTAGTGATCAGACTGCAGTCATATGGCTCGGGTGCGTCGAGCCTCCTTTCGAGCTCCCACGCTGCATCTTCGTACCACGACTGACCCCGTCTGATGAAATTCTTCAGCCACGCTTGCGGTCTCTACCTTCTGCCCGTCCCTTCAGCAGACGCGCCCACCAAACACATTCGCGTGCTGACAGATCCCGTCTTCAGTCTGAGATGTTCACCTTCTCAATGGCTGGGACCCAAGCGATTCACTCCTCCTCCAACCTCGGTTCAAGCGATCAAAGACAATGGGGCATGGCCACACGTCGTGGCCCTGAGCCAGTAAGCAAAAATGAGAGCGCAATGCGGGTAAGGTGCGGCGTGCTGATTCTGTTATGCTTCGCGTGTATATAGCAATCACTACGACCATCTGGACGACGCTACGCTTCGAAGCATCGTGAGGCTGTCGGATGAACGGCACCCATTGCCTGTATGTCCTCAAGCACCACCGTAACTCCTGCCAGACATGCTCACAAATGTTGTCCTTGACCCGCAGCATTTCATAGCCCCGCTAGGACTCATTCCGTTGCTAGAGTCTCTCGGCATTCCGCGAGCACATCACACCAGCCTGGACTGGTGGCAAGCCGTCTCCCTCTCCTTGCCCCTGAGCCCAGACTCGCCCGAAATCAAAGGCGAGCTCAAAGCGACTTGTACACCAGCACAGCATCAATCAGGCAGGTCCACTTTTGACCAGAAAAAGACCCTCTGGGCTGGCTGGGCCTTGGACAGCAGAAATGAACAGGCAGGCTCTGGTGGTGCGAATGTGTGGTTCGCAGGTGATGTTAGTCCGAGCGCCCCTTTGCTGTGCTGCTCGTGTGAATTCCGCCTGACACCTTGGTTGTGATATGCAGACGGGCCTCCGCGCAGTTCCTAGACGCAACATGTCCAGGGAGGAGGAGGATGCGCTTCCAGTCTGCCCTGTGAGTCCACGCCAGGAGCATCGCCGTGCGTTCAAGCACTCACCATCTACACCTGTCTGTCTGTCTGTCTGTCTGTCTGTCTGTCTGCATGCAGGCCTTTGAGGAGATCGGAGAGCTGTTGGGACCATTCGATCTATCCATGATTCCCATCGGTGCTTATTTGCCGCGCATCTTTATGAGCAGCATTCACGTGAGTGCGAACGCGCAATAGTGTAGGGTACAATCACGTTCACGTCGACGGTCGCTTCCGACGCTCAACTCTTTGTCCCGCCCCCTCCCAGATGGCTCCTCACGATGCCGTGTTCGTGCACCAAAAAGTCAAGAGCCGTAAATCAGTCGGCATACATTGGGTAAGTCTTGGGGGCAAGAATCGCGAACGAAGCACTGCGATCTGACGTCTATGCTGCTCATGACCCGACCCCTCCACCCTCCACCCTCCACCCCCCGCGCATTCTCTTCAAGGGAGCTTGGAGATTGACGCCTGAAGACGTGCTGCAGCCGCCGCGGTTGCTTGTAGAAGAGACCGATAGGGTCGGCTTGCCCAGGGACAGCTTCTTCACCACAAAGATCGGGGAGACAACCGCAGCTCAGGTCCATGCAAGAGCAACGTAGCCAGACCGCAATCCCTCAAGAGCGTCTCTGATGCACGATCGGTCCCAATTATGTTTCGCCTGCGCAAATTTTTCTGCATCGCGTTTTGCCCCGTCATGTCATCACTCGTTGTACCGCCGAGAGCATAGGTCATTCCATAGATACGAGTACTGCGATCCAGAGGTCTCCCACGAGTGTGCTGCCTCCGCTCCCTCCCTCGACACGCGGCCAGCTGCTCACGCCTTGACCCTCTTCCTAGCTGCGCCAGAAATGGCCATCTCAGCAGATTCGCCTCCTGCCTTTGCGTTCGAGGCTTTAGATATCGGGCGAGTAGCAGAGCCATTTGCGAGACTGATTGCGGCCGTGGGCCCGAGTATCTGACGCTTTGGCATCTTGCCTGTTGGGGCGATCCTGAAGCGCTGTCGCTCCTGCTCATCGTCCGAAAGAGCTACTTCTCCGTCCTTTGCTCGATCTTCAGCTTCGCTCGCCACGTCTCCGTTTTCTGTGGCCTCCACGAACCCATTCAGCTCTGGACGAGGTGCGTCGTGCGCCCTCCACCTTCCTCGATTGCGCATGAGTTCCCTGTACCATGGTTGCAGAAGCCCAATCTGTACTGAGACTGCGCTTTCCGTCAGCGGCACATATGCCTGCGGGGGCGAGTACTGCAAAGTATCCTCGCTAGGCCCACTTGAGTTCGCGCGGTAGGTGACTCATCGTGTCAGCGAGTGCGTAATCGACGTAGCCAGTCATGCCCTGACTCACCCCTGGGTAACATCTGCATGTTTGGCCTTTTGCACGTCCTTTGCGAGGAACAATTTGCGCGGAACTGATAGGCCAGACATGCCCGTCTCTGCTTCAATGCCCATCGCCTTGAAGCCGAAAAAGTCGTCGCCGAGTTCGTCGGCAAACGCGCCACTGAAGACCGTGAAGAAAGGAGCTGAGTTACCTGCTGCACGGACGTCAGACACAGCGCACCGGACATCACATACCTGACGAGGGTATCGTTCTCCGGTGCGAAAAAGGCATCGTCGCCCATTGGAACAGCGCTTGCCTGCGGCGCACAGGAGCAACGACTCAGTCAGGCAGATCAGCAAGCGGAAGGCACTTGGCAGCTTACATTTAGGGAATCCTTGTACGCGGCGCGGTTGCGGCGAAGCAGCTCCTTGAGGCGCACCCCATAACGCTCGACATCATCAGCGATGTAGCTCTCCAGGCTACGAACATCGGCCCCACCATTCTCGTGAAGCGCGTGCAGGACAAGTTCCTGATGAAAATTTGGGTGTCAGACTCGCATGTCGGATGATTCGTAAAAATTGACTCACCTCAGTGCTCATCTCGTTGGCGTACCCATCGGCGTAGAGCCTGAGCGTCCGGCCGATGTTCGACAGATATTCCTCCATCAGATCGGATATCAGATCCAAGGCGGACGTGCGTGCACCTGAGACCGCTGCCCTCCGTCAGCTCCCTTCGGACCCCTTCTCTCAGGCAAGAGGCGACATTACTCACTCTCAAAGCCTACATGGGCACTCATTGTCTGCGCGACAATGTTCAGTCCTCTCCGAGCTGCTCCGGAGCTGATGCCGACGCTGGGGTTGACGCCATCCTCCAACATCGGTGGCCCAAGCGCTCGTCGTTTTCTGGCGCCTGCTCGAAGGCTAGGCTCGGATGGTCTGGTCGTAGGTGCGAAGCCAGTAATCTCGTCCTCCTCCTCCTCCTCTTCGTCGGACGAAGTAGACGCTAGCCACGCTGGCAATGGTGTGTCCATCTAACGATCGGACGTTATTCAGCACGTCGCACAAGTGGTCTTTGTATCTATGTACTCACATCCGTATGCGAAGCCAAGGCAGCGAATTTGCTCGTCGTGTACCGCAACTTTTGCAGCGTTCCGACATTCCGGGAAATGACAGCAGCGCCGCCAAATGGAAGCGCTGCGGTCAGGGAACGCCTCGTCTTTGTCCGGCCGCGTGCAAAGGCAGGACGCAGGCGCTCGGACGCGGATGCACTTGCAGCCCCACTCGTCAGCTCTTCCTCGGCGATCGCCCACCAAGCCGCATCTTGATCAGTAGCAGGCTCAAAGGAGGGCAGAGCAGCAGCCAAGGTCGTGGGACCGTTCGAGCTGCCCTCGCCGCGGTCCTGAAAGCTCCCACGGCGACGATTGTATGCGCTGACCAAGGATGTGCCTGCCTGAGCACCTTCGACGCCAAGCCTCGCCTCACCACTATCAAGGTCTGGAGGAGCTAGAAGGGCTCTTGAAGATGATGGCACATCGCCAGCTGCGAGACCTGCATATTCAAGCTCCAGAAGCTTTCGCATGCCTGAAGGAGTACGTTTGAAAGCAGGGCGAGCCTCAAAGGGCTTGCTGGATGGTCCCGGCTCTTGACCCGTGGTGTCTTTGGCTTCCAAGCTAGCCATCGCTGTTGGAACAGAGAGGGGAAGCTACTTGGTGTCGAGCCAGTCAGAATCGTAGTGTAGTGCGGACTTGGAAATGCCAGCAAAATGACTTACTCTTCCTAGCAGACCACCTTTTGCTACCGCTGCATCGAACCCTTTCCGCTCCCATTCACGAAATGCCTCTCCCACCTCGTCGCCTTCGTGTATGTATGCGAGCAACTGCTTTGCTTTGTTGCGCAAGTAATGTGCTGAGACCGTGATGGGGTGTCCCTGCTCGGACGTGGAGTGGAGTGTCAGGACTGACATTCATCGGCGCTGGGACCGACGAGAAGCTCACGGGGCCATTGTAGAACTCGCAATTCTTCCAGATGAGCTCCAAGTCACGGATAAAGCTGTCCTTCTTCTTATACTTGCTTGACCGCACGTTGCGCTGCAAGGTGCCCAAGTCCATAGGCTGCTTGATGACTTCGTAGTAGTCGGGCGCGTCACGCTTGGAAACCTTTGTCAAGAATTGCTTTGCGTTCTCCTGCGAAGCGAGTCAGTGGGTGTCAGGTCATCGCGCCGGAAATGTCGCGGCGCATGCAAGGATAGATGCCACAGGTGCCTGGCCAGAACACATCACTTCAGGGCGCACTCACGTCCATTTTGAGCTCGCTGACCAATCTATCCATCGCTTCCACCATCTCAGCTCGCTCGTCCTTGACGCTTCTAACATCGCTGAGAAGCTTCCGAAGCTCCGCATCGGAGAGCGGGACGAGCGAACGCTGAGCGTCCAGTGCTGCGAGCAGGTACTTCATCCTGTCGAGGGATGCGCGTCCTGAAAGCGATGAAAGCGTTGCAGAGCTTTCGCTCACGAAGCTCGGCTCTTCAGCCCTTTCATACGTCCGCGCGTTCGTCGGGCAAAGTGGTTTGCGCGGTGTGGGACCTGCTGGCAAGTCGCGTCGGGGCAGCTCAAGGCGCGATGATCGTCAAGGTAGAGGTGGGTAGAAAGGACTTGATGATTATGATACAGCAATCGGAGAAGGTCATTTGGAGTCTGAATGGTGAATGGTACGATGCCGCTGCTTTCTGCGAGACCTCGGATGTGGCATGATAGAGTAGCTTGCCAAGAAGCAGAGGTTGCGGCCGTTGCGCGCCCCGTACATCGAGCATCGCGCATCAATTTCCCGCACAGCAGATGTGGAAATCGGTATCGCCAAAGCGCCGTCACTATAAGCGCGCAATGGCTATGCGCCCCACTCAGACTGGAAAGAGTGTGGAGACGCGCGACACGCTGCGCGAGTCGTGAATTTTAGACTCAAACTCACACTCACGTGAATCAGCAATCGCACTCGAGGGCGTGCATGCCGGCCCACCATGATGCTTCAGTCAAGAGTCATCAGCTGATGAGGATGGAGATGCTCGGCCCATCACTCATCACACTCGCACTCAAGACTGACGTCTCATGAACCGTTATTATGAATCATCACGAGTCTCGCGTCAAGTCTTGAAAGCGTGAACCGAGATTTTGAGAGCCGAGAGTCTCGAGCTGGTTGCTCATATCATGAGGTTCAGGAGACTGCATCACGTGATCCGCTCAGACTCCGCCTCAGATCACGTGAACCAAATCCCAGCTTACGCCGGATGTATGCTCTCTTCTGTTGTCTCACGAGCTGCTCAAAGGATGCATCGACAGATGATGCCAGGAAGGTCGACATAACACCCTGGACGCTGCTTCACCATCAAGACCCACGCTCTTGACTCTTGAGATCCCTACTCGTGACTTGCGTCTCTGAAATTAGCGCAGGCGTATTCCGAGTCATCTGTTACCGAGCCGATCTCTAGCTTCATCGCCATCGCTCTTCGAACGAGCGCTACGGTCCAGGCCCACTTGCGATCTGCATACCCGACCTTTGGCTTCTCTCGGTGAACACACGGCTTTGGCGCACTTCTCGGTTGAGCACCAACAGCGTCGACTTGCAAGATGTCGAAGAGAGCGGCAGGTCCGACGGCTAAAGCCGCGGCGCAAATCGTCAAGCTGATTGTTCCAGCTGGAAAAGCTACTGCTCAACCTCCCGTTGGACCTGCTTTGGGAGCTAAGGGAGTCAAGGCGATGGACTTTGCAAAGGTGAGCTTAATTGAGAGAGAATATTATGGGAGTGGTGCGTCGAGGGAGACCTGTTGAGTGGACTCGCAGCACATTTCGACGCTCGGCCCTATTCGGCGCATGACGGTGCGAGAGCTGTGGACAGGGGAATTGTAATAGCGTCATAGCCGAACGCTCTCATCGTCAATCTGTCGTGGGGAGGAGCACCGTATAACATGCTTGCGTGCCAGTCTCGCTACGGATCACGGCAGCTGATCTCTTGCCGCTGCGCTGCGCTGCATGCCTTTTCGCTTCTCAGGAGTTCAACGCAAGAACAGCACATTTGGATCCCGGTCTGCCTACGCCCGCACTCATCACCATCCAGCCCGATCGATCTTTCACTTTCGAACTACGGAGTGAGTACAATGAGCTGGTGTACTGACTACTGACTGGAACATGTAGCGCTCCCAGCCACACCTCGTTCGCCCCTTCTCGACGCGTCCGTTCCGCTTACTCCCAACCCCAACCTCGCGCTGCTGCTGCTATC